ATGTTTTTTCACATTTTCCTTAATTTAATAGGCACTGGCTACGGTAACATGGAAATGTAACAATAATAAAATAATTATTGTTACATTGGAGACTAATTGCGGGAATGCAGAGTTGGGGAAGGAACCGATTAATTACAAATGTAACAATAATATTTGTGTTTACAGTTACATTGCGTTATTGTTACATCGTCACCAATGCACTGCAATGTACGATGGGACTAGAAATATGTACATGTGTATTAAAATAAAACTTGAAAACTTCTATTTGATATTTACAATATTGCATACAATTTTTTTAATTTTTATTTACTGTGACAGTTTCTATAAATCCAGTACGTTGTTTTAGGAGCATGTTTTAGTCAGACTCAGTTTTGGTGAAACCACTCCAAGAGCAATTACAAACCAGTGATGCGGCATTGTGCACGTCTGTATTGCATACTGTTCAATTCCATTCTGCACTTTTTTTAAGTTAAACATTTGAGTCTTGATATAGGTTTAGTTTCGATTCAAATGCATCCTAATTTTTGAATTTTTCACCCAAAACAAATTTGGTAATAGGAATCACTTCATCCATTGTTCAAAGTATAATGACAGTAATAAGGGTAGGTGTGCAGTTAAATACATAGAAGTGAACACTTTTCTCAGTCCAAGTTCTTTTAACAACGAACCATGAAATTATATGTTTCGCCTTTGGCACTACTAAAGTGTAGCAGTATCTTTAAGAACATCAAAACAACTAATACTTAAAACTATTTAAACACAATTTGTTGAATATAAATAATATAGTTATTATTATCATTATTACAAATATTATCTAGTACATATCAAAGAATTAAGCAACAAAACTATTATAGATTAATCTAGCGTACATGGCATTCGTTAATATAACAATAACGCAATGTAACCGTAGACACAAATATTATTGTTACATTCGTAATTAATCGGTTCCTTACAACCCTGTATTCCAGCAATTAGTCTCCAATGTAACAATAATTATTTTATTATTGTTACATTTCCATGTAACCGTAGCCAGTGCCAATTCAATAATAGAATTAAGTATCTTTAATAAAATTTTACAGGTAAAATAAAGGGAAAAAATAGGACTATAATTCAGAAATAAACTATAAACAACAAAACACCATATGTTTTCATAAACCTGCAATTAAATGTGGGCAAACTAGGATGACACCAATTACCTTAGCTTAAGGTCATAAATAATTTGTGTATTTCCAAGTTGTTTGACAAAAAATTTAAGTGACTCCCCCTTTTTGCCAACTGTCACATTATTCTCCTTAAATTTATGTTTTTTTTTTTGTAGAAAGATTAAATCTAGGGCAAATTGAATGCAATTACACATCAGAATATTACTTTCTATTATTTTTCTATCTTAGAACAAATTAAAAATTAATATTTTGAAAATTATATTTTTCATCTTTACTTCCTTTAAATGCTTAAATTTTAAATTATATATTCTAATATCAATTACCTCTTAATGGGTAGTCAAGGTCGTCAACCCCCCCCCCCCCCGCTCGTCGTCATCCAAATGGCCCCGACTGTGCAAGACCCTAATGGGTAGTTAAGGTTGTTACAAACCCCCTTGGTAGTCCTAAATGGCATAATAAATAAAGCTGTATATTGATGCTATATAGCCGTTATATACTGTGAAACATGTGGCTTATGGATTGATTTAAATTATGAATGGGACAAGAAGAGGGGTATGGCTTAGCTCGAATTGATATAGTCTTAATACGTTAATATTTCAATGGCTTATAAATGCCAAAAATTAAAGTTTTAAAATTATTTTCAGATAATACTTGACCATGTGAACATGTTTTGGAAACTGTTTGATTTTAAATATAAAAAAATGTCCCCTAAATACTTAAATTCAGCTGAGAAAAAGCTCGTTTGTGTTATGACCTGAGATTTTCTTCTTCAATGCAGCTCATGACCTGCATTTTCATTTAATAGGTTGACAGGTATGCTCAGGTGCATGGAGATCTGTCCAAAATGTCCACTTTCAAAATGTGTGATGAGGATGCTGACTTTTAAGGAACCAAGTGCAATGTGCAACTCATGCCTAGAATGGCAAGATTTGTCGTGTGCCATATTAAAAAACATCCAAATCAAAGAACTGGTCTTGTTACAAATGTAAATTTAACTAAACTTTTATGAAAAATTTGAAGGTTCATTATGAATTGTGAATGTGGTACTTCACATTTTGAAATGTGATACATTACGCTTTGAATTAATACATTTATACATATTGAATTGTGATACATTCTGATTAAGTTTTATATATGTACTGCTAATATCCATCTTTCAGTGGTGTTAATGTAGGATTTAATAATTTCCCCCATGATATAACGTCCGCTGGACATTTATTCTCATAGTCCATGGACGCCAAACCCTTCCCCTAACCTGGGACAGTGATGCAACAGCACAGAACAAGAACACACTATACAAAACAATAAACAAAAAACAAATATAATAAAGAGAACAAACAACAACCACTCAATTACAGGCTCCTGACTTGGCACATAATAGTTTGAAGGTTAGTTTAAAGGGAACCACTAAAAGCAGGGGCGGATCCAGGATTTTTGAAAGGGGGGGCGTAGTATGTAAAGTTCGGGCTAAAAAAACATAAAATAAGTGTAAAATGCACATTTTTAACGATTCCTGACATGGGGCATGCATATTTTATAGTTAAAGTGTAAGCTAAGGTTGGACATTTTTGATGCCGCATTCTCCCCATTAATTGTCTATTATAAAATGATTGAATGGATCCAAAGCTATGTACTAATATATTTGATGTGGGATTTGTCAGTAAAAAATGGACATGGAAAATTCTCGTTTGTTGTATGGTTAATAAGCATAACTTCACAGATTTCTTGTTGTAAACATGATATACGGCTATTCAATGAAGTTTATAATACGACTGACACGAACAAAGACCAGCAATTTTTATCCAAATGTTTGGTTGAAATGTTTCACCCAACAAGGGAAGTGAGGGGTTCCAATTCAACCAAAGGCTACGAATGAGTCTGAAAATCAAATGACAATGAAGTTGTGAATGACGGTCGACAAATGGAGACATAAAGGCCACACCCAGCAGGCAGGTTGCAGTTGGGCCATGAAAAAAGTATTCAGTAATTCAGTTCGGCTAAAACAGACATTCCGGTCAGATATGGGATTTACATGCAAACCCCCCAAAAAAATTAGGCCCGTTTTTTATTCACCATGTTCATTTAATGCTGAATAATTTTGTGGGATTTTTTTTTCTTATTTCAAAAAAGGGGACACGATAATTGTTTTCAATACAGATACGGCCAGAAATTTTGTTTAAGGCAAAAACCAGGGTCAAATTTTTTTCTCTTAAATATCTCAGACTGCCCTATCAAATCAAATGGTCCGTACCTTAGACTTTAAATCTATCTAGAGCTTACCGACTGGGGATCATTATTCAGCAATGTTATTAATTGGCTGGGGCGTGTGGGATTACACATATTTTCGTAGGTGAATAATATTGCTTTGGAACTTTTTTTTTCATGAGAGTGTAATAGAGTATTACTTTCTGTTGAGTGGAATTGTGAAATAAAAGTCAATACGTTCTTGCTCAATCCTTTGTCGCTTTGAAGGCGTCATGCTTGTCATCTTCCGCCTAAGCAATGTGTTACTGTAATTTGAATTTCAAAGTGCATGACTGAGTGTCGTTTTTTCGACGTACTGATCAACTCCCCCGTAGCGAATCACATGACTTCAACATAATCAATAATATATTACAGTAAATACGAGCGAAAAATATCTTTATAAGTAAAGAATTGTCGCATAAAAATTAAATACACTGCCGGGAAATGGCAAAGTTCACTAAGTCTAGTCTGATTAATAATTTTACAAAAAAAAAAAAGTTCAAGCAAAGAGGGGGCGTACGCCCTCTACGCCCCCTCTGGATCCGCCACTGAAAAGTAAATCAATGATATTCAGTGGCTCAGCTTCCAATTAGGCAATTGCCTCACCAAAGTTTCATGGACTTCATAATTCACCCAGTTATAAACCATATATCTGGTCGAAAACTCCTAAAAGTATAAAGTTACTAGACATAGTTGATCTGTAACTTTAATATCACCAAATCTGTACAAAGGCATTTTAGAGGAGGTCATACATATAATTCTGTCATTTATTTTTGTTTTGATTAGGACCTGTCTTTAATTGAATACTGAGAATTAAACTTTAAACTAGCAGTTTTATTGAAATGTATTTTGTTTGTTTTTCAGATACTATAATAAACAACAGGTCAACTATATTTAGGGTTTGGGATGAATGTATTAGGTGTACATTTCTGTCTGACAGCTTTACATCAGACCTAGACCTCTGACATTTTCATGGTTTAGTCTGTTTCTCATGTATTATAAGTAATAGGTCTACCTTATTTGGTGTATGGAATCATATATGGTGTACATGTCTGTCTGCAGTGTCTGGAAGGGTAGAATAATGTTAGGTATGTGTTCGCTCACAGTGGATTGAAAACAGTGTGTAATTTACTACTTGGTATTTCATACAGTTTGCATAATACTTTCTATAATTTCAAAAACTTTCCATATGATAGCCAGTACATTTAATGTACATTGAAAAAGTGTCTTGAACAAAATTTCTGAAGTGGACACTGTTACTGTTAGCACTAATGAAAAAAAAGGAATGAACTATTGGCATGCTTGTTAGATGGGCCAAGCAAAATTGAAAATCTACAAATTTATATAGGTGTACATGACTTTATCCAAGAAACGTTTCTTGTCACTTCAGAATAAATAGTATTGTTGGCAGCCTTTAAACCTTGTGTTAGTTTTATTAAGACAAACTCTGCACTTGAAAGTAATAACAAGCATGTTTACATGCAATCAGTAAAGCCAGCTGTGGAAATTATCAGATTAAAACCTACTGTTTTATTGCCCTATTGAAGAGGGTCAGTAGAATTCACCAAAATAAACCTCTTACAATCAACATGATCTACACATACTTCAAAAGTACTTTAAAGTGGATATAGATGGTAAAGAAGTGTTGAGCTATTGTGACATTGTGTTTATGGAAAACACCTTTGATGAGGAATACATTAAAAGAGATTGTTACAATGACACTAATTGGATTTTCATATATTACTCTGTGACAACATATCTTGTATAGAAACAAAGATTTATAACTGGAACTTTTCTGGAAATTGTATAGCTAACAATTAATATGAAAAATAAATTTGCTACCTGTATTTCATTTTGGATTATTTTTGCTTTCACATTTCACATTGTGTATTCTCAGAATGAGGACATTCCTGTTGGATCAGCATCCCTGGCTTTTGTTTTTGATATCACTGGATCCATGTATGATGATCTAGTACAAGTTATTGAGGGAGCAGAGAAAATAATGGCAATGACATTGGCTAGAACCATCAACCCATTGTATAATTATATACTGGTACCCTTCCATGATCCTGGTGAGTAATGAATATACAAATATAGTCAACAGGACATGGATACAAAAATCTACTTGCACTTTTCTTATACAACATTTTCCTGACCATTAATTTGACCATGGTATGCTGTACCTGGGGGTGAATCAGTCAAGGTCAGGATGCATAGTACACATAGCAATGAACCATTGAATTTTGACTGATTAATACTTCACTATATTTTACATGGAAAAGTTTATGATAAATAGTTGTGTTTTGTAGGTTGGTTTAGTCAAGAGTGTTGAAATAACAAGTAAAACTTTAGTACATATATAAAATGTACAGAATTTTATATCCAACGGCAGACCTGAATATATCTAAAGCAATTTTCTTTCGACCTTAATATGTACACATTGAAAATTTGATTATCCCTTTGACCTTCCACTTTTTGGGATGAGGCATAGATTTTCATCCATTAATTTTGCTCCATTCTTTCTGCACATTATGGAGGAATTACCTTTTTGTCATTTGAATTGCATCGATCATGTTTATTGACCACACTTTAATTATGTGTCATGGAACTTATTTAATCATTTTGATAAATATAAAGTTCAGGTGAAGAAAGAGAACTAGCCACTGCTTATGCAGCACTATTTTTTTATTAGAAAGTAAAGGTCACCATTCTTATCATCAAGAATTATATTATTCTTTTTTTAATAAAACTAACACTTATCATGCTTACATTCATGACATTACAGCATTAATAGCAGTTTCTGTTTTATGAGGATAGACTTTAAATCAATTTTTTTTTGGGAGGAGATAACTTAAATCATTCATGCTGAGGAAAAGAAAAAAACTATGCTCCCATTCTTGTTTTCTTGATATTTTATAAAATTTAACAATTTGAGTACTTAGATATAAGAAGATGTGGTATGAGTGCCAGTGAGACAACTCTCCATCCAAGTCAAAATTCAATTTATAAAAGTAAACCATTGTAGGTCACAGTACGGTCTTCAACACGGAGCCTTGGCTCACACCGAACAATAAGCTATAAAGGGCCCCAAAAATTACTAGTGTAAAACCATTCAAATGGGAAAACCAGCAGTCTAATCTATATAAAAAACGAGAAATGAGAAACACTTATGAACCACATCAACAAACGACAACTACTGAACATCAGATTCCTACTACCTGGTTTAATTATCTCCCCCTGATTTGAACTTGTCTTCACAGTTTCTGTGGTTGATAAACAGATCTTTACTATTGGTGTATTACTATAGAATATCTTTTAAATTTCATCAAGTCTTTCAGATGATGAATAATTCATATATTATTAACTGCAATTGAACAAACTTGTGATACCAATGACAAAATTATGCTAAAAATTTGGCATTTTTGTAATTTTTTTAAACTTCTAGAATTTTTGTTAAATTTGTGTGTGTGTGATATAATAGCAGTAAAAATGCATAAGGTAAAATTGAAATAACTTATCATCAATATTGTTCCTTTTCTACCTTTATTGAATTTTTCTAATATATGCTTAAAAATGTTAAATTTGCTGATCTTTATTTGAATTACTTCCTGTGTTCATTTCCAATGGCAGTGCAAATGCTACTTAGGTAAACAAAATCTTTGGTAAGTCATTGAATAGGTAGTTGCATATATGTTCTATTTTAAAATATTTTGGTGGTTTGATAGGATTTCATTATTACAGTGTAACCATAAAACTACCTAGTATCAAGTAGACATTGTTAAGGAAGCACACCACTAAATGGACTTTCTGTTTAGTTTAATGTTAAATATGCAAACTTTTGAAAAAATTTAAAAAATAAGAACGAATTTTCCCAGTATTGCCATGATAAGATCCTAGTCTGACATGTCTTATGTAAAGCTTGTTTCATTGCATTTATAGTTACAGAGTTCACATAAAGGTAATTTACTTAATATGCAAAATAATAAACATACTCCCTCTTAATGCATACCCTAATTATTTTAATGTACTTTCTATAGAAGTAGGGGGCATAATACAGCTAGGTTTTGTTTTCTGGTCTTTTCATACATCTGTTAATATAAAAATATTAAGAAGTGGTATAATTGCCAAAGAGAGAACTCTCTCAAATGACGTAGAAGTTAGCAACTATAGGTCACTGTAAGGCCTTCAACACTTGCGTGGATGTGTATTGTGTAGGAAAAAGCAAATGTTTGATTTGTTAGAGATCTTTTTTTATGTTATTGATTCAAATTGTAAATTTTAAGAATCTTAATGGTCAATTGCCTTTTAAAAAAAAAATTTAATGATGAAGTTACTCAAGTGTTAGATATTGTCTCACAGTTGTGATTCCATTTATACATAAGAAGGAAAACTGGAAGAACTGGTAACTAAAGCAAAAAATAGACAGAAACTGCCTTTCTAGAGCTTCCATGCTTTGATTTAAATCAACACGTATATGAATGCTACGTTTAAACTTAAGGATGTTCGCTACGCTTAATTTTTACTTTTTGTCAGATATTCGGAATCCTCAAATTTTATCCATGTGGTGCCATTAAAAATTTTGCCCACTAACTCCCAATTTTCTTTTCATCATTTTATTACATATTGTTTAAAAAACCATTTTTGAAAATCACAAAATATCCTTGTTATTTTTTCATATATTTTGAAAGAAAAAGGTGCCAATGTTAAATGTATGAAAAGTCTAGAGAGAATCATTTCCCGCCAAATTTTCAATTGCTTATATCTCAAAAACAAGAACACGGACCTTTCATTTTTTTCTGCTTTCTAAGTTCCATTATTTAAATACTATCAATTGATAACCATCTTTTAAAATGCTTGTTATTTTTAAACAGAGGAGCGAACTTCCTTAAGGAAGACACTGTGGTTATTGTGTTTAGGATCATTCACCAGATAATCTCCTCTTTTAAGTATATTTATTGTTAATACCAATTGAGTAACAAATTTACATATTAGAAGTACTCCTTGATACTTCATCATTTCAGTTTAAATAGTGTGTATAATAAAGGCGATAAATTAAGGTCAAAAATCAAGAATGTTAACAATAACAGGTCTTTGTACAGTTCAATGATGAGAAATACTATATCATATTATAAGCTAGACCTTATTATGACCCACTGAATCCAACTACAACCACTGAACTACAGGTTCTTGGCCTAAGTACGTCATCACAGTTCAATTGTTCTGGTCAAGTTCAGTTTTTTTTTTAATTTGCTCTTCAGGCGAGTGACCATGATATTTTACTTGTCTAAATTTTGTACTTAAAAAAATTTCTATCCAACCATTATGGACACAAATCATTTCATCTTATTCAGGTTTTCATTTCTTCAGAACACCACCAAAAATAGTGTTTCACCTTTCCCTAATACCCTTATTAGTTCATATAAAAATATGTTTTTTAAAAACATTATCAAAAACCAATTTGTGGTCCAATTTTGATGAAATATTTAATGCTAAACTCACAAATGTGTACAGAGTTTTATGGTCATTATGAAATATTTTTATGACATGTCATTACTGAGAAATAATTATTTGTATACAAATATTGAAATTAAGTGTATTTTTTTCATGCAGAAATTCATATTTGTCTTTAAATTTGATTTCTCTAATAATATAAATCATAAATATATTTCATATTTTTTTGGAAGAAACTGCAGACATTTCTGTATTTAATTAAAAAAAAAATCATTCAATTTGAACAAAAAATACATTCAGTAGAATTTTTATCAAAACTTTGTTTTATATACGATATAATAGAATTTCCAAAACCCTGAAAAGGTGAAACACTTTTGACCTAAGACTTTAGTAATCATTATTTGTCATAAGAAGTTTAGGCAGTTGAACCCTTATTCTTTTATGGTTTAATTGAGAATGGAAACAGGGAATGTATCAAAGAGACAACTACCTGACCAATGAGCAGAAAACAGCCCATGGCCACCAATGGGTCTTCAACGCAGCGAGAAAATCCTGCACCTGAAGGCAGGCTTCAGCTGGCCCCTAAACAATAATGTATACTATGTTCAGCGAAATGGATGCCAAACAAAACTCCATAAAAGAAGATGTGGTATGAATGCCAATGAGGAAACTATCCATCCAAGTCACAATGTGTAAAAAGTAAAAAATTATAGGTCAAAGTATGGCCTTCGACATGAACATATTTATGAACTAAAATTAAAAACACACAATAATAACAAAGGCCAGAGGTTCCTAAACTGGGACAGGCACAAAAATGCGGCAGGATTAAATATGTTTTGTGAGATCTCAACCCTCACCTATACCTCTAGCCAATGTGGAATAAACAAACACATGGCAATACGCACAGTAAAACTCAGTTCAAAAGAAGTAGGAGTCCGATATGAGAATAGGTAACTTAAGAAACTTAAAACAAAATGACAACGATCAGCATAAATTAACAAAGGACTACTTGCAGTAACTGACATGCCAGCTCCAGACCTCAATTAAACTGATCGAAAGATTATGTCTTCATCATATGAAAATCAAGAACAATCCCTCCCGTTATAGGTTTAATATCATGCCATCAAAAATTATACGAGAAGAACAGAACCCGTATCATGCCAACAACTGGTTTTCAGAATAAATATGTTCATTTCCAATGCAAAGACCCTATGAGTGAATCAAAATTAATTCCAAAAAATTTCAACTTTAATGACTTGACAACAGTTTGGTAACTATATCCCTTCTGAATAAGTCTTGTTTAAAGGTTTGGTTAGCTTTTGAGCAACATTTGTGTGCTTTGTATAGAATTATTACAATTAAAGATGGGATGTGAAATACCTGAACTTATAAGATGTCTGCAAGTTGATTTATATTTACGAATGATGTCCTTGTGTCAATGATAAAATTAAGATAAAGTTTTGACAGCTTATGATATTGAAAACTCTGGTGTAATAATTTTTCAGTAATACAGAGATTTTTTTCTTTAAAATCAAATACATTGTTACATACACAAGCGAATCTAACAAATTGAGATATATAAACACCATAAGGTGGTGCCATGGGAACGTCACCATCTTAAAAACTAACCATAGGAAATGAAAAATAATCTCTTTTATTGTAAATTTGAATATTAATCTTCCTGTTAAAGATATACATATCAAGGTCCATGAAAGGGCAGTGTCCATTGTTAATACTAGCTTTATTTAAAGTCAGTTCAGCAGGATAAATCTCTTAAGTGTACATACAGAAGTCGTCATTATTGAGAGCCAAAATATCATCCAAATATCTAAAAGTGTTATTAAATTTTTTTATTAAATCAGAGTTGTTTCAATGGGTCTTTGCTGATTTTAGTCATAAATTATAATTTGTAACAATATAGAAACAGGTCCGCAATAAATGGTGCACAATTTAAGTCCCCACTGGAATTCGTATAACTGCGATATACGGAATTTCCAAAGTGAACAAAAATGTTATAAGTGCAGTTATCATATTAAAGCAGGTCCAATTGACATAGTTCTTTTGTTTGTTGTTACTAAGAAATGACTTAAAAGAGTTTTAACATATATATTCGCATTCTGACTTTTTACATTGTTTTATATGCCCATTTAATAAGGTATGTTAATTTTTTCTTAATGAGATAATGAGGCAAAGTGGTATATAGGGTAGAAAAATCAAAACTGACCATTAGTATGCTGTAGGAGGAGATTTCACTCATCTGGTGGAAATTCAACTATGGATTCATTTATATTTGTTAGTATTTTTATTCGTGGTTGGAGAAAAGTGAGCTATTTTGAAGGTATTTCTTTTAATGGTATCATAAGGTCCCATATGAATCTGATGAAAATTTCTTAAAAAAATTGTGTGTCAAGTATGTGTCAAGTATTTAATTTCATTGTCACCCCTTAACCCATGTAATTCACAATCAAATTTGAATCTTAGGAATAATAAGTCCATGCACAGTATAGAAAAATGAACACTGTTTTAAATCAGTGTGGATGGTCATTCATTAAAAACTGAGAAAGCAATTTTAGGGTTCACCTGACCTTAACCGCATATTCATGGTTTATTGGTCAAAACAGAGATTTCGTGGTTGGGTCAGTTTCTCAGATATTATGAGCAAAAAGTGAACTATATTATGTGTATGGAATGATTTAGGAATAAAGAAATATTATCAAATTATTACCCTTTATAAATAGTAACAAGTTAATCTCTATTTACCTTTAAAGCAAACTTTACTTACCTTAATCATTAATTTCTTTTCAGATATTGGTCCAGTTATAGTTACCAGAGATCCAGACGAATTCATCCAAGAATTACAAGATTTATATGTACATGGTGGAGGAGATTGTCCAGAGATGAGTATTGGTGCTATTAAGGAGGCATTAGATACTGCTCTGCCCCATTCGTATATCTACGTCTTCACTGATGCACGCTCCAAAGATCATGTCCTCACAGAAGATGTATTGTCACTCATACAACAGAAACAAAGCCAGGTATAGAATATATAAAACTTTACTGTAAATAAACAATATCTACATGTTTGGAGAATGTAAAATTTTGAAAAAAATAAGTCCAATGTGTATTAAAAAAGTTTTCACCTCATTAAGTAAATCTTGAGGAAAGAATAAGAATCAATGTTTGTTCATTATTTGGATGCACATTAGGGTATGCTACAGTGTTGTGACCAATTCAGATTCATGTTATTATGAGCCTAAGCAGTGAGACAACCCCATTCTGAACATTTTGTTAATTAATTCCAGAAAGGTTCACACTGTATTGTGACAGCTGCATGGTAGCATTAATTTAGAACTAACTTTATGCCCCTGCCACAGCGGAGGGGGCATTAAGTGTTACCCTTGTACGTTTGTACGTCCGTCCGTCCGTCCTTAGGTAACGTCTGTACATCTGTAGGTACGTCACAAAATTGGTTTCCATTTTCTAATTTAGTTTGCCTCAACCAAATGTTATGAAACTTACGCACAATGCTTATTTCAACAAAACACAGATCAAGTTTGAATTTGGGTGGCATGACTTCCTGAGTTATGTCCCTTTATAACATTATTTGCAAGTGGGGGCATCATCTGTGTCCCATGGGCACATTCTCCATTAATTTAAAAAAAGATTTTGATCTATAAAATTATCTTTTATCTGGTCTAGGAACAAAAAATGACTTCAGCAATGTTGAACAATTGTTGAATGTAAATTTTGCAGGTCATTTTGTTAACCTTGCCGATCAAGAATTTGTTGCATGTTTTTGTCCCCCGTGCAACGCGTTTGGGGGAGGGGAGCATAGAATTACCGGGCGTCCGTCCAGCACTCTCACATGTACAATTCTTGCCAGATTTTTATGAAACTTATATCATAGGTTTATATCAGCAATGTCTTGGATGTGTTCAAAAATCAGTGCTGATTAATTATTTTTTAAGAGTTATGCCCATTGGAAACATTAATTATATGGAAAATTGCATCGTTACCACTCTCATTTGTAAAATTCTTTCCAGATTTTTATGAAACTTATATCATAGGTTTATATTAACAATGTCTTGGATGAGTTACGAAATTAGGGCTGATGAATTATTTTTCAGAGTTATGCCCCTTGGAAAAATCAATTATATGGAAAATTGCATTGTGTACGCTCTCGTGTGTACAATTCTTGCTATAATTTTATGAAGCATATTAGCAATCTCTTGGACGAGTTCGAAATCAGTGCCGATCAATTATTTTTTAAAGAGTTAATTATATGGAAAATTGCATCGTTAGCGCTCTTATTTGTACTATTCTTGCCAGATTTTCATGATACTTATATCATAGGTTAATATTAGCAATGTCTTGGACTAGTTCGAAAATCAGTGCCGATCAACTACTTTTAAAAGAGTTATGTCCCTTGGAAATATTAATAATTTGGAAAATTGCATCGTTAGCGCTCTCATGTGTACAATTCATAGTTTTATGAAACTTATATCATGGGTTTATGCCAGCAATGTCTTTAACAAGTTCAAAAGTCGGTGCAGATCAATTATTTTTAAAAGAGTTATGCCCCTTGGAAACATGAATTATATGGAAAATTGCATTGTTAGTGCTCTCATGTGTACAATTCTTGCCAGAATTTTATGAAACTTATATCATAGGTTTATATCAGAAATGTCTTTAACGAATACGAAAATCAGTGCCGAACAATTATTTTTAAATAGTTATGCCCCTTGGAAACATTGATTATCTGGAAAATTGCATTGTAAATGCTCTCGCATGTACAATTTTTGCCAGATTTTTATCAAATTCATATCAAGGGTATATAACAGCAATGTCTCAGACAATTTAAGAAATAAGTGCCGATCAAATATTTTTAATGAGTTTCCCTTGGAAATATTAAATACCGGAAATTGCTCTCAAGTCTTCAACTCTCTAGTGAGATAATTTCAAAAGTTTTAAAGAAAAATAATTTTTTTTTTAGTTATTGTCCTTGGACAGAACAGATAAAATATGTGCAATGCAGGGAACATTGGAACTCTGTTCTTTTATTAAGATTGATAATGAAATAAACAAAGACTTGCATGTTTTATATGAAAATAAATAGATTTGGTATGATTTTGAATTAGACAACTATTCACCAGGGCCAGAAGGACCACAATGTAAACAACTATGGGGCACTGTACTGCCTTCAACAATGAGCAAAACCCTTACTAATAGCAAGCAATAAAAAGCCCTGCATGACAAAAAGTAAATCAATTCAGAAGAGAATAAAAACCAGCTAAGCACATGAAAAACCTAATAAAAAGCCAAAAAACATGAGGTACATATAAAGTACTCACAGATACTAAAAAACTAGTTCAAAGCCAATTCCAACTAATATATAAACTGTTTTATGTAAATTTTATAGCATTTATAATATTTGCTGATAGATCAATATAGGTAACTGCTTGAAAGAAAATAAATTATTCTTGAAAACTCCATGAAAAGACATGAAATTTCAAATAAACAGATATGTGGGAACCCTGCTAATTTTGCTCATTGTGTAGAGCTGTTCATCTATTACAACTTCACCATTTTGGCAGGAATGTTGAAAAAAATGTATGACACTAAAGTGTGTTTGTACCTATCACCTGTGGAATATTCCCATATATATAATACAAAGGAATATGCCCATATACTAAGGTAATACTTTTGGAGTAAGCCCATATAGGTTATACTTTGAGGAATTTGTCCATATAGGTTATACTCTGGGAATTTCTCCATGTGTGCTTGGGATTATTTCATCTAGGTTAAACTTTTGGAATTTGTTCATGTAGGTTTGGGATTGTGTCATCTAGGTTATGCTTGTGGAATTTGTCCATGTAGGTTTGGGCTTATGTAATCTAGGTTTTACTTTGGAATGTGTCCATGTAGGTTTGGGATTATGTAATCTAGGTTTTACTTTGGAATTTGTTCATGTAGGTTTGGGCTTGTGTTATCTAGGTCATGCTTTGGGAATGTGTCCATGTAGGTTTGGGATTATGTAATCTAGGTTTTACTTTGGAATTTGTTCGTGTAAGGTTTGGGCTTATGTTATCTAGGTTATGCTTTGGGAATTTGTTCATGTAGGTTTAGGATTATGTCCTCTAGGTTTTATTTGGGAATGTGTCCATGTAGGTTTGGTATTATGTCATCTAGATTATACCTTTTGAATTTGTCCATGTAGGTTTGGGCTTATGAAATCTAAGTTTTACTTTGGGAATTTGTTCATGTAGGTTTGGGATTATGTTATTTAGGTTATACTTTTGGAATCTTTTCATGTAGGTTTGGGGTTATGTCATTTAGGTTATCATTTGGGAATTTGTTCGTGAAGGTTTGGGATTATTTCATCTTTTGGGATTCTATGGCTTCTAGCTTTATAAGTTAATATTATTATTTATGCAGGAGTTTTAGATGTTTGATATTATTTTTTTTGCAGGAGTTCTAGATGTTTGATATTATTTTTTTTGCAGGAGTTCTAGATGTTTGATATTATTATTTATGCAGGAGTTCTAGATGTTTGATATTATTATTTATGCAGGAGTTCTAGATGTTTGATATTATTATTTTTGCAGGAGCTCTAGATGTTTGATATTATTATTTTTGCAGGAGTTCTAGATATTTGATATTATTAATTTTGCAGGAGTTGAAGCCCAATAAACACATTTTATATTTTTATGAGAGTTACGTCATTTTTAAATGAGACTGATTAAGCAATAGGGTTCTTAATAGCATTTTGTTAAATTTGAATCATTCCTATTATTCAGTCAAATCTATTATACTGAGATATGCAACATTTATTGATTGAGACATTATTTAATGACATAATCACTGAAGAAACTTAACTTTATAAAACTTTAGATTTTTACTGATTAATTTTTGTTTCTAGCTGTGGTTCAGTATGGTCTTCCTATTGTAGATTGTGTTTGTTATGACTGGAGATTGTGGTAATCATACTCATGATGGATTTATGGCTTATGAGAAGATTGCATCTACTAGTTCTGGACAAGTATTCTTACTGAAAAAGGATCAGGTCAATCAGGTAAGAAATGTTAAGAAAATAATTAAACAAAGGTTATAGATTTGAGTGTTAACAGATTCATATATGTACATGAATTCTATTCTAGTCTACCTGTCTATACTTATATTTTGACATTGCACAAGGTCATGTGTTTCTCAGACTGTTTATAAGGTCTTTTACACTAAATCTGTTGGATGTGTACTGATTGATACTCTAGTCTGGGAGTACTTTAAAGAAGGAAATTTTCATGGCAGTTTTATTTTTCAAGGTAAGAGTGGGAACGCATAAATAAAAATAAGGGCCATTTTATAACAGTTTTTCAGATGACAGATCTTTATCACAAATTAAAACTTTATTTCTAAATGGAAGGTAGTGTTAGAAACCAAATCCTTTAACTCTTGACAGTCAAAATAATATGAAATCTATTTTAAAGAACCGGAAATTATTGATACTGTTATATTATCATCACTCGTGACAATAAGGTGAATGACACCATCAATCATTTTTATGCCCCTGCAACTGAAAGTTTGGGGGCATATTGTTTTACCCCTGTCCGTCCGTCCTTCCGTCTGTCCCATTATGGGTATATAGTTATTCCAGATAACTCCTCCTACAGTTTGAATGCTAGGAATTTTTCACTTTGCTGGCTGTTTGTACATATATTGAAGGTGTGCATGTGGTCAGGGTTTTGATTTTTATTAATGTTTTCTCTTTTGGGAGATAGTTAAACTTTGTCAACTTGCATAAGAGGTGCATAGCGTTTCCAGGTAACTCCTCCTACAGTTTGAATGCTGGGAAGTTTTCACTTTGCTAGCTGTTTGTACATATATTGAAGGTGTGCATGTGGTCAGGGTTTTGATTTTTATTATATTTGCTTTTTTGGGAGATAGTTGAACTTTGTCATTTTTAGCTCACCTGGCCCGAAGGGCCAAGTGAGCTTTTCTCATCACTTGGCGTCCGTCGTCCGTCGTCCGGCGTCGTCCGTCGTCGGCGTTAACTTTTTACATTTTGAACTTCTTCTAGAGAACCACTGAATGGAATGAAACCAAACATGGCATGAATGTTCCTTATGAGGTGCTGACCAAGTGTTGTTACTTTGTAGCGGATCCATCATCCAAGATGGCCGCCAGCGGGGGACTTAGTTTAACATAGGACCCTATGGGAAATGCATACAAATGTCTTCTTTTAGAGAACCACTGAATGGAATGAAACCAAACATGGCATGAATGTTTCTTATGAGGTGCTGACCAAGTGTTGTTACTTTGTAGCGGATCCATCATCCAAGATGGCCCCCAGCGGGGGACTTAGTTTAACATAGGACCCTATGGGAAATGCATACAAATGTCTTCTTTTAGAGAAACACTGAATGGAATGAAACCAAACATGGCATGAATGTATCTTATGAGGTGCTGACCGAGTGTTGTTACTTTGAAGCCAATCCATAATCCAAGATGGCCGCCAGCGGGGGACTTAGTTTAACATAGGACCCTATGGGAAATACATACAAATGTCTTCTTTTAGAGAACCACTGAATGGAATGAAACCAAACATGGTATGAATGTTCCTTATGAGGTGCTGACCTAGTGTTGTTACTTTGAAGCCGATCCATAATCCAAGATTGCCGCCAGCGGGGGACTTAGTTTAACATGGGACCCTATGGGAAATACATACAAATGTCTTCTTTTAGAGAACCACTGAATGGAATGAAACCAAACATGGCATGAATGTTTCTTATGAGGTGCTGACCGAGTGTTGTTACTTTAAAGCCGATCCATAATCCAAGATGGCCGCCTGCAGGGGACTTAGTTTAACATGGGACCCTATGAGAAATACATACAAATGTCTTCTTTTAGAGAACCACTGAATGGAATGAAACCAAACATGGCATGAATGTTCCTTATGAGGTGCTGATTGAGTGTTGTTACTTTGAAGCCGATCCATAATCCAAGATGGCTGCCAGCGGGGGACTTAGTTTAACATGGGACCCTATGGGAAATACATACAAACGTCTTCTTTTAGAGAACCACTGAATGGAATGAAACCAAACATGGCATGAATGTTTCTTATGAGGTGCTGACCAAGTGTTGTTACTTTAAAGCCGATCCATAATCCAAGATGGCCGCCTGCAGGGGACTTAGTTTAACATGGGACCCTATGAGAAATACATACAAATGTCTTCTTTTAGAGAACCACTGAATGGAATGAAACCAAACATGGCATGAATGTTTCTTATGAGGTGCTGACCGAGTGTTGTTACTTTGAAGCCGATCCATAATCCAAGATGGCTGCCAGCGGGGGACTTAGTTTAACATGGGACCCTATGGGAAATACATACAAATGTCTTCTTTTAGAGAACCACTGAATGGAATGAAACCAAACATGGCATGAATGTTTCTTATGAGGTGCTGACCGAGTGTTGTTACTTTGTAGCGGATCCATCATCCAAGATGGCCGCCAGCGGGGGACTTAGTTTAACATGGGACCCTATGGGAAATGCATACAAATGTCTTCTTTTAGAGAACCACTGAAAGGATTGAAACCAAACATGGCATGAATGTTTCTTATGAGGTGCTGACCGAGTGTTGTTACTTTGAAGCCGATCCATAATCCAAGATGGCTGCCAGCGGGGGACTTAGTTTAACATAGGACCCTATGGGAAATACATACAAATATCTTCTTTTAGAGAACCACTGAATGGAATGAAACCAAACATGGCATGAATGTATCTTATGAGGTGCTGACCGAGTGTTGTTACTTTGAAGCCAATCCATAATCCAAGATGGCCGCCAGCGGGGGACTTAGTTTAACATAGGACCCTATGGGAAATACATACAAATGTCTTCTTTTAGAGAACCACTGAATGGAATGAAACCAAACATGGTATGAATGTTCCTTATGAGGTGCTGACCTAGTGTTGTTACTTTGAAGCCGATCCATAATCCAAGATGGCTGCCAGCAGGGGACTTAGTTTAACATAGGACCCTATGGGAAATACATACAAATATCTTCTTTTAGAGAACCACTGAATGCAATGAAACCAAACATGGCATGAATGTTCCTTATGAGGTGCTGACCAAGTGTTGTTACTATGAAGCTGATCCATAATCTAAGATAGCTGCCAGCGGAGGACTTAGTTTAACATAGGACCCTATGAGAAATACGTACAAATGTTTTCTTTTAGAGAACCATTGAATGGAATGAAACCAAACATGGCATGCATGTTCCTTTTGAGGTGCTGACCAAGTGTTGTTACTTTGAAGCTGATCCTTCATCCATGATGGCTGCCAGATGGGGACAATGTTTAACAAAGGATCCTATGGACAATACATACAAATGTCTTCTTTTAGAGAACCACATACTGAATGGATTGAAACCAAACATGACACTGTTCAAGATGGCCACCAGGATTTTTTATTAAATTACAGGACCAATATTAAACCAAATTTGGCCTCACTCATTATTAGGGTATCTGTTATGATTTTAATCTATTTTTACATGATTTCCAAAACCAAAGTAGAATCAGGTGAGCGACACAGGCTCTTGAGAGCCTCTAGTTGGAGTATACACTTGCATAAGAGGTGCATAGCGTTTCCAAATAACTCCTCCTACAGTGAACCATAGACCTATGTGCTCCCATGCTCACCTTCGTGTATTTTAAAATAACACTCTGCATCTACAGGGGCATCATTTGTGTCTCCCAGACACAACAATATCTTCAAAGAAAGTCCTACATTGACTTTGTTATAATACAGTTACTTCAAAGTGGAGTGCAGGGGTATCACTTTGTCTAGTTTAAATGCTTGCAACATTTAATCTGCTACACGAATTCATATGATCAAAAGATTAATAAATTAGCCTTAATCCTTGCAGCTTCTAATTTGATCTTACTAATTTGAAAGCATCTTTTTATGTTGATAGTGTATGTGTTTTTACAAGTAAATTTAAACATTTGTACCTCTTATCGATCCTTTGAGTGAAGCCTATTGCTACTGATTTTTATACGACCGTAAAAAAAAATTGCGGTCGTATATTGGTATGACATTGGCGTCATCGTCCGAAGACACATTAGTTTTCACACTCTAACTTTAGTTTAAGTAAATGGATCTCTATGAAATTTTACCATAAGGTTCAATATCACAAAAGGAAGGTTGGGATTGATTTTGGGGGTTGTGGTACCAACAGTTAAGGAATTAGGGGCCAAAAATAAGCATTTTTGTAACTTCCAGACATAACTTGTGTGTTAGTGTATGGATCTCTCTGACATTGTACCACAAGGTTCCATATCACAAAGGGAATGCTGGGATTGATTTTGGGGGTAATTGCCTCAAAATGTTTGGAATAAGGGGCCAAAAAAGGGGCAAAAAACAAGCATTTTTCTAGTTTCATGACAATAACTTGTGTGTAAGTGTATGGATCTTTCTGAAATTGTACTACAAGGTTCCATATCACAAAGGGAAAGCTGGAATTGAGTTTGGGGGTAATTGCCCAAAACCTTTAGGAATAAGGGGCCAAAAAGGGGCCATAAAATAAGCATTTTCTAGTTTCCAGACAATAACATGTGTTCAAGTGTATGGATCTCTCTGAAATTGTACTGCAAGGTACCACACCACAAAGGAAAGGCTGGGATTGATTTTGTGGGTAATTGCCTCAAAATTTTAGGAATAAGGGGCCAAAAAGGGCCAAAAAACAAGCATTTTTCTAGTTTCCAGACAATAACTTGTGTTCAAGTGTATGAATCTTTATGAAATTGTACTGCAAGGTTCCATATCACAAAGGGAAAGCTGGGTTTGAGTTTGGGGGTAATTGCCCTAAACGTTTAAAAATTTGGGGCCAAAAAGGGGCCAAAAAACAAGCATTTTTCTAGTTTCCAGACAATAACTTGTGTTCAAGTGTATGGATCTCTCTGAAATTGTACTGCAAGGTACCATACCACAAAGGGAAGGCTGGGATTGAGTTTGGGGGTGATGAATCATAAGGGGGTTCAAAAAATTTGGGGGGAGGGATTTTTTTTTTCCTTTTTAGCTCACCTGGCCCGAAGGGCCAAGTGAGCTTTTCTCATCACTTGGCATCCGTCGTCGTCCGTCGTCGTTAGCTTTTTACAAAAATCTTCTCCTCTGAAACCACTGGGCCAAATTTAACCAAACTTGGCCACAATCATCATTAGGGTATCTAGTTTAAAAAATGTGTCTGATGACCCCGCCAACCAACCAAGATGGCCGTTATGGCTAAAAATAGAACATAGGGGTAAAATGTAGATTTTGGCTTATATCTCTGAAACCAAAGCATTTAGAATAAATCTGACATAGTGTAAAACTGATTATCAGGTCAAGATCTATCTGCCCTGAAATTCTCAGACAAATCTGACAACCTGTTGTTGGGTTGCTGCCCCTGAATTGATAATTTTAAGGAAATTTTTCAGTTTTTGGTTATTATCTTGAATATTATTATAGATAGAGATAAACTGTAAACAGCAATAATGTTCAGCAAAGTAAGATCTACAAATAAGTTTTGTATGACCAAAATTGTCAGTCGACCCCTTTTGGAGCTATTGCCCTTAATAGTCAATTTTAACAATTTTTTGTAAATTTTTGTAATCTTTTACAAAAATCTTCTTCTCTGAAACTACTGACACAAATTTAACCATACTTGGCCATAATCATTATTAGGGTATCTAGTTTAAAAAATTTGTCCGATGACCCCGCCTTCAAACCATCATGGCCTACTTGGTTGAAAATAGAACATAGGGGTAAAATGCAGTTTTTGGTTTATATCTCTGAAACTAAAGCATTTAGAGCAAATCTGACGGGTGGCAAAAATGTTCATCAGATTTAGATTTATCTGCCCTGAAATTTTCAGACGAATCCAACAACCCGTTGTTGGGTTGCTGCCCCTGAGTTAGTAATTTTACAAAAATTTTGCAGTTTTTTGTTATTATCTTAGATATCATTATAATATCTAATATCTAATACTATTAATTATGATTTTAACCTTATTTTACATGATTTCCAAAGCATCAGTAAATACAGGTGAGCGACACAGGCTCTTGAGAGCCTCTAGTTTTCCTTTTTTTTTCTTTTAAATTTTTCAGTTTAGATTGGTTATTTCTGATTTATATATAAAAGCAAATAATAATGATATGGTTTGAATAGGTAAATTAAAAATTTATAAGTTCTTAGACCACATTCATTCTGTGTCAGAAACCTATGCTGTGTCAAATATTTAATCACAATCCAAATTCAGTGTGTATCAAGCTTGAATGTTGTGTCCATACTTGCCCCAACTGTTCATGGTTTGACCTCTGCGGTCGTATCAAGCTGCGCCCAGCATTTTATATAGTTTGTTCTTATGTGGTACTGTTACACCACTGTCCCAGGTTAGGGGGTGGGTTGAGTGCTCACAAACATGTTTTATCGTGCCACATTCTTTATGTGCCTGTCCCACTTCAGTAGCCTGTAGTTCAGTGGTTGTTGTTGATTCATGTATGTTATATTTGTTTTTCGTATTTTGTTTTGTTATAAAAGAGAGGCAAAAGATACCAAATTGACATTCAAACTCATAAGTCTAAAAATAAACTGACAACACCATGGTTAAAAAAGAAAAAGTCCAACAGACAAACAATAATACACAAAACACAACATAGAAAACTTAAGACTGATCAACACGAACCCCACCAAAAAATGGGGGTGATCTCAGGTGCTCCGGAAGGGTAAGCAGATCCTGCTCCACATGTGGCACCCGTCGTGTTGCTCGTGTTAGTAAAAACTCAGTATTAGGTCTAATTCGGTAGGTCACATTCGGGAAAAGGGGACGGGATTGTAGTTACGACATTAGGAACATATCCCCTATCATCTGTGAAACAGATATTCCATAACAGTCAACCAACTCGTGATGGCATCCGTAAAATTTATGAAGGGATGATTTCAACTTCACCACTTGGCACTCTTGGTTTAATAGCTTCCTTGTGAGCAGCAACCCTCTATCAAGGAAATCATGATAGGAAATAGAAACCCTGGAATATCGTATCAACTGGGAGATATAAACTCAGTATGCAGGCGCTGCTGGAATGTTGCTATATAAAAATGGAAAGTTCACAATTGGGAAGCTGAAATCATCTCTTTTGTCATAAAGTTTTGTTTTCAACCGACCCTCATTGTCAATTTCTAGATGTAAGTCAAGATATGTGACAGACTTAACTGTATCTGTTGTATCCTTTATCTCAAGTTTGATGGGATAGATGTGTTCAACATAGTCCCCAAATTTTGAATTATTTAGTGAGAGAACATCATCTATGTAGCGGAAAGTAAAGTTAAAGGATACTGCTAACTTCTTTTCTTTCTTCCTAAGAAGTTTCTGTATAAAGTCAGCCTCTTATGAATAAAGGATCAAGTCGGCAAGAAGAGGGGCACAGTTGGTTACCATGGGAATGCCGATTGTTTGTTGAAAAACATGTCCTCTAAATGAACAAATATGTTGTCAATCAAGAAATCAAGCATCTTGATAATGTCAGTTTCAGAGAATTTTTTGTTAGAATCAGAGTAGTTTTTTACAAAGTAGGATTTATCCCTCCCTAAGACAAGATACTTGTATCTACGTTGGCGATTCTTTTTTATGAAACAAAGCAGGACCAATTCTTTCAATTTGTCTTTCAGTTGGAATGGGGATTACTTGTGTAAAGTGTAGAAAAGTCAATTGTTTTAATACTATTGCAAGATGAAAGAGTCTTAGATTGTATGTACTCTAAAAGATCTTTGGAATTTTTTAGTATCCACATCTGATTCAAGCCACCTCTAGAATAGGTAGTTTCACAATAACTTTGAAGCCCGGCTTTGATTGCTGATAAAATTGATGTTAATAATTTCATGGAGCACTTGGAAGACCCAGCAATATACCGTTGTTTGTAAGGACACTTATGTAGTTTAGGTATCCAATACAGTGATGGAAGATCCAGTTCTTCATCTTTGGTTGAAATTCCAAAGGAACATAGAACAGACCTATGATTATCCAGGATTTCCTTTTTATAAGACCGCAAAAAATTTTTTGGGATCGTATAATGGTATGATGTCGTCGTCGTCTGTGTCGTCATCCGAAAACATATTGGTTTCCGGACAATAACTTTAGTTTAAGTGAATGGATCTCTAAGAAATTTTTGAAGAAGATTCAATACCACAAAAGAAAGATTGGGAATGATTTTGGGGATGATGGTCTCAATCGTTTAGGAATTATTTTTCTAGTTTCAGGAAAATAACTTGTGTATTAGTATTTCGATTGCTCTGAAATTGTACCACAATGTTTAATACCACAAGCAGAAGGTTGGGATTCATGTTAGGGGTTATGGGGCCAACAGTTTAGGAATTAAGGGCCAAAAAGGGGCCAAAAACAAGCATTTTTCTAGTTTTCAGACAATAACTTGTGTGTAAGTGTATAGATCTCTCTGACATTGTACCACAAGGTTCCATATAACAAAGGGAAGGCTGTGATTGAGTTTGGGGTTAATTGCCCCAAACATGTAGGAATTAGGGGCCAAAAAAGGGCCATAAACAAGCATTTTTCTAGTTTCCAGACAATAACTTGTGTTTAAGTGAATGGATCTCTCTGAAATTGTACTACAATGTTCCATACTACAAAGGAAAGGCTGGGATTGAGTTTTGGGGTTATTGCTCCAAGGGGGGTTTCAAAAAGTGGGGGGGGGGATTTTTTTTTCCAATTTTTTTTAAGGGATTCATATTTTTTTTCAAAATTTTTCAAGAAGAAATCTTCAATTGCACAGTATTGCGCAATAGATTTGTAAGATCTTTGACCACATTTATTTTGTGTCAGAAACCTATATTATGTCAAAAATTTGATCACAATCAAAATTCAGACAGTATCAAGCTTGAATATTGTGTCCAAATTTGCCCAAACTGTTCAGGGTTCGACCTCTGCTGTCGTATCAGGGTGCGCTCAGCGAAGCATTTTATTGGTAAGTGTTGAGTTTCCAAGTGAATTGTCAATACCTAATTCATTTATCAAGCAGTTTATGTAATGTGATTTAAACACAAACACGATGTTGTTTGGGGCTTTATCTGCGGGGACAACAACATATTTGTCATGGAGGTAGGACAAATGTTTAGCAACATTTCGGTCTTATAAATTAGGCTGTTAGTTTTCTTGTTTGAATTGTTTCACATTTTTCATGTCAGGCCTTTTATAGCCAACTATACGGTACAGGTTTTTCTGATTGTTGAAGGCCGTACAGCTGCCTATAATTGCTTACATCCCCTTCATTTGAACTCTGGTGGATAGTTGTCTCATTGGCAACCATACCACATCTGCTTATTTTTATATACAATGTTGGAGAGTTTGTGGGAAAATTGCAAAACAGATGTAAGATGATTGTAATTTCTAAAAGCAGTAAAATATGATTTGCTTAAAGAACTGACTGTATGAGTCATTGAATAATAGCTAAACATATTCCTCACTTGTCATATTTTGGTATTTGTCAGATTCTTGCATCATGATTTTTGTCTCGCCTTGACAGAGTTAAATAGTGAGACATAGGTATGCTGTTTCAAGCATCAGTGGCGGCAGTGGCATCAACAATGTATTAGTTTGTGATTAGGTCAGTTTATGGAGAATTCATTGACTTTGAATATTTTGCATAACTTTCAAGTTAAAGTATTGCTATTTTAATTTCAACATTTGCATTTTACTATCAAAATAACAAAAAGGTGAGACATATCTATGTGTTAACAGTTTATTATATAGATATACAAATTGCCCAGTTAGATCTTAAAGAAAATGAATTGAAAAATATGCATAATTTTGGAATTGGTTTGAATATAAAACTTGCAGTTAAAATTTTGCAGAAATTTTTAAATGGCGAAAAAATTTAGAGTTTTTACTTTAATTAGCTTCTTTTTGTAAGTGAAGCATGTATTTGAAACTTGTCTTACTTTTATCACCAAGGAAAAATGAGGTATTTTTCCTTAGCAATATTTTTGAATAGTTTTGTTTAAAATATCATATAAATCTATATTTTCTTTATTACTTTTAGGATGAATTAAAGTGTTAGAATATCAACATGTCAAAACTCAGTAAGGGCTTATTGCAAATAAATTATAATTCACATCTCAAAGAAAACATAATTAGACTGTCTTTCTTAATTCTGACTTTTGAACATATGGTGCCTTAGATACCTTTTTATCAATTACAATGTAAAGTTAAAGTATGAATTTTGTAACTAAAATATAACACTTCTATTGTATTTTATCTTAAATAGGAAATAGCTAATTACAGTCTTATTGTAATATTTTGAAGGTGCTAATAGCTTTACCTCAAGTTTACCTTAATCCCTAATCCAGAATTAAGAAAGACAGTCTAATTATGTTTTCTTTGAGATGTGAATTATAATTTATTTGCAATAAGCCCTTACTGAGTTTTGACATGTTGATATTCTAACACTTTAATTCATCCTAAAAGTAATAAAGAAAATATAGATTTATATAATATTTTAAACAAAACTATTCAAAAATATTGCTAAGGAAAAATACCTCATTTTTCCTTGGTGATACTTTCAAGCCTTCGTCTGATAGATTAGTACATAGGGATTCAATCAAAATAGCTGAAGCAGAAAAAGTTAGATGACACCACTGTTAATGAGAACATTAACAAGAAGCAGAAATATGTAAAGAAAAAACATGGACATGACTTGTAGAAAGGAGGTCACATAGTGTTTTTTTTCTTTTTTGTCAGCTTACAGAAATGTCCTTGTTTTTTTTATCATCTACTTAAGCTTAAAACATTAATCTCATCTTCAAAGAAAAGTACATGTATGTCCATTTATGAATAATGTTTAGTTGTCTGAAAATTGTCCTTCTTTATTACAATTTCAAGCAGAGGAATTATATGAAGGTGTCCAAAATGCTTTGTTATTTGATTGCATGTTTGTAAAACATATTTGTTGTTATTGAAACTTACTAGACAGGAAAGTTTGAGTAGTAGGTTTGGCAACAAATTGCTGAGTCATTGTAATGGTAATTGTGCACATCTTTATCCTTTTGTCTTTATGGTATTGTTAGTTTTGTCACTGACAATCTTTTTTAAGTATGGCATTATATGTGCATTTATTTCGCACAATTTTACACTTAAAATGTTTTGCTGACAAAAGGCCAAGAATAATGACAAGTCCATCCTTAAAACCTGACAGAGGGTGGTAAAGGGGGTGCTTGCACGGAAAAAACGTGAAATTAAAATAAGACATAATTTCTGTCGAAAAAATAAAGACTTTGATGTGAACTTATTGTGACTGATTCACTGTTTTACAGGTACTTGATTTTGTAACACTGACAGTACAAGCTCAGAAAGTAAACCTGATGTCAGTGGATTCTCCAAAGAAAGCTGTCAATACATACTTTATTCCTGTGGATAATAAACTAAAGGAGCTGACAGTGTCTGTCAGTGGTGTCACACCAGATATAAAACTCTGGGCTCCTAGTCAAGGTAAGTGATGTCACACCAGTTATAAAACTTAGGGCTCCTAGTCAAGGTAAGTGGTGTCACACCAGATATAAGACTCTGGGCTCCTAGTCAAGGTTAACTAAAGGAGTTCACAGTGACTGTCAATGGTGTCACACCAGATATAAAACTCTGGGCTCCTAGTCAAGGTAAGTGATGTCACACCAGATATAAAAACTTAGGGCTCCTAGTCAAGGTAAGTGATGTCACACCAGATATAAGACTCTGGGCTCCTAGTCAAGGTAAACTAAAGGAGTTCACAGTGTCTGTCAATGGTGTCACACCAGATATAAAGCTCTGGGCTCCTAGTCAAGGTAAGTGATGTCACACCAGATGTAAGACTCTGGGCTCCTAGTCAAGGTAAATGGTGTTACACCAGATATAAGACTCTGGGCTCCTAGTCAAAGTAAACTAAAGGAGTTCACAGTGTCTGTCAATGGTGTCACACCAGATATAAAACTCTGGGCTCCTAGTCAAGGTAAGTGATGTCACACCAGATATAAAAACTAAGGGCTCCTAGTCAAGGTAAGTGATGTCGCACCAGATATGAAACTCTGGGCTCCTAGTCAAGGTAAATGGTGTTACACCAGATATAAGACTCTGGGCTCCTAGTCAAGGTAAACTAAAGGAGTTCACAGTGTCTGTCAATGGTGTCACACCAGATATAAAACTCTGGGCTCCTAGTCAAGGTAAGTGATGTCACACCAGATATAAAAACTAAGGGCTCCTAGTCAAGGTAAGTGATGTCACACCAGATATAAAACTCTGGGCTCCTAGTCAAGGTAAACAAAGGAGTTCACAGTGTCTGTCAATGGTGTCACACCAGATATAAAACTCTGGGCTCCTAGTCAAGGTAAGTGATGTCACACCAGACATAAGACTCTGGGCTCCTAGTCAAGGTAAATGGTGTTACACCAGATATAAGACTCTGGGCTCCTAGTCAAGGTAAACAAAGGAGTTCACAGTGTCTGTCAATGGTGTCACACCAGATATAAAACTCTGGGCTCCTAGTCAAGGTAAGTGATGTCACACCAGATATAAAAACTTAGGGCTCCTAGTCAAGGTAAGTGATGTCACACCAGATATAAGACTCTGGGCTCCTAGTCAAGGTAAACTAAAGGAGTTCACAGTGTCTGTCAATGGTGTCACACCAGATATAAAACTCTGGGCTCCTAGTCAAGGTAAGTGATGTCACACCAGATATAAGACTCTGGGCTCCTAGTCAAGGTAAACTAAAGGAGTTCACAGTGTCTGTCAATGGTGTCACACCAGATATAAAACTCTGGGCTCCTAGTCAAGGTAAGTGATGTCACACCAGATATAAAAACTTAGGGCTCCTAGTCAAGGTAAGTGATGTCACACCAGAAATAAGACTCTGGGCTCCTAGTCAAGGTAAACTAAAGGAGTTCACAGTGTCTGTCAATGGTGTCACACCAGATATAAAGCTCTGGGCTCCTAGTCAAGGTAAGTGATGTCACACCAGATATAAGACTGGGCTCCTAGTCAAGGTAAATGGTGTTACACCAGATATAAGACTCTGGGCTCCTAGTCAAGGTAAACTAAGGGAGTTCACAGTGTCTGTCAATGGTGTCACACCAGATATAAAACTCTGGGCTCCTAGTCAAGGTAAGTGATGTCACACCAGATATAAGACTCTGGGCTCCTAGTCAAGGTAAACTAAAGGAGTTCACAGTGTCTGTCAATGGTGTCACACCAGATATAAAACTCTGGGCTCCTAGTCAAGGTAAGTGATGTCACACCAGATATAAGACTCTGGGCTCCTAGTCAAGGTAAACTAAAGGAGTTCACAGTGTCTGCCAATGGTGTCACACCAGATATAAAACTCTGGGCTCCTAGTCAAGGTAAGTGGTGTCGAACCAGATATAAAACTCTGGGCTCCTAGTCAAGGTAAATGGTGTCACACCAGATATAAGACTGGGCTCCTAGTCAAGGTAAACTAAAGGAGTTCACAGTGTCTGTCAATGGTGTCACACCAGATATAAAAAACTGGGCTCCTAGTCGAGGTAACCACACAATTTAAAAGTTCAAAGATGTAGATTTTCTATAGGCCTGTATGCAAACTTTTGTAAATGTATAAAACCAAATATTCACGAAATACAATTTTTCATCAATCCATGAAAGGACAAGGTATGATAAGGACCATTTCTGGCCCCACTTTTTCCCGAAATTTAGAAACTTTGAAATTGTAACTCATTTCACATGTAAAATGATCTGTAGTATCTGTTCGTCCATGTAGCACCTTATTTTGTTATATTATGTGCTCATATCTGTGCAAACCGAGACCTTGAAAATGCTATGAACGCTGAAAAGTGTCAAAAATCTACAATTTAGTCATGTTTGGGGACAAAATTCTACATCAGCGCCAACATAGACCATCCTGAAATTTTCAACCATCAATTCTACTCTATTATATTTTTCATTTTATGAAATATCATGATGGTCTACATTGGCACTCATATTTTTTATCGAACAAAAAAAGTCCATATAATACGTCAAATAAAACTGCCCGGTTACGAGATTATTCTGGGGTTCATAATTAATCATAATATTACGTACTAATAGATATAAAGCATTTTACCAAGACATATACCTTTCTTTTCGATGATACGCTCTACGTGTAATTAAAACCAGGCAAAAAAGGTCTACAGCAGTGCAGACGACAGCATTTAGTACATAGGTACAGAGTAATGTCCCTTGAAAAGGGTTGAAATTTTTTCCAGTGAATAAGTTTTCAAATATTCGGATAAACCTTCAGAATTGGTTTCATAAAAAGTTCTTATAGTTAAACTCTTTATGTCAATTTGGAAGTAAATAATACAAATTCCCAAAAATATTTTGCACTTGAAATTTTTTAATTATACCAATAACAAAAACAAAAAATAGAATACTAAGTTAACCTCCAACAAATTTCTGACTTGGCAGTCAAACTAGACTTTAATAATAAAGATAAAAAAAAGTAGTAAGGTTGGATAATAAAGATTGATCGATTGATTGTTAATGTTTTAACGCCACTTTTAAGCGCCACATTTGGGCTATTTCGTGGCGGCCAGTTTTTATTGGTGGAGGAGTGGCCAGAGAAAACCACGACCTTCGATAGGAAAACTGACAATCCTAGTCAATTAATATTGGAGTCGAGTGCACCTGCACGAGCGGGGTTCGAATTCACAACCTCAGTGTTGACTGGCTAGTGATTACAGTAGTAGAACTACTTAGACCACTTGGCCACCGAGGCCCCTGGATAATAAAGATAAAAAAAAAGTAAAAAGGTTGGATAATAAAGATTAATAAAAAGTGGAAAGGTTGTTAAAAGAATGCCAACTACATACGAAGTAATGTGACATAATGATTGAAAAAAGTAGAAAGGTCATTAAGCATAATCCCGTAGCATACTATATACATGATATACTAGGTAATCTGACCAACCAAGTCTCTATTAAGTGGTCAAGGCAGTTCAACTTCAATTCTGGTTTTGTAATGCACTAATTATAACCTTAAAGAAAATCATATATAATTCAAATGATATAAAAAAAAAAATACAAAGTTTACTTTCATACAAAATGTCAAACTCTAAATCATGTAGAGTGTATAAAATATGTAAATAAATTCACCAAAAACACTTTATAATGAATTCCCACAAAAAAAAATACACTTAAATATGCCCTCTTATTTCAATTTCATATATAAATATATATTCAAAAGAAAATTTCAAAAAGGGTTGGACTTGCCCAAATAAGTTGTTCTTTACCTGTTAGAGCAATTGTCATCTCTGATTCAGAATAATGTGTCCAGTTAGGGTTACATGTAACCTTGTGAAAAAAAAACTCATTATAGATACCAGGATTAAAATTTCGTATGCCAGACAAAAAGATCCATCAGTGACGCTCGAATCAAAAAAGATTTTAAAAAAGGCCAAATGAATTTTTAAGTTGAAGAATATTGAGGACCCAAAATTCCGAAAGGTGTTGCCATATACGTTAAAAGCACGGTTAATATTCGGCTCCAAATGGTTGAAATATTTCCTAATGCATGTTAAACACAAATCAATCATCATCATCATCATCATCATCATCATCATCATCATCATCATCACTTCCAACTCATGCAATTTTCTATTTTCATAATAACAAGAACTGATGTTAAATTATATTATCAAATATAATTTTAGTTGAATATTATTGTCCTTTAAGAAGTTGCTCTTATGATACTTTTAGTTGAATTTCTAAACTGGTCATCAAGGTCTATGATCGGTTAATCTATGTTTTCTCAAGAAACCACTTGGCCGTTTTGCATTTAAATCAGGACTTTATAAAAAAAAAGATGATGAGACAACATTCCACTAGAGACCAAATGAAAACAAGTAAGAAAATATAGCTCACTCACCATGCGACCTTCAACAATGAGCAAAACCAATACCACATAGAAAGCTATAAAAGGCCCCAAAATGACAAATGCATGGTTGTGATTCATAGTGTGTCTTGTTACTGTGTCCATTTTCCATAATACTGATTTGCCGCAACATTAACGTCATGCATGATAAATCGTGTATTTTATCTGATCAATTTCAAATATATTGGGGTTTCATAAAATATTTTTGCCAAGTACATATGTATATGTTTTCATATAAACACTAGTGTCACATTCTGGATAAATTAAGGAGATGTTTTCAAATGAGAATTATCCACCAGAGATCAAATGACTGAGTTAATTTCACAAATCTATCGTAGAAATAATAACTTTTTGAGAAAATTGAAAGTGTTTATGGCGATTGCTTTCTTCATCTACACATCTTCGTGAGTGATGTTTACATACTGAACACATTCCTCCATGAGTTCAGAGTCTAGGGTACTAAAACTGACAAACATATGCACTGTACAAACAACACTTAGTTGTAACAAACACTGAAACCTTATTAATCAGATGCTGAATTTCCAATAGCATTTTTAATGTGTTTTTTAATGTAAATATTATGAAAATGATACTGCCAATGCTCATAGTTCTAATAACATGCATAACTTGGACTATTATCTACGAATATAAGTGTCATTATAAAGCTTGTTTTATGTAATTTGTAAATGTTGTTTATGTAAAGAACCATTACCAATTCCTGTGGATGGGATCATAAAATTCATTTATGTGAATGATAAAAGTATGAGAATGAAAAAAGTTAACATTTAAGGTCTATATCAACAAGTGTACATGTCAACACAGAATGTTTATAAAATTGGTGATTATTATCAATGTTTATATGTGGGATTGTAAGAATAAAATCTTGATTCAAACAAAATGATTTCTTTTAATTAACGTTCTTAAGTTCGTACATTAATACACTATGATTATAACTAATATAATTATTTCAAATTAAAAGAAAAACCATGTGGATATGACAACTTTCTCTGCTGAATATGCTTTAGCTGTATGTCAGTATAATAACTTTGGTGTTTATACATGTAATTTGTATATAATTTTCTTTTCTCTTTAGTGAAGTGTAAATATTTGACTGACTTTTCATTTCTTACTTGTGTGTTATTTGTCAATCTATTTTACATTTATGCTATTTTGTGAGTAAAATTACCAATTTATTTGTAGTCGTCTTTAAATTTAAACATATTTTTATACGACCGCAAAAATTAAAAATTTTTTGGTCGTATATTGGTATGACGTTGGTGTCGTCGTCGTCGTCCTGCGTCGTCCGAAGACACATTGGTTTTCGCACTCTAACTTTAGTTTAAGTGAATTGATCTCCATGAAATTTTACCTTAAGGTTCAATACCACGAAAGAAAGGTTGGGATTGATTTTGGGGGTTATGGTACCAGCAGTTAAGGAATTAGGGGCCAAAAAGGGGCCAAAAATAAGCATTTTTGTAACTTCCAGACAATAACTTGTGTGTAAGTGTATGGATCTCTCTGACATTGTACCACAAGGTTCCATATCACAAAGGGAAGGCTGTAATTGATTTTGGGGGTAATTGCCTCAAAATTTTAGGAATTAGGGGCCAAAAAAGGGGCAAAAAACAAGCATTTTTCTAGTTTCATGACAATAACTTGTGTGTAAGTGTTTGGATATTTCTGAAATTGTACTACAAGGTTCCATATCACAAAGGGAAAGCTGGAATTGAGTTTGGGGGTAATTGCCCGAAACGTTTAGGAATTGGGGGCCAAAAAGGGGCCAAAAATAAGCATTTTTCTAGTTTCCAGACAATAACTTGTTATTTTCTGTTGTGGTAAGCAACATCTGAGTTATTATGCTATATGTACTTCATAAAGGATAAAGTTGATTGATTGCTGCTTTACACCACACCAGCGTAAAAATGCTATACGTGTATCAAGAAAATTAAAATAAGAATAAGGATGACTAAGATATTACATTACATTAATATGTAACATCGTATGTGAAGGCCAAATTTTCAAAGATTGCAAAATTCATACTTCAAATAACAAAAATCCTTTTAGAACTGTTCCTCATCACAATTTATGTTGCTAGGTTGTTGATAGTCAACTTTACTCAGTAAACTACATTTAAACTGACTTCTTTTTACTTGTTTTTTTATTAAGATCTAGTCAATCAGATTTATATTCATGTATATTTGAAGAATAATATGACATTTCTAGCTGTCTTTAATTTGAACATGTATGGCAGTGGCTAAGCAAAGTTTGTGTTGCTATGCTCGAGAAAAACTTGATTGATATATTTATGTTATAGTGTACGCCATATATGAATGAAAATTCTTTATACCAATTGCAAAATTCAATAAGAAAACAAAAAGAACCAATTATTTGACTGTTGCTAAGCACTATTTTGGTTGCTATGTTGTTGATAAACATAAACCACATTAGAATAAACTACTTTTATTTCTTACTGTTACTTATTCTTATACGACTATCTGATTTGCTTTTATTCTACAATGAAATTAATAATTCCTTTTGGTGGTTGTCTTTAATTGAATCTTTTTTGGCTGATGATAAGCAACATGTGTATTGCTATACTGGATATGAGAATGAAAAACAATTTATAGAAGCTAAAGCTTCAAACAGTTCTATATTTATACCTCAGAGTGCAAAAATAACAAATTTTGAACTGTTGCTAAGCAGTGTTTTTGTTGCTAGGTTGTTGCAAAGCATTTAGTAAACTGAAATTGAAGTGAGTTTTCATTTGTAACTTGAAGTTATTCTTTATTCTAATATGACGTTCTTCAAATGCTTTCAGTACACACCCGTGGTAAAATATGAATATATTGTTTGGGCTGTTCCTATCATACTCCCACGTCATATGTTTTTTTAATGAATGAGCTACTCGAAGTCACTGAACGATGACGTAAGAATATAAGCATTTTACGGGAAAATGCATGATTGTAAAACAGAAAATCATCACAACAAGGAAACGTAGACAAACGATGATTAAATGTGATATAAGCCATTTTTTTTTAACATATAAGTAAAATTATCATTTAAATTCATCTAAACCTATCTAAATACGTTATTGTAGTTTAAGTATGTCACTAGTTCAGTTTGCTCCATTCTTTTACGTCAATGTAATAGTGTGTTCATTTACGGGAACGTCAAATACTTGCCTTCACCTAGAGCGCTTTGATCCAAAAGAATTGCTGTATTTGTCCTATTAGAATAGAAATAATTAATGGGGGTTTGAATTTATACTTATTTTACCACGGGTTTGCCCTTTATGCCGATATTTTACCCCTCGCTCTCGCTCGTGGTAAAATATTTAGCTTAAAGGGCCAACCCGTTGTAAAATCAGTATAAATTCAAGCCCCCATGAATTTTTTCTTAAACAAACAATTCTATTTGGAAGTATGCTAATTTGTAAAGATAAAACAAGTCATAAGCAATAATTTGGTTATTTTACTAAAACCGTTGCTAGGCAACCTTGCTTTCACCGGAACATTAAAAAAGTATTGTTTCCTCAAGCTTTTATACAAAGGCTATCAATAATAAGAATATAAACTTATTTGGGAAGGGCGCCAAAAACGCCCCTTATCATACCTTGTCCATTGGTAACCTGGATAATGAATGAATCCACAGTAGCTTTTAAATACAAATTATCAACTGAAATCTTTTTAGGAATATCTCTGACTTAGATACTTTTGAAAACTTGACAGCTTTGTTAAATATTTTAACTGTATTTCCATCATGTGTAAATGAGACTTGTAAGTCATATTCAACTGATTGGAATTGAGAGGTAAAAACATTTGTCTGGGAAATTTTATCTTTAAGGATTTTTTTCTTAAATTCAACTGTCTTGTTTTTTCTATTACAATTATTTTAGTTTTTTGACAGTTGGTGATAACTTAATCTACTTTGTGAAAAAGATCTGTTTTATATGTAGGATAGAGATTTCTTATAATATGTATTCAAGTTACCAGCTTTTGCATTTTAGAAAATGAGTATACTGAATATGATGGTTTGAGAAATTTACTTGATTTGAAAAAGGTCAAAATCCAGAATGTAAGAGACCCTGTACCAGGAAAATGGAAGTTGCAGGTATCCAGCAACAGTTCTCATACAGTCAGAGTTCGTGGACTGAGTTCTTCAAACTTCTTTCCAAGTTTCTCTCGTAGCACTACTCAGGACACTTCTTCAACAACATTAAGGCCACTCAAAGGTAAATATTCCATATCAAAATAAGAAGATGTAGTATGCTTGCCAATGAGACAACTCTGCACCAGAGACCAAATGACATAGAAGTGAGTCACTATAGGTCACTGTAAGACCTTCAACGATGAGCAAAACCCATACTGCATAGCAAATTATAAAAGACCCGAAATGACAAAATGTAAAATAATTTAAACGAGAAAAATAATGGTCTGATTCATGTGCATATCTGGAAATGCTAGTTGTTTATATTTGGACTACTGTTGATTCATTATTATACGCCCGTTTACGGGGCATATGATGGTATACCATTGTCCGTCTGTCCGTACATCTGTCCATCCATCGTCAACATGTCGGACAATAACTCAAAAATGCTTTAACCAGTTTGCATGAAACTTTAGTGAATTGTTTTATATCTATTGACGTGAGCTCCATTGATTTTTATAAATTTTAGATTTTACGTCTCCGAGTTTTAGGGTGTTATTCATTAAAAAAGGGGGATTTTCCAGTTTTCATACAATAATTCAAAAATGCTTTGAGCAGTTTTCATGAAACTTTGATGAATTGTTTATATTTATTGACGTGAGGTCCCTTTTGATTTTTAAAAATTTTAGATTTTACGTTTCCGAGTCATGAGGTTTTTATTCATTAAAAAAGGGGGATTTTCGTGCAATAATTCAAAAAGTGCTTTGAGCAGTTTTCATGAAACTTTGGTTACTGGTTTGTATTTATTAAAATAACCTCCCTTTAGTTTCTTGATAAATTTCTGATATGACATTGAGGAGTTATGGAACATTATTCTTTGAAAAAGCGACGGGCGTATCATGTGCTCATGGCGCAGCTCTTTATTATTTATGGGATACCAATATTCAGGGATTGCGTGGGTATAGGTGAACCACGAAATAAACGTCCAACGAAGTACACAATTTCTATAGGCTTGTATGCAGAGTTTGGCAAAATCACGAAATTAGATACCCACGAAGATAGGGTTTCCTCTCAATTCACAAAAATTGGTTCCCCTGAAAATAAATGAATCCACAGTATGTTAAATCCTCAGATTAAACATGGAAAAGATATTCTAGATAACATAAAATCTAGCAAAATGCAATTACGATTGTTTTGCTTCTATTTTAACCTATATTGTATTTTATATACTGTACCAACAGCTGATGCTAGTAAAATTGAATTATAAGTTCATTGTCATTGGCAGTGAAAATTTTCTTGTAAAAACTATATAGCCTGTATAGGATTTTTAAACTAGAACATGACACTTAAGTAGGATAAATCTACTTCTAGGAATAGAATCCAGTACTATAGTGAACACAACAGACATAGATCCACCTGCAGGCCTGTATAGGATGGAGTTTATTGATCTTCAGGGGAAGGTGTTAGCGGAATATCCATTAATAAGAAATCCGTTAATGGACAATATATACACTGTTTCTCCATTAATTCCTCCCTATACATTCTTCTACATCAAGGTTTGTTGGTAATAATTGAACACAAAAATTGAAAACAAAAATGTTATCTAAATTTAAATTTTGATGAAGGGGAGGGGGGTGACATGGGGGTGCTCATTTCCCAAATCCTGCTTTATTATTTTTTCCCTCTTCTCTCTTTTTATGTCGAGCTGTAAAATTTATTTCGCAAAAGCGAGACATAGCGATCCTAGATGCTGTCGGCGGCGTCAACATTTAGGTTCAGTCTATGGTTAAAGTTTTTTTGTACATCAATAACTTTGTCAAACCTACATGGAATTAGATGAAATTTGGACAGAAGCTTTGTTTATGACCAAAATACAGTATCCAGAGCAAAATTTTGTAAAATATTTATTTACATTTTCCCGTATTTAACTGATAAATGGACTTAGTTTTTTTCATTTAACAAATAGATACAGTCTGGGGTTAAAGTTTGTTATACATCAATCGCTTTGTCAAACCTTCATAGAATTTTATGAAACTTTATGAACAGTATGGGATTAAATTTTTTTGACATGATAAATTTGCTAACCTTCATGGATTGTTGTGAAACTTGGACAGAAGCTAATCTTCAAGACCAAGAAATAGCATCTAAAGAGAAAATTTGAATCTTTTTTTAACATTCTGTATTTTACTGATAAATGGACTCACTTTTTAAGTCAACATTACACTTTTATACTGACAGCAGCAATCACAAATTTTTAATTTTTTAAATCCCAGATCCCACTTTTTTACCCCCTTTATCCCACATCCTAAAAGCATGTCATCCCCTCATTGGTTTCCTCTTTATGTGAAGCCTGCATCATTTTGTAGTGGAAAAGAAGAAATAGCAATCTATCTCATTCTGTCTGCAGCTACAACATTTAGGTTCAGTCTATAGGTAAAGTTTTTTTTATAAATCAATATGGATTTTTTTTAAATTGAATAGAACTGTTTTATGAACAGCAAACAGTTGCAAAATTTTGAAATTTGTTTTTGCATTTTTTCTGTATTTAACTGATAAATGGACTTAGTTTTTTTGCAGTTTTCTCATTCATGCATCTGTCTTCCATCCATGCATTAGTCTGTCTGCTGGTTCTTCAGACCTGTATCAGGTTTTAATTTTTTTAAGTTAAGGTAGTGAAATTTAAAATTGTGGACATATCAACTTGAAACATGCTCACTGTGATATAATAATTTTAAAGTAAATGCCAAACTAAGGTTTTTGACCCAGATATCATGTTTTACTGATCAGAGTTAAATTTTGGTTTGTGGTAGTTTACCATGAAGTTGTGTTTACATCAACTTGAAACTTAACTCTATGTTCATTTTGATTTGAACTTTGTAGATATATACAAAATAAGGGTTTCTACCCAGATTTTTCAGTTCACAGAACATGGAAATGTGATTGTTCAAACTATGCATGGTTTTGTATGCAGCCATTTTCCTATTATCACATTAAAAAAGAAGACAGTATAAATGTATCAGTTAAATGTTGTTATATACCTATAGTAATCAAATGTGTTTTAGGTGACTGGTGTAGATGATGAAGGGAATACCTTACAGAGACTAACACCAACTGCCATCAGTGCTAGAGAGGCCACTAGACCAGTGGTTTATATGTCTGACATGACCAGAGGTTACTATGAAGCAACAGCTTTCCTAACTTGTGAAGTTGTCAGTGAAGTACCTTTCTTAGTTCAATGGTCACGAAGTGGGAAGTCACTTGGCAATTTACAGCAGCATAGGTAAAATTTCTTAGTTTTTATTTATGTAAAATTTTTCTTGTCTTATAAATTATCTATTATCAAAGAGTGTTTAAAATTCAGGGTGATAGCAGGGCTTCCAAAACGGTCACATTATCCGGACAAGTCATTTGATGATATATTTAAAAAGATTGTAATAAAGGTTTTAATCAAAAAATTGTTTGAACCACATTGTTTGAACTAGTACACTGTGATTTGGGATAAAGATATAGTACAAATATAATCCTTGTTACAGACATTCCAGTAATGTAACTTTGGAGGTACCTAATGCTACAGAGAAGTCAGAAGGACTGTACTTGTGTAATGCTACAAATAAAGCAGGATGGAGAGCTACACAAACCTTTTTAGATGTCAGTGGTTAGTAATAATTTATCACTATTTTCTAGAGTATTTATGTGTAAAGAACACTTCAACTCGACGGAACTGATTGTTCATTAGCTTTCATATTTAGTTGTTTATTTTTTTTATGCCCCCTCTGGTGACGTCGTACGTCCCCAAATTGGTTTTTATTCTCTAACTTTAGTTTGCCTAAACCAAATGTTATGAAATTTATACAAAATGTTTTTTTCCCACAAAACACAGATCAATTTGAGTGGAGTCACTTTTACTGTTCTCCAGTTATGCCCCTTTATAACGTTAAATGCAAGCGGGGCATCATCTGTGTCCAATGGGCACATTCTCCAGTTTTTGTCTCACCTTGACGAGTCAAAAATGATATTTGGTATGCAGTTGTATAAGCATTGGCATATCTCATTTCCATGGAGATTATTTGGCACCGCCCCCTCAGTCATGGTCTATTGACTTCGAAACTTTTGCTTAGTTTTCATGTATTAGTTTGTGATTAGGTCCTATTTTCTCAATTCACTCTGTTCAACTGAAAATAAATCATTTATGTACTCTTGGCTCCTTATTTTCTGACGACACCCTAATACCAACCACGAAAAATAATACGTATATCTCAAATATTTGCAATGAAATTATTTCTGTATTCATAAAGGCAAACACCATTATAGAGACTGTCAGGTGCGGTGACCATCTTCAAAATTTATTAAACACATAAAACACAAGACAAATGTCCTTAATAGTTTTCATCACAAATGGCATCAGTTCATTCAAATAACATACAATGGCATCAGTTCATTCAAATATTCTAATATGACGTCCTTCTTTCGCTTTGGAAACAAAGCCATGTTCTAATTACAATAAAACATGGGCTGCACGTGATTGACGTCACAATTGAAATTGCAACGTCAGTTGTATTTTGAACAACGCTGGAGGTCGAAATGGATAGTTTTGTCGATGTTGCTCGCTAGGAAATTAAATAAAATCATTCTAAAAGTAAGTTTACGTTTATATATTAATTTTTTTATCGTTCAACTGTTGATTTTCTATAGCGTTTTTGGTTCATCAAATCAAAATGGCGGCCTTTTGGATGTGTATTATAGGTCCGCTTCTAAGTACAAAATTTCTTAATATTCCTATCAGAATCGAAATAATTCTATCATGCCATGCTTTATGCTCATTTTAACATGGGTAGGCATTATATTTGTCAATATTTTACACCTCGCTAACGCTCGGTATAAAGATATTTACAAATATAATGCCTACCCATGTTAAAATGAGCATAAAGCATGGCATGAAAGAATTATTTCTTAAACATACAATCTACAAAAGAGAAGCGCATAATTAAAATATGAACACTACATATCTAATGCATGAACTGTTATACTGAAGATTAATCTTCCTATACACAAATACATACTCGTTAGATGGTCTCCACCCTTGTCGATAACTTTTCTTGTGCATGCACGACTTTAAATACTAAAGGAACTTCTTACTCTATTGTTATTACAATTAGCCCGCTACCTGTACTCGAAAATTCATACGCCTGTCGTAGTCGTACATAAATATATAGTTTAAGGGGAACTGTTAGTGTTAGGTCAATGATTATTGGTATGCAGTTGTAGAATCATAAACACATCTCATTTCCATGGAGAATATTTGGTCCTTACCCCTCAGTCATGGTCTATTGACTTTGAAACTTTTGCTTAGTTTACAAGTTAATGTTTGTGTTTATGTTTGTTTAAAGGGAACGACTTATGAAAAGTCAATGGTTTTTGGTATGCAGTTGTATTAGCATTAATTTGGCACATCTCATTTCCATTGAGATTGTTTAGCCCTCTACCTTCATTCATGGTTCATTGACTTTGAATATCTGCATATTAAACTTACATGTTAAAGTATTACTATTTTAATTTCAACATTTGCATTATCAAAATAACAAATAGGCGAGGCAAATCTCTGTGTTAACAGTTTATTAAATTTATGATGCATATTATTTTATGTTATCACACCATCTTGAACTATGTTACTTTGAAATTCCTAACTTAATTGAAAACTGTATCAACAGCATCATTGCACGTTAAAATGCCACAGGACTAGGAGGTTTGTGCTACACCAAAATATCAGCTTTGATCTATAGTTTGGTCTTTGTTTGGATATCCACGAGCCAGAATTCAACCACCTTAGAATGCCACAGGACTAGGTTTGTGATACACCCAAATATCAGCTTTGATCTATAGTTTGGTCTTTGTTTGGATATCCACGAGCCAGAATTCAACCACCTAAGAATGCCACAGGACTAGGAGGTTTGTGCTACACCCAAATATCAGCTTTGATCTATAGTTTGGATATCCACGAGCCAGAATTCAACCTACTTAGAATGCCACAGGACTAGGAGGTTTGTGCTACACCCAAATATCAGCTTTGATCTATAGTTTGGTCTTTGTTTGGATATCCACAAGCCAGAATTCATCCACCTAAGAATGCCACAGGACTAGGAGGTTTGTGCTACACCCAAATATCAGCTTTGATCTATAGTTTGGATATCCACGAGCCAGAATTCAACCACCTTAGAATGCCACAGGACTAGGAGGTTTGTGCTACACCCAAATATCAGCTTTGATCTATAGTTTGGATATCCACGAGCCAGAATTCAACCTCCTTAGAATGCCACAGTTGTATGAGTTAGGGGTACATATTAACATCAGTTTAATGCCACAGTTGTATGAGTTAGTGGTACATATTAACATCAGTTTTAATCTATGTTGTTTTGGTCTTTATTTTCAGAACCACCACCCAGCATCACTCCACCTCAGAATGCCTCAGTAGTACCAGGAGAGAATGCTATGCTTACTTGTTATGTGTATAGTACTGTGGACTTTAATATATCATGGTACAAAGTTGGCAGAAATTCTAGGATAAAATCCAGTAAAAAGTTTAACATTCTCAACAATGGTTCACTCATAGTCAGGTAATATGATCAAAATTATCATACTTTCATTATTGGAATACTGTCACATGACTGAAAACCAGTTAGGATGTTTTTACAAAAACATATGCTCTCATTCACTCACTATATTGCCCACTTCTGAAAAACTTCTCTTCTTTTCAGTTAATGGTCAGCAATTTGAAATATGTTATTTTTGTCTTGATATCATGTTCCTAGGATAAAATAGGGTTGATTTCTACAAGTGTTGATTTATGTAAAATATTCATGACATCCATGACGATTTCAGGCCAATGAATATAAATATACCACAAACATGTATTATCCAGTGTTAGGTATACTTTTATACTGAAATTTAGGAAATAAAAGAAATTTTGTCTTTTATTTAGAAGGACCTTCCAAATTTAAAAACATACAGCATGTAACAAATCCAAGATGGTAGCCCCATAAACTAGCAGCTAGGAGTAGGTGCTTAGTTTTTAGGTGTCTTTTTTATCAAACTGAACAAGATGTGAAGTTTGTGATATCAATGATATCTATACCTATCCAGTGTTAGGTATACTTTTATTCTGAAATTTGGGAAATAAAAGAAATTTTGTCCTTTATTTAGAAGGACCTTCCAAATTTGAAAAAAACAAACAACATGTAACAAATCCAAGATGGTAGCCCCATAAATGAGCAGTTAGGTGCTTAGTTTTAGGTGTCTTTTTTATCAAACTGAACAAGATGCGAAGTTTGTGATATCAATGTATTACTACATGTAAGGTTGACTTACCTATCTAGTATATTTGTTTGTTGATGGTATTACTACATGTAAGGTTGACATACTTATCTAGTATATATGTTTGTTGATGGTATTACTACATGTAAGGTTGACATACCTATCTAGTATATTTGTTTGCTGGTGGTAATACTACATGTAAGGTTGACATACCTATCTAGTATATTTGTTTGTTGGTGGTAATACTGCATGTAAGGTTGACATACCTATCTAGTATATTAGTTTGTTGATGGTATTACTACATGTAAGGTTGACATACCTATCTAGTATATTTGTTTGTTGGTGGTATTACTACATGTAAGATTGACATACTTATCTAGTATATTTGTTTGTTGATGGTATTACTACATGTAAGGTTGACATACTTATCTAGTATATATGTTTGTTGATGGTATTACTACATGTAAGGTTGACATACCTATCTAGTATATTTGTTTGCTGGTGGTAATACTACATGTAAGGTTGACATACCTATCTAGTATATTTGTTTGTTGGTGGTAATACTACATGTAAGGTTGACATACCTATCTAGTATATTAGTTTGTTGATGGTATTACTACATGTAAGGTTGACATACCTATCTAGTATATTTGTTTGTTGGTGGTATTACTACATGTAAGATTGACATACTTATCTAGTATATTTGTTTGTTGATGGTATTACTACATGTAAGGTTGACATACCTATCTGGTATATTTGTATGTTGGTGGTATTACTACATGTAAGGTTGACATACCTATCTAGTATATTTGTTTGTTGGTGGTACATGTATTACTACATGTCAGGTTGACATACCTATCTGGTATATTAGTTTGTTGATGGTATTACTACATGTAAGGTTAACATACCTATCTAGTATATTTGTTTGTTGATGGTATTACTACATGTAAGGTTGACATACCTATCTAGTATATTTGTTTGTTGATGGTATTACTACATGTAAGGTTAACATACCTATCTGGTATATTCGTTTGTTGATGGTATTACTACATGTAAGTTTGACATACCTATCTAGTATATTTGTTTGTTGGTGGTATTACTACATGTAAGGTTGACATACCTATCTAGTATATTTGTTTGTTGATGGTATTACTACATGTAAGGTTGACATACATGTCTAGTATATTTGTTTGTTGGTGGTATTACTACATGTAAGGTTGACATACCTATCTAGTATATTTGTTTGTTGGTGGTAATACTACATGTAAGGTTGACATACCTATCTAGTATATTTGTTTGTTGGTGGTATTACTACATGTAAGGTTGACATACCTATCTAGTATATTTGTTTGTTGGTGGTAATACTACATGTAAGGTTGACATACCTATCTAGTATATGTGTTTGTTGGTGGTATTACTATATGTAAGGTTGACATACCTATCTAGTATATTTGTTTGTTGGTGGTAATACTACATGTAAGGTTAACATACCTATCTGGTATATTAGTTTGTTGATGGTATTACTACATGTAAGGTTGACATACCTATCTAGTATATTTGTTTGTTGATGGTATTACTACATGTAAGGTTGACATACCTATCTAGTATATTTGTTTGTTAGTGGTATTACTACATGTAAGGTTGACATACCTATCTGGTATATTTGTTTGTTGATGGTATTTACATGTAAGGTTGACATACCTATCTAGTATATTTGTTTGTTGGTGGTATTTACATGTAAGGTTGACATACCTATCTGGTATATTAGTTTGTTGATGGTAGTACTACATGTAAGGTTGACATACCTATCTAGTATATTTGTTTGCTGGTGGTATTACTATATGTAAGGTTGACATACCTATCTGGTATATTAGTTTGTTGATGGTATTTACATGTAAGGTTGACATACCTATCTAGTATATTTGTTTGTTGGTGGTATTTACATGAAAGGTTGACATACCTATCTGGTATATTTGTATGTTGGTGGTATTACTATATGTAAGGTTGACATGCCTATCTGGTATATTTGTTTGCTGGTGGTATTACTATATGTAAGGTTGACATACCTATCTAGTATATTTGTTTGTTGATGGTATTACTACATGTAAGGTTGACATACCTATCTAGTATATTTGTTTGTTAGTGGTATTACTACATGTAAGGTTGACATACCTATCTGGTATATTAGTTTGTTGATGGTATTACTACATGTAAGGTTGACATACCTATCTAGTATATTTGTTTGCTGGTGGTATTACTACATGTCAGGTTGACATACCTATCTAGTATATTTGTTTGTTGGTGGTATTACTACATGTAAGGTTGACATACCTATCTAGTATATTTGTTTGTTGGTGGTATTACTACATGTAAGGTTGACATACCTATCTTGTATATTTGTTTGTTGGTGGTATTTACAGGGATGTTAAGCCAACAGATGATGGAAAATATGTCTGTAGAGTAGGGAATGAAGGTGGATTTACAAAACAGAGTGTCTTCCTTAATGTACAAGGTAGATATATATGTCAAATAGATTGATTATAAGGCTTGTTTTTAATCAAAATATAAACAGGTCAATAATGAACAGTAACCACCATATTAACAGGTAAAAATTGAAGTCATCTAATAAAATATAAACATGTCAGTACATGTAATAAACAAACATCAAAATATGAACAGTCAGTTATGAACAGACATCCAAATATAAACAGTTCAGTAATGTACAGACGCCCCTTTATGAGCATGTCAATAGTAAACAGACATCCATATATAAACATTTCAATAATGAACAGACGTCCCTTTATGAGCATATCAATAGTAAACAGACGTTAAAATATAAACATTTCAGTAACGAACAGATTTCCCTATATGAGCATATATATATATATCAATAGTAAACAGACGTTAAAATATAAACATTTAAAAAATGAACAGACATCCAAATATAAACATTTCAAAAATGAACAGACATCCAAATATAAACAGGTCAATAATAAACAGACATCCAAATATAAACAGGTCAATAATAAACAGACATCCAAATATAAACAGGTCAGTAATAAACAGACATCCAAATATAAACAGGTCAATAATAAACAGATATCCAAATATAAACAGGTCAATAATAAACAGACATCCAAATATAAACAGGTCAATAATAAACAGACATCCAAATATATATATTTCAATTAGGATTAATTGATCGTTGTTTGCTTTTAAAACATTCAATGACAAATATTTCATGCATGTTCAGGATAAGAGGATAAGAACAAATTAACATTAAAAACAATAGGTTGGTCCTGTAATAGGGGTCGTCTGATTAAGGTCACAAAATTTGGTATGCCACTGGAAAATGGGTATATTGAATAGGGACAGAAATTTTGCCTTGTAAAAGGCCACCTACAGACCCCTCAAAGATTTGTTGCAAGGGTTCATAACGTGCAGAGAACATGGCACTCTCTCTACTTGAGGCATCAAATTCAACGTCCCCATACTGACCAGAAGTGGCTTTGCATTCATACATCCAGCATATCAAAAGAGACCATATTTCTATTCATCAGTCAATAATGAACAGCCATCCAAATATAAAACAGGTCAAATGATGAAGACAGCAAGGTATAAACAGATTGAAAATTAACTGACATTAAACAAGTCTACAACTACATAAAATGTACTCTAAAATAGCCTAACAATATAAACTTTTTTAACATTCTATTATACAAGTTTTCTGTCAAAATTTCTTATAAATGTTTGAATGTAGGCAAATATTTTTTTAAACAATCAATATGAATATACCAATGCAGTTATCCATATTAAGTCTTTCTATGTTTTTCAGTACCCCCTGAAGTAACCGTAGATCCAACAGAACAGAATTTCCAAGTTGGTAGAAAAATATCATTCATGTGTGTTGCCAGTGGTAACCCTTCTCCAAGTTACTATTGGTTACGAGATGGTGAACTTTTGATCCCTAACAACAGAATAAATATATCAGGGAATGTATTATCGATTGAGAAATTGGTGAGAGATGATGAGGGTAGCTACCATTGTTTAGCTAGGAATGCGGCTGGAGAAAGTGTGGCCATAGCTCAACTGAATTATATTGGTATAAATAGCAAGCACATAGCACTCCTCAATTCATAGGCATTGAATACCTTTATTTGCCTCCAAGAATCAGAACAAAAGGAGGTTTTATATTAAGATATTTAATTTTTTTTAAAAAGAACATAATTTGTTATGTTTTTAAAAGTGGTTACAATATGATCTTTTAGAAAATAATTTTTAAAAATATTAGTTATGTGGTTTATAAGCTTCATAAGTGAGCAATGAAAATTACACTTTTTTTTTATTTTATTATGTTTTTCACTTTACAGAATAGCTAACTGAATAAATAAAGAGTTGAAAGATAAAAGATAATGAGCCTTTACAGTGATTCCTTAAACCATGTAGGTCTGTTACTAATTTTAACATGGATATGGTTTTTACAGAGAAACCAGAGATTACACTTTATGACAAAGAATTAATTGTATCAGTTGGTGATCCAGCTATCCTAAAGTGTTCATCCAAAGGGATCCCACCACCTTTGATCACCTGGAACAGGGGAGATGTAGAGGTATTTGTTATAGCTTTTGTCCAAGTTCTATTGCAATCCATGAAGGTTTACAAATTTATCATGTCAAAATAATTTAATCTTAGAATGTCTGTTAATGTTTACTGCAAAAACTAAGTCCATTTATCAGTAAAGTACTGAGAAATGAATGAAATATATTTTCAAAATATTGCTTCAGACATTATCTCATAATTCTAATCATAAGAAAAAGCTTCTGCCAAATTTCATGATGGCTAACAAGACCGTCACCACATATAAAGACGAATAGTGATCCATGAAATAAAGATCACTACACAGAAACCACTCAAACTTCTTTATAAGTGACAAGATCAGGTAAGACCAAGTAACCTTTGGAATATATTATAATACTCCCTGCAAACAAAATAGGGGTGTATATGTGAATCATCCAGTTCTCCACCCTTCTGTCTGTCCCCCTTACTGTCCATATGCTTGGTCAGCTAATCTTCTCCTAAACAGCTAGATGGATATTGATGAAACTTTACACAGTTGTAAAACACTCCCTGAAGATGTCCTTAAAGGAATATAGTCCTGGTCTAACTTGGTAAATGGGAGATTATTAAATTTACTTACTTCCATATACTAATGGTATTGCAGGGCAGTGGTATCTTTTTGTGAGTTTTCTCTTGCAGTTATATTTAATCATTACTTTTAGTTCAGATGGACATCATCTTATAAATGCAAAATTTTATTATTTTCATCTGATTCTAGTGATTTATTTCAGATAACAGCTTTGTCCTATGTTAAGTTATCAAAAGAGGGACAGTTGACAATCTTTGGCACACAGGAACAAGATGCTGGCATATATCGCTGTGTAGCTAGTAACAATGCCGGCTCTACATCTATAACAACTCAACTAACTGTAGGATGTAAGTGTCTGTCTGTAACCAGTAATTGTCAGTGATCTATACATGCTCCTTGGAGCCTCTAGTTATGATATCCAAGCTACTAGATGAAGACCCATTGGTGGCTTTGGGCTGTTTTCTGCTCTTTGGTCAGGTTGTTGTCTCTTTGACACATTCCCTGTTTCCATTCTCAATTTTATTACCACCTAGAAAACCTGTTATATAAGGTGTATTTTTTTCAATGTTTTCATTAAAAACACTTGATTTTACTTTAATTCAGCTTAACCATAGAGTAGAAAGCATTAAACAACATGAATAATAAAACTTTTGAATTTGGTCTGTATTTCCTTGTTTCACAGCTGAAGCTAGAATAACAGGACCACCTCTAAACACTGGAGCTGACATAGGAACTAATGCTACATTGACATGTAGAGCCTCTGGAAAACCACGTCCTACCATAACATGGCTGACAAATGGAAAACCTGTCAATGTTTTAGAAGAAAGATTAATACAGCTAGCTGGTGGAGAATTGTTCATACAAGGTAGTACATAATGGAAAGGTAGTTATAACAGGTTAAGCTACAGTTAAAGCAGAAATATTTTATTCATTTACAAAATTTTGAAAATGTTTTTTTTTTACTGGAGTGTATGTATTACTATGTAATTACAGGTTTTGTAGTGTTAGTATTTTATACCCCTGCTCATCGCATTATCAGAGTAGGGACCAGTAAAAGAAAATGCATATAAAACACATGTAAGACCCATAACAGAATATGCCAGTCCAGTATGGGATTCATACTTTAAAACAGAAATTGACAGACTCAAAATGGTCTAGAGATGAGCCACACAGTATATTATGAATAAGCACCATGATCACTCAAGTGTAAGCAAGATGCTCAATGGAGATCTTTGGAACAAAGACGAAAAGTTGCAAGACTTACTATGCTTTTTAAAATAATAATCGATAAAGTTACAATTACAAAGGAAGGTTGTCTGATGTCACCAAAATATCTGTCATAAAAAATGCATGACAGAATATCCAGCATCATCAAGTGATTACTGGAAATATTCTTTCTTCAAACATACCATCAGATATTGGAACACTCTCCCTCCAGGAGTTGTATCAACACTCCAGTCGAGGCTTTCAAAGCCTCGGTGACAAAGCTGAACTAAATTCAAATATTATGAGTGATGGGGATGGGTTCGTATGCAAACCAAAGTCAGGGCAGGATAATCAGTTTGTTGATTGTGGCCATTATCTGGTACTGGTAACAGTAGAAGGATAAACTAATCATGAAGTGTAAAAGTGCCTGAGGTAGATGAGCAGTTCAAACAATGAATATAGGAAATCGATTGATATGTTTGAAAATTAACACATCAGCATACTAAACTGTTCGCTTTTAGTTTATATGTACATGTATTACTTCAACTTTAGAATTCACATAAATGTAAATCTTACTGTGCAATAAAAATGAGTTGGAATTATGTAAGGATAAACATTTCAAGTAAGCAAAAATAAATCAAAAGTTCTAATTTCAAAAGGTAAAGTAAAATTAGGCTTTATTGCACCCTGTTCATTTGCATTTATTAGGCTTTATTGCACCCTGTCCATTAGCATTTATTAAGCTTATTTAAGGGTATAATATTTATGACCCATCTTGTTATAGCAACTCCTCTGAAACCACACAACTGAATTTCATGAAACTTTGTAGATAATAAGGACATACTATGTAGATCTGCATATTGAAAGGAAGTTATGATTCAAATTTTTATGCCCCGCCTACAATAGTAGTAGGGACATTATGTTTTCTGGTCTGTGCATCCGTTCATTCATTTATTCGTTCGTATGTTCATCTGTCCGTCTGTTCATCCATCTGTCCTGTATCAGGTTTAAGTTTTTGGTCAAGGTAGTTTTTGATGAAGTTGAAGGCCAATCAATTTGAAACTTAGTACACATGTTCCCTATAATATGATCTTTCTAGTTTTAATGCCAAATTAGAGTTTTGACCCCAATTTCACGGTCCGCTGAACAAAGAAAATGATAGTGCGAGTGGTGCATCTATGTACTATGGACACATTTTTGTTTCTAGGAGTTATGCCTGTTTGAACTTAGTACTTTGGCCTAAATATACTGCCTTAACAGTTTGTCACCGCAACTCCTCTGAAACCATACAACTGAATTTTATGAAACATGTAGATAATGAGGGCATACTATATTGATGTGCATATCAGCAGGAAATTATGATTCTATTTTTATGCCCCTGCCGTAGCGGTGGGGGCATTAAGTTTTACCCTTGTCCGTCCGTCCGTACGTCCCAAATTTGGTTTCCATTCTCTAACTTGAGTTTGCCTCAACCAAATGTTATGAAACTTATACACAATGCTTATAACCACAAAGCACAAATCAAGTGAGAATTTTGGTGGCGTCACTTTAACTGTTCTAGAGTTATGCTCCTTTATAAATGGAAAAATTGCAAAATTTTTAGTTTCTTCTAAATATCAAGTAATTTTTGTCGAGCCTGCGACTTTTGTTGCAGAAAGCTCGACATAGGGATAGTGATCCGGCGGTGGCCGCGGCGTTAGCTAACTTCATAAAAGCTTTATATTTTAGAAGGTGGAAGACCTGGATGCTTCATACTTTGTATATGGATGCCTCATGTTACGAAGTTTCCGTCAGTCACATGTCCAATGTCCTTGACCTCATTTTCATGGTTCAGTGACTACTTGAAAAAAAAGTTCAGATTTTTTGGAATGTTAAATTCTCTCTTATTATAAGTAATAGGATAACTATATTTGGTATGTGCGTACCTTGCAAGGTCCTCATGTCTGTCAAACAGTTTTCACTTGACCTCAACCTCATTTCATGGATCAGTGAACAAGGTTAAGTTTTGTGGTCAAGTCCATATCTGAGATACTATAAGCAATAGGTCTACTATATTTGGTGTATGTAATGATAGTAAGGTGTACATGTCCAACTGGCAGGTGTCATCTGACCTTGACCTCATTTTCATGGTTCAGTGGTCATAGTTTAGTTTTTGTGTTTTGGTCTGTTTTTCTAATACTGTATGCAATAGGTCAACTGTATTTGGTGTATGGAAATATTTTACGATGTTCATGTCAGTCTGGCAAGTTTTATTTGACCTTGACCTCATTTTTACGGTTCATTGCTCAATGTTAAGTTTTTGTGTTGTGGTCTGTTTTTCTAATACTGTATGCAGTAGGTCAACTATATTTGGTGTATGGAAATATTTTACGATGTACATGTCAGTCATGACATGTTTTATTTGACCTTGACTTCATTTTCAAGGTGCATTGGTAAATGTTAAGTTTTTGTGTTTTGGTCTGTTTTCCTAATACTGTATGCAGTAGGTCAACTATATTTGGTGTATGGAAATATTTAATGATGTACATGTCAGTCTGGCAGGTTTTATTTGACCTTGACCTTATTTTCATTGTTCATTGCTTATGTTAAGTTTTTGTGTTTTGGTCTGTTTTTCTTACACTTTAAGCAATAGGTTAACTATATTTGGTGTATGGAATGATTGTAAGGTGTATATGTCTGTTTGGCAGGTATCATCTGACCTTCACCTCATTTTCATGGTTGATTGGTCAATGTTCAGTTTTCCTGGTTAACTTTTTTTCTTAGATACCTTAAGCAATAGGTCAACTATATTTGGAATGATTTTAATGTGTACATGTCTGTCTGGCAGGGTTCAAATGACCTTGACTTTATTTTCAGGGTTCATTGGTCAATATAGAATTTCCATGGTTTGGTCTGTTTCTTTTATACTATAAGCAATAGGTCATCTATATTCTGTGTATGGAGGGATTGTATTAAAGGTGTACATGTATTTCCGGCTTGGTTTATCTGACCTTGGCCTCATTTTCTTGGATCATAAATGTTAATGTGATACTTGTAGTAAAACTTTATATGTAGGACTATCAACATAAAATCAATGGTCAGTATAGTAGGCGAGACATTTCAGCGTGTGCACTCTTGTTGAAATTGGAGTTATCTTCCTTTGTCCATGATTATAGTTGAATCAACTACAATCAATGCTTTATACAATGCAATGTTTAATTTTGACTTCCACTGATAAAACACAGATCAAGTTGAATTTGGGAAGTGTCACTTTAACCATTATTTAGTTATGCCCCTTTATAAATTGAAAGATTGCTAAATTTTTAGTTTCCATTCTGTAACTTAAGTTTGCCTCAACCAAATGTTATGAAACTTATACACAATGCTTATCACTACATGATACAGATTGAGTACAAAATTTGGTTGCGACACTTTTACCATTCTTGAGTTATGTCACATTACAATGTATAAACATAAAAATTTCTGAATTTTTCGTTTCCATTCTCTAACTTTAGTTTGTCTCAACCAAATGTTATAAAACTTATACACAACCATTCTAGAGTTATGTGTGTTTACAAATAGAAAAATTGCTGAATTTTGAGTTTCTGTTCTCTACTTAAGTGAGCCTCAACCAAATGTTATGAGACTTACACACAATGCTTATTACCACAAAACTCAGATCAAGTTCAAATTTTTTGTCTATGAGTTATGCCCCTTTGAAGTTAGAATTTTGGCCTAAATATACTACTGCATCAGTTTGTCGTAAAAAATCGTCTGAAACCACAGAACAGAATTTCATGAAACTTTGTAGTAAATGAGGACATAATATTTAGATGTGTATATCCACAAGTCGGGAGTGTGGTCACAAAGGTTCCTTATTTCTTATTGTTGTCATTTGTAAGGTGTAATGCATTTTCATGGCTTTCACCTGATTCTTATATAACAATAGATGTTTTTGATAATTCCGGCATATTTCTTTGCAAATTTTCATTAACTCTGCATCACATTAATAAAATTTGGCATTAAGAGTGGTATTTATAATAATGAGTTATAGAGTGAAATGCGTTTTCAAAAGTTTCCTTAATTTCTGATGTGACATCAAGCAATCATCAGTCATTCAATCTTTATATATTTTAGACAATTGCCATTGTTCAGTAATTTCATTTATTGAAGTTTAAAGATGTGTAACTTTATTAATTAGATTTATGTTATTTAAGAAATAATTCATGCAAGCCTTAGATTTGTTTGAAATTTTCACATGGCCTGGGCCATTATATTTGAATTATATCTAGAGCGTTACCAAGGGATAAAATTAACGAATAAAACGGCCCAGGCCATGTGAAAATGATAAAAAATCTATGGCTTGCATGAATTATTTCGATTCTAATAGGACAAATACGGTAACTTGAAAAACTGAAGAGAAGGTAAGATTGTCATGTGTATGGCTGTTCTATTTCACCCCTGTAAGATAAAAGCTACAAATTTCAAATAAATCTAAGGCTTGCATGAATAATTTCTTAAATAACCACTAGAAAAAATGTGTCCAATCCTTGTTATTCTTAACCCAAACATTTTTTTCGTTGGCTACTATTTACTGTCAAATCCGCAGTTGACATCTTGTAACTAAGGAGTGAGGTGCCATGTTGAAATCCATGAATGTGTGAATAATGCAATAGAATAGAAAATGAAACAACACCTACCTCAAAACTCCATTTTAATGCGATATTATCCAATTTTAGAGCATACATGTAAAAGAATAATCTTCAGCTAAAAGAGATTTCATTCCTATGACGTCATGTTTTGACATGACGTTAATGCGCCAAGATCATTCATGAAATTCCGCGGAATTTTATTTTATTTTGATTTTATACATTTTTCAAGATCTGATGCATTAATTCTGTTTGTTATGCATTAGAATAGGAATAACGGTTCTGTAGTTTCTTTTTCAATTTGAATTTGAACACAACGAAATCCACATAATGTTTGCAAATAGGTTACGATACATGTGGATTAACATGGGAGGTAAATAGTAACAGCCATTATAAAACGTACATCTCTGAGTATGCACTAAGTATATATTGATGATTTTATCACGCTGTTGTTTACAAAGCGAAAGAAGCACATCATATTAGAATATTGTTTATATATATTTGTACAGGAGTCGTACCAGAAGATGAAGGACGATACACTTGTGTTGTCAAAAATATGTTTGGAACAAGAGATCATACTGCATACCTTACTGTTACTGGAATAAGTAAGTAGGAGGACCTGATGATTTGCCTAATATAACAGTACAGTTGCCTATAATTGCTTTCATCCACTTCATTTGACCTTTGATTGATAGTTGTCTCATTGGCAATCATACCACATCTACTTATTTTTATATTACTGGAGAATGTTTTGTACTCATGTAAAACAGGACTATCCTCACCATATTTTGTGCCAGTAACAATTCAGGTTATCTGGACTATGTGCTGTTCATTGGTGTTCAATTTAGTGCATTATCTTTTTCCAAAGAATTCAGATGGTGGTTGATGTCAGACTCTTTATTATTTTTGTGTTTTCTGTTATCCTTCTTACATGTTACCCACTGGAATATGTCAGGACTCAGTAGGGCCTTTACCTTGAAGGAAATGTTTCCTCTGTGGAATCTAACTTATTTTCATGGATACTTTTTTTGTGTGAGCCCTTTCTAGCTGTATTCTTTTGTATATAGCTTCATGGGAGCATGTTTACCTATATGATGTGTGTTCTCATTCATCATTTAACAACTTCATTGTACTGAATACTTAAGTTATAGGTATATCATAAGTGATCAATAGCTCATAGTTTTACTTGTTTCCATGGCTCATGTAAGACTTGATTACTTACCATGTGGTTTGATAGTACTGAATTAAGTAAATTTCAGCACTGGCTTACAGCTATTATTTGCTTGTTTTAAAACTACAGTTTTTGCTGAAATGATTTTTCAAAATTTTTCCTTTTTTTTTTCCTTTTTTTTTATATAAATGTTCCCTTTTTTCCTCAGGGAAATTTTATTTTTATATAAAATGAAAAATGAGGATTTGGAATCAAATTGTGTAAGCTTTTAGATTTGGGTTATTTAATTTTGAATAGAAAGTTCGAAATATTACTTGAAGGGAAGATAGGTTCATTTAGAAACATGTTTATGTGTATACTTTGTGTATTTCATTCAGTGAGACCTGTGATTGCATACACTGTTCCATACATTGATGTGATCAAAGGAAAAAATGTAACCTTGGACTGTGTTCTGGTACAAGGAAACCCAAAACCAACTGTTCATTGGTTGGCCAGAGGTGAAGAGGTTAACACCAACAACCATTTTGTGATAGAATCAGCCAGCAAAGTTCTGATAACAAACATACAGGAAGAACATGAAGGAGACTATACTTGTTTAGCTACTAATGTTGCTGGTAATTCCACATCAGTTGTGTCCATTAATGTGCAAGGTGGGTAATATAATGTCTTCAACCAGTTCATATTTTTTATGTGGTATACATGTAGTTGAGCTAAAGATATTCAATATGAATAAAAGGATACTGTGATTTGATTATTATTTTGGAGTACATGGGATAATTTCCTGGTATTTTATGGGTAAAGGATAACCATAAATTTCCACATGATATATGTGTTCTATAAGTTTGTGTGAAGAATTTGTTAAAATGAGGAAATCGAGCAACCACAAAAATTGGTACCAGCTGTATATTGGGTATAAGTCATGGTGACAGAAACATAACAACACAAAAAGACACTGAAGACATTTAGATGTCAACATATGGTACAAATATATACAGGTGTCTATACAGTAAAACAAGCTGTAAATTGCCAAAGTGAAGCATGATCTAAGTTGTTAAATTGTAGGATTTAAGTGGGAATAAATGGAAAAAGTGAAAATTACAAGCTGAAAAAAGAAATGAATGAGGCAATGGTGACTTTAATGAGAGGAATAACCATATTGGTTATGAGGTCAATAAGGCAATATTAAGGTCACAGTCATTGAAAATATGTTAAATTAAAACAGAGAAGGTGACTAATAATCTTCCTATGGATTAGACCCATGCCTAGGTATATGGTCACATGTTATGAAGGAAAAATCTAGATTATTTTAGGTCAAAATCAAGTGATTCTTAAAATAAACTGAAATTTGTGCAGAAAGGGGGTGTTTGGGTTATTACTCTAGAACCTGTGATTAACCACAATATCACTTGGGTAAAGGGGAGGAAGACAGTTAGCAGTTACCTCCTATAGAGAAGTTAGGGTGTAGATATTTGATCTTTCTCCCTATGCTTCTTATATAAAAAAATTTAAAGGTTTAATTTATTTTTTCAATGTACCTTTTTTAAGAGTTAAAATTAATTTTACAATGTACCTTTTTAAGGGTTTTAATTAATTTTACAATGTATCTTTTTCAAGGGTTAAGATTAATTTTACAATATACCTTTTTTTTTTATTTATCTCTTCAATTTTGATTAATGTTGTTCACATTTCTAAAGAATGGAGTAATATTACATCAATCTTCTGAGCTAATCCTTTATATGAATATCTTTTATGACTTCAGTGCCTCCAAAGTTAAACACTGCATCAATGTTCTGAGCTAATCCTTTATATGAATATCTTTTATGACTTCAGTGCCTCCAAAGTTAAACACTACATCAATGTTCTAAGCTAATCCTTTATATGAATATCTTTTATGACTTCAGTGCCTCCAAAGTTAAACACTACATCAATGTTCTGAGCTAATCCTTTATATGAATATCTTTTTATGACTTCAGTGCCTCCAAAGTTAAACACTACATCAATGTTCTGAGCTAATCCTTTATATGAATATCTTTTATGACTTCAGTGCCTCCAAAGTTAAACACTGCAAGTCCAGAAAATCAGCAAACAAATTTTACAGTAGACCTTGGTTCTGGAGTTGTACTCCCTTGTGAAGTAGAAGGAGACCCTCTTCCTGATATCGTTTGGTTCAAAGATGAAATTCCAATCTCTATGACAGACCTGCACTTCTTCATCACTCAGGATGGAAGTTTAGAAATATTTAGCTCTGACACAACAGATACTGGACAATACAGATGTCAAGCCTCTAATGTTGTAGGGAATATAGATAAAACTGTATCACTCTTTGTTAGAGGTAATTACAGTTCAACATTCATAGATTTTTACAGTAAATAATTTTTAAGAATTTTTTTATTAAAGCGCCAAGGTTAGTTATTAATGAGTCAATGTTTCATAGCAGTTCTGATTGTTGCCTGCTGCAGTATGTTGTGTGGAACATAGAAATTCTCGGCATCTGTCTGTGTGTCTGTGAATCCTTCTTTCTGGTCTTGTAGTAGCTCTCACATGTACAATTCCTGTTAGATATAAAAGACATATACTATCAATGTCTCAGATGAGTTTGAAAAGTCATTGCAGATCAACTTCATACCATGTGTGGGAAAGATATATTTTTGAATTTTGATCAGAATTTTTTTTGTATAGATAAACTTAAGTTTGACGTATTGAAATTTGACTTTAGTAAACACAAAATCTTAAAATATTTTCATTGGAATGGATGGAATTTTAGAAATTTATTATAAAATATTTAGATGTTTAAAGTCTTCTTATGATCAGTTGATTTTTTTCCTGAGTTACTGTTAGTTATAACTAAGTCAGTATTAAATTATTTCAGTCATATCTTTAAATTATGTAATTTTTTGTATGTAATTATTTTATAATTACAGTTCCACCAACTATAGATGGTGAACAGAATGTCGAACACACTGTACTAAAGGGTGATACGTTGACATTAAGTTGTACTGTCAACGGGATACCAGATCCTACTATCCACTGGAGGAAAAACTTCAAGACGTTTAACCCTAAATCGGGAAGATTTGTTTTTGATGAATTTGGACTGACCATATCCAGAGTAAAAACAAGTGATAAAGCAATTTATGAATGTGTAGCTGACAATGAGGCAGGGGAGACAACAAAGGTTATAACAGTTATTGTACACAGTGAGTTTCTATGTATAATAAAACTACAATAATCAATAAAAATTATATATTGAATGCTAGGTTAATATGCATTTCATGCTCTTCATGATTGCTATGTTTTATTTTATTTCTGTTTCCATTCAAGTACGAATAAATTATTTATATTCCAACATTGTATGAATAATAAAATCTCACTCTAAGAGTGGGGCTATATTGCAATAACTTTGTCCATCTGTCTGTTTGTCCAACAAATATTTAAGTCCATCTTTCTCAGAAACTATTAACAAAATGACTTCAGATTTGCTCAGCAGCTGAATCTTGATAAGTAGTAACATGTGTGTATGCTTTTCGGATCTGTTTTACACCTACTTATCTGTACATCTGTATTTGTATGTTAAAACTATCCAAGGCAGATTAAAAGTTTCATTCTTGCTTTGTTTCATATTGTCATTTGTAAGTGTCATCTTGGATAGGTTGCTAAATAAAGAACACAAACAAGGTTTTAACACATGTGCAATGTACTAAATGTGTTGTACTTAGGACATTACAATAGACCACCACAAACTTCACGCTCCATGAAATAAAGACTAACAACAAAGAGCAACACATATTGGATATAAACCAGACAGCGTGACTAGGTACAGGTGTGGCTTGGGGTTTGGGGTTGGGGGTTAAACTAGTATTGTGTGAACACAAACATCCTGCTTTGTCTACCTAGAAACATATGTCATAAAAGTATAACAAAATTAAAAACCTGTACTGTCCAGTAACCAACAGGATGACCACTAACTTAAGGAAATAAAAGACGGTACATTAGTCAGACCTGTACTGTCCAGTAACCAACAGGATGACCACTAACTTAAGGAAATAAAAGACGGTACATTAGTCAGACCTGTACTGTCCAGTAACCAACAGGATGACCACTAACTTTAACAAGGAAATTAGAGACAGTACATTAGTCAGGAAGTAGGGTAAAAAAATGCTCACTACTTCAGGAAGCTAGCTAAGGTAGCTGTTTGTTGAATACTGCTGCTTAAGAACCAAAATAATAAGATATAACACTCCTTATCACGTTTCAGTGATGTCTCATAAAATTTATTACACCAAACCAAGGTTTGATTATAATGTTGCTTTGATGAATGCTATTTATTATAGATTAGTTTGACATTTTGAAACCTGGCAGGTCAAACAAGACTGAAAGTGCCTTCAAAATACAGAAAACTCAGTTTGCTGTCTATTTGACAGCTAGGTTCTTGTTAAGATGTGAAATGATTTTTTCTTTAAATTTTTTTTTAGCACCTCCAACAATTGCTAGTGGCGATCCATCCAAACTGACAGTTACTAAAGGTGTTTCTGTGACTCTAAACTGTGAAACGGAAGGTGAACCAATGCCAACAGTCACATGGAGAAAAGATGGTCTCATAATAGATGTGGAATCTTATAAATATCAGCTGACAGGGACTGGATCCCTGACAATACATGATGTAGGAGTACAAGATGATGGCCTTTTTATTTGTCAGGCAGAGAATGTGGCAGGGGAAGTCTCCAAAGAGTTTGATTTAAATGTTCATGGTATGAGCTAAAACATGTATCACAAGTTCTTTAAGGTCTGAAGTTAAATGTCACTTTTCATGATCATATTTTATCGAAAAAGTTTTACAAATGATTTTCTTACAAGTACCTAGTAAAGTACCATATATTTTAATAATTCTTAATGCTACCTGATGAACTCCTCAAGATCTGTTGGTTTTTAGAAAGTGAATTTTGCATATTTGTTTTACTTGTCATAAAACTTTTCAGTAATTGATTTACAAATTCTTTTTGATAAAATCAAATACTCAAACTTGGAGGAAATGTATTGTCCTGTGCCTAATGATAAAGACCTCATTTCTCAACAACTGAGTATCTAGTTGAAATATATAAAGGTAATCATGGGTTCGTTACATTGGGTCTAGTAGTTGGGATATATTATTATGGTAAAATCTTATGAACAATTATGATTTTTGAAACAAAAATTCACAAATTACGGACATCTCAAAATTGTTTTCATTGATTGCACCAAAAAGGGGTTGGCATCTGTGTAATAGGCATTCATCACTTATCAGATACTCATCAAATTTGTATGAAAGTGTCCAAGGTCATCAAAACCATGAATGTCAAGTTTGATAAACAGAAGATATGAAATGGGGGAATTATTATTTTGGAAGGAGGACTTCTTAAAATATTGAAAATTAATTCTTGTTATCGGAACAGCTTCCCAATTTTTGTCGGATTCACTTCAAATTTGGATGAAGGTTTCCACTCATCAAAAGTGCCGATCAGTTTTTTTGATAATCAGAAAATTCTGTAGTGGGAAACCATTATTTTGGGAGGGGTATTGTTATAAGAATTAATTGTTACACTATTGAGCCTCTTTTTGTAGCTCCTCCAGAACTACCACAAGATTTACCAGCTACAACAAAAGTAATTGAAGGAGAATCTGTGACATTAGTATGTCCTGCTGTTGGTACTCCTACACCTACCATTACCTGGTATAAAGAAAACATACCTATCATAGATCCAGTTATCTTATCAGACGGATCTCTCAATATATTAATGGTAAAATCTTCTGACGAAGGATCATACAGATGTCAGGCAACAAATAAAGCTGGATATGTTGAAAGAAATGTCACACTTGATGTACATGGTATGGAACAAGTATTCTTTTTATGCCAGCGTCACTAGGCAAAGGGGCATTAAAGATGTTCACTCCTCTTTTTCAAAATAACAAGTTTTTGAAAATACTGTTATAAATTGATAGTATATAAATAACGGAACTTACAAAGCAGAAAAAAATGAAAGGGATGTGTCCTTGTCTTTGTGATATAATCAGTTGAAAATTTGTTGAGAAATAACTTTTAACTGGATTTTTCGTAGGAAAAATCGGTTATTGATTTGGGGATGTACTGGTGGCGGGCTGGCGGCTGGCTGCTAAACAGTGTCCGTTCATTAACATGAAAATGCTTTGACGAAATTTTTTCAAATTTAAATATGTTATTTCCTGTGACTTAATGAAAATCAAGTTCTATTTTTACGATTTTGGCTTTTCTCATTGTTGAGTTATAACCCTTTCCAATAGTCAAAAGTGGTACTTGTTATGTGATTGAGTTATTTCCCTTTGAAGAGAAATGGTTAATTATATATATAAAGTTTGATTACACTTACAGATAAGTTTTATAGACTTTTAAAAGACATTGTATTAATGATAAATGACATTTTGGATTTTTTTTTCTTTTCTTTGGTAAATTGTTTGAAGAATTTTCTGGTAGGTTTGTATGTTATTCTGTATAAACTAATTTTCTGAATGCTGTTTATATATTGTTTTTTGATGAAGTGAACTCCTTTAAAAACTAAGCTTATATTGTCTATTAATAAACATATATTTAGATTTCTGATTTTGGGCCCAGTTTTCAAGTTGGTCCAAATCGGGGTCCAAAATTAAACTGTGTTTGATTTCAACATAAATTGAATATAATTAGGGTTCTTTGAAATGCTGAATCTAAACCTGTATTTATTTTCTTTATTAATAAGATAATACCACATTGAGGTCCAAAGGGTCCTAAATTAAAATTTTGTTTAATTTCACCAAAAATTGAATTCTTGGGGTTCTTTGATATGCTGATTCTAACAATGTTTTAGTGGTTAAATCATATCTAATTTTATTGATTATAATTTGAAAATAGATATAACATCATATCTAATTTTAGAGAACTGTTTTTTAGTGGTTAAATCATATCTAATTTTAGAGAACTATTTGTTTATCATTTATTCAGTTTGAGTTATTTCCCTTTGAACAGAAAATTAATAAGTGAATGGATAAGATTAAACTATGTTTCATTTCAACATAAATTAAATATATATAGGGTTCTTTCAAATGCTGAATCTAGACCGGTATGTAAATATTGGATTTTTGGGCCCAGTTTTCAAGTTGGTGACCAATTCAGGGTCCAAAATTAAATAGATAATTTGGATTTTGGGCTCCTTTATCAAATTGGTTCACATTGAGGTCCAAAGGGTCCTAAATTAAACTTTTGTTTGATTTCATCAAAAATTGAATTCATTGGGTTCTTTGATATGCTGATTCTAACAATGTTCTTAGATTTTGGATATTGGACCATAATAGGTAAATGTCCAATTTCAAATTTTTCAGTCTTTGACCACATTCATTTTGTGTCACAAACCTATGCTGTGTCAAATATTCAATCACAATCCAAATTCAGAGCTGTTTGGAGCTTAAATGTAGTGTCCATACTTGCTCAACTGTTCAGGGTTCCACCTCTGCAGGAAATCCGGTTTGCTGTCACTGACAGCCTCTTGTCTCTTAGATTTTTTGGGTAAAGATTGTTCATGCAATCAAAACCCTATTGTACTGGCTTGATATCTATATCTTCCAAGGTTTATCACTACTTTTGATAGTTCAAACAAAATAGTGCAGTGAAGTGATCATTATTTAGTTCCTATCCAATCAATGTTATGTAACTTATTGATGATATGTTTTACTTTGATATTTAAGTTAAAATATGATGTGTATTTGAATAACCATAGTTGTCGAAATTTATTTTATGGCCCCGCAGCAAAGTTGTCGGGGCCATATAGTTTTACCCTTGTCCGTCATTCCGCCACAAACCATTATACAGACTTTTTTCTAAACACCTTCAGATATTGGGCAAATTTTTGGTATGTGATTTAACCATGATGAATTACAGATCAAGTTTAAGTTCGTTCCGCTCTGCTAATTTTTGCCGAAATTACGGGCTTTGGACTTTGATAAAATTGTTGAATTCCGTCATTCCTCAACAAACCATTATACAGACTTTTTTTCTAAACGCCTTCAGATATTGGGCTGATTTTTGGTATGTGAGTTAACCATGATGAGTTACAGATCAAGTTTAAGTTTTATTCCGCTCTGCTAATTTTTGCCGAAATTAGGGGCTTTGGACTTTGATAAATTGTTGAAAATCACAGTTATACAGACTTTTTTTCTATACGCCTTAAGATTTTGCGCTGATTTTTTATATGTGAGTCTACCATGGTGAGTTACAGATCAAGTTTATGTTTTGTTCCGATATGCTAATTTTTGCCGAAATTAGGGGCTTTGGACTTTGATAAATTGTTGAAAATCACAGTTATACAGACTTTTTTTCTATACGCCTTAAGATTTTGCGCTGATTTTTTATATGTGAGTCTACCATGATGAGTTACAGATCAAGTTTATGTTTTGTTCCGATATGCTGATTTTCATGTCGTTTCAACACATCTTCAGTACATTCACTTCCTGTTTGCTGATAGTTTTAAATTTAACTACTCATTGATCAAGGAAATTTTTCATCAAACTAGTATTGGTCTTGAGAGCTGGATACTATCCATGCATGTTTGTGTCCACATGTGTTGTTAAAATTGCAGATTTTTAAAACTTTTTGAGACAGGGCCATTCGTGTCGTTCCGACACATCTAGTTTTAGTAAAAATTACATAAGTAATGCATGGTGTATGAATCTGTTATAAAAATAGGTTCAAATACAAACGTATAATCATGAAAAAAGGAAGATAACTCCAACTCAAATTTTTAATTTGCCTAACAAAATAAAATTCAATGTTTTATTTAAAAATTCACAAAATTGCAAAATGAAAGCAAGTTACGTAAATTTTATTTTTTGTCACTCATTCAAATATAAATATAATGATAATATTTTTTTAATAAATTACATGACGATTCATGGACTCAAACCAAGTAAGTAAGTAAATTTTAATTAAAGTCAGCATATATGTACACAATAACAGAGAAAATATGAGCTCTGATGAGCTTTTTAACCAACTGTCATATGAAAATCATGCAATTTCATGCAAATACTAATAAATAAAATAAAAAAGGCATGCCAAATATAATGAAAGCAAATTTTTTGGATTTCTGAACCTCCAAGGTCAATGCTAATGTGGCAAACACCTCTATGTGCATTGAATAGGGGAACCAGCAATCACTGAAATATAAAAAAATACTAACAAACTAAAAGCATAAATAAATAAATTAATTTAGCACTGGCATTTAAAGGGGCATTAGCTGTCAAATTCATGTTTACCAATTTGACTCAAATTCTCATATTTGATTTATAACATACTAATTAGTTATCAAAGGTACCAGGCTTATAATTTGATACGTCAGACGCGCGTTTCGTCTACATAAGACTCATCAGTGACGCTCAGATCAAAATCGTTAGAAAGCCAAACAAGTATAAAGTTGGAAGAGCATTGAGGACCCAAAGTTCCAAAAAGTTGTGCATCCAAGTTATAAAAAGTCAAAAATAAACAATTTACAATGCATTGGCTCGATAACATGTATCAGCATTTCATGTGTATTTTAGTCTAGACTTCATATAAATAACCATCGAGGTGACCTCCAAAGACTACTGACGGTCATATAATCCTATGTAAACATAAATATAGATATAATTAGATAGGGAACTCATGCAGATGTATTTTTCTAGGTCTGTTTGATTTCATATTATAGGTTACAAATATTTGTTAATCATCGTGTTTCCCTGTATAAGAATGAGTTTTTGTGGATCGAATCAGTCAATCAAATGGGTTACCCTTGTTTCACTTTCACTGTTGACATTCTTTTCCTTTTAATAACTGAACACGCCAATTTCATGCGTAACCCAACTCTAGCTAAGGGGTTGAATTGAAGGTCACATAAATACTGATTCAACGAGGTCCAATTATTCACTTGCAAGTGGATAATTCATCAGCGATGTTTCTTTGCCTATTTTGACAAAATTGAACAAAACTTGCTGCTAAAAGCGAATTATTATTTCACTATTTCACTTTCATTAAAGATTGCACAAAAAAAAATCATATTTTATTATACCCCCGCTTTGAAAAAGTGGGGTTTTACTGTTTTATCACTGTCTGTCCGTCCATCCGTCCATCCATCCGTCAGTCCGTCCGTCAGTCTGTCCCATGAATATTTTTTGTCGCATCTTTCTCAGGAACTACATAACAAGAATTTCTGAAATTTGGTTTCAGGGTTTATATGAGTCAGCTATACCGTGTGATGTGTTTTCAGATTCATCACTCAACAACTTCCTGTATACCTTATACTTTTAGAGGGGTGGGGGTATCATTAGTGACTAGTAGCTCACAGATTCACTTTTTTTTTATATATCTTGTAGCTAATGCCCCTTTAATAGCAGCTATATATAAAAATGCATAAAAAAGCAGAGCAAAAGGCCAGAAATAAAAAGGAAGAAATTTCAGCTATGAGGCAGCACTGGATAGAAACCACTTGAACTGCACTAACATTTTTGGCCCCCACACCAGGAATTTATATAATTCCTAAATAGATCAAAAGAGGTCATAGTTCTGACCTCATTTGGGCAGGGAATTCCATACTTGTGCTGCCTCAAATCTAAAAGATCTTTTACCATAACTTGAGGTTCTTGGTCTAGGTATCTCAGCAGTGTTCACATTATATATATACATTATATGAATTGTTATTGTGAGTCTTTTAATTATTTTCTTCATTCAGTATTAGTAACACGTTATTTTTTTTTACTATTCCAGTAAAGCCAAATATAATAGACAGTGGTTCAATTGGTCCAGATAGTAGAAATCCAAATGTTATACTCCATGATAATATAACCTTGACCTGTTCTGTGGAAGGAGATCCCCTTCCTTTAATCACATGGTACAAAGATGGCCAACAGATTGATGATTTTTATACTATATCAGATGATGGTTTGATGTTGACCATAACCAATGCAAGGATTAGGGATGATGGAAGATTTAAATGTGTAGCTAGAAATGTAGCAGGAGAGACTGATGTAACCTTTGACCTCAATGTTCATGGTAATATATGATTTTGTTTAATAAAATGGCTAAGGAAATAATCACCAGCAGCTGAAAGACAAGAATTTACACTATTGCCATAGCCAATATACTGTCAGAAAGTCAAGATATTTGAAGAAACTAACTATGTCATGCTATCAGTTAATACAGCATAAATATTAACATGCTCTCAATAATGCAACATCAAAACCATGAATGAGTTTAATAACAGAAAATATGAGATAGGGAAATATTATTTTGCAGCATCATTGAGATCATCTTGACAACACCTATTGTTGTTACGAAGCCAGAGGAGTAAAATTACAGGATTTCTTTCACTTGTGAAATTATCAGTATTTTATTTGACTGAGAAATCATAGTATTTGATAAAAACATTGTAATAATTTTATATATTATTACATATAATGGCTATTTATGAACATGTAGTAGCAATTTTACAAACTACGAATCATAGCGTCATCAAATTTTGGAATCAAGCTTCAAGTGAACACGCATTACGGTGTGATGTGTTTTACATCCATTGGTCATAAACTTCTATTTACTGAATACTTATAGCAGAGTTTCATTAGTGAGCAATCAACTTTTTGTTTTCAATTAAAGTTTAGTGAAGTTTAATAACATAACTTAATGTTTTCTTCAAATTTGAGAAACTTGACATCATTTCAATCAGGTTAAAGTATATTATACTGTTTTCTTCAGTTCCACCATATGTTGACACCACAGCTGTATCACCAGATCACATGACAACCATACAGAATACACCATTGGTCATAAATTGTCCAATTAGTGGTGTTCCAACACCAAATATCACATGGTACAAAGATGGTGATATTATTTCTTCCAGTAGTCATGTGACTATTTCAACAAATGGAAGAAGACTGACTGTGACAGATACAAAGGTAGACGACTCTGGGAGTTACAAGTGTGTTGGAGAGAATACAGCAGGGACTGAAGAAGAAACTTTTTTTGTAAAAGTCAATGGTATGAAAAATGTGAATTGATAAAAGAATACATATTCAGCTCAGCTTGATTTAAAATAATGTTTATGTCACCCCAATTATTCAAGCAATGCCAGACAATAAATGAAAGTTGAAAATTTGACAAACGAAATAAAAAATATAATTTTTAATGGAGGGGATAAACTTGGTGGCTCATGAAGGGTCAGCAGTTTTTTCTCCAAAGGATATGCTAATTGTGTTATCCTGTAAAACCCTGTTTATGAGTCATATCAGGGTATAAGATATAGAGGGTGTGAAAATAATCAGTCTTCGCCAATTTTTGACAAATATTCAAATTTCTGATTTTTTTAAATATGGAGATTGATAATTTTGTTATGTGGTCACCAGCAGAATGACTAGAATCAATTAAATAACTTGAGAGTGAAAAAACTGCTTTTTTTTGCCACTTTTTGTTCACATTTCCATACATTTATAGGTCTTTTTTAATAGATTTTCAATGATTTTATATCTGAACATAATTATAAATGCTACATGTATCATTTTTTGGATAATCAGGTGCAGTTCAACATGTTCTAAATGCATTCATAATTTCATAGATATCTCAGTTACCTATAATTTGCCTTAATTTGATTTAATTGGAAATTCAAATTAGCCACCAGCTGAGGTCAAAGTAACTTTGAAATTCTATGGGAATTACATTTTGCTTTCTAAGAATAGATGTAGTGAAATGAAACAAATCATGCAGAAATGGTTTTTTTTAGAAGGTACCTATAGTGTGTTGTGACTTTGGTCTTGATGAAGTCCAATATTGCTTCATAAGGGCCAGAAATGGGGTTCATCATATAAAAAACCAATAAACCAACCGAAACCAAGCTAGACTGAGATGTTCATGTGAAGGTCTGTTTAAGTGTGATTTATTCTTTCAAAAATTAAAAAAAGAACAACAGGAGAGGTCAGAGTTTAAAATGAAACACTATGGGAAATTATGTGTTGATTTTTATTTAAGAGCAGGTGATAGATAATGAAAACTTTGACAATGGAGATCTGTTCTTTAGAAGGTCTTTACCATATGAAATTACTTTGATTCTGATGACCATTTTTGCTACTGTGGCAAAGAGCATCCAGGCTCCTTGTAGCCTCAATAACAGTTAGGTATGTTAGCCTGATACTTTGATATAGAAATATGTGAAGCCATTTTCTCCTTTAATGCATAATTATAATATATTTCAGTTTCTCCAACTGTTGAGAAGGCAGGAGAAGTAGAAAGCACCGAAGTCATACATGGAAAAACTTTAAGAATGAGATGTCCTGCCAGTGGGATTCCTCCTCCAAAAATAACATGGTTTATAAATAACAAAGCCATTAGAAATAACACAGAAAGGTTGTCCCTCTCGGAGGATGGATGGACGCTAGAGATCAGTAATATAAAGGAAACTGATGCCAATAGATATACCTGTAAAGCTGAAAACACGGCTGGGCAGAGTGAAAAGGTTTTTGATGTCAATGTGTTATGTAAGATATATACAAATATCTTGTTTCCCATGATATTTTAATTATACCCCACGCTACAAAGTTGCAGGGGTGTATAGGTTTTACCAAATTGCCTGCCCGTGCCTCAGTTAGTGAAAAAGTGTAGGTCATCTTTGTTTTTGGGGGTCTTGGTGGCCCAGTGGTCTAAGTATTTCACTACTGTACCACTAGCCTGGCAGTGCTGAGTTGTGAATTAGAGAAATCACAAAAAAAAGAATCATACCTATAAGTGAACAAAAAAACTATGGTAGTAGGACTCATATAAGCTCTCCCAATGTATATATGTGAGTGTGAAGTATATGAGCTTGTTCACTAAAGGTTCTTTAATTTCATTCTTGTTCCATAACTGTATTGTAATGTGTGACTTAAATGTTCATTCTCAGAATTAATGCTTAAACATTTTGTTTCTTTATATTTGTCTGATGAGTACAAGTTTGCAATAAATACAGTCAACATCTTGTTTCTTGTTAATAAATGAATGCATTACCTGTTAAATATACAAGACAGTATTTAACATTAATATATAATTTTTTGCAGTGCCTTCAAAGATTATCAAGGAGAGATTAGAGAGGAACCATAAAGTGATATTGAATAACCCTTTCACTCTTGCATGTCCTGCTCAGGGAAATCCCCTGCCTGCTATCACATGGTATAAAAATGGGCAAGTGATCAACTTTACTAATAGCCAGTCATACCTTGTCAACTCTGAGGGGAGGGAATTATATATTTTATCTTCAAGTGAAAGAGACTCCGCTGTATTTAGATGTCAAGCCTCAAACAAAGCTGGGGATGATTACATTGACTTCAGTATCAAAGTTTTGTGTAAGTTCTTGCGACATAAAATTTATGGTGTTTGTAAATTGTCTTCATATTTAGCTTTTTTTAAATAAAAAGAAAGGTGAGTGTAGTTTTAAAAAAGATTCTCTAAATGGAATACAAGATGAACAGTATACCTGTTCAGTAATTATACATGCCCTTCTATACAAAGAAAAAAATAAGTGCTGTCAACCTTATTTATCAAGAAAATATCAAGTACTGTAAACCTACTAAATATTGTGTACGATTTGTTAATGTGACTTTTAATAGTCGAAAAATAACATGAATACATATTTTCTAGAATGTGTAAAATTTGGATGTTCTCTTAATACATTAGTTATCAAAAAATATTAGACAGCACCACAGACCACAAAAACAACCAAAACCTGATTCTTCTGAAGAGAGAGGCATACAAACAAAGAAAAAGTGCATTAATTTATGTTACATCAAACAACCCTGATAGGCCTGTTGGTTAAAGATACTAAATGTTAAAATATATTTTAACACATCAACGCAGTAAAAAAATTGCAAAAAGAATTGCCTCAAAGTCAACTAGTATGGGTCAAAAAAGGTTATTTTACAGTACTCTTTATAATGATAAAAAGATGTGGTATGATTGCCAATGAGACAACTATCCAACACACCAAATGATGTAGGTGTTAGCCACTATAGTTCACCATATGTCCTTCAACAATAAGCAAAACCCATACTGTATGGTAAGCTATAAAAGGCCTAGACATGACAAAATGTAAAGATCAAGTAATTATCTGAATAGAATGACATTTAGATTTACTTCACAAAGGAAATTAAAGATCAAAGCGTTGAGAACAAAAATTGATATGCTGACTTTTACTGTGAATCTTAAGTCTTTAAAGTGTTTTAAAGCCCTGTGAAGTATGGTACAGTTGATATGCTAAGTCTTATTTATATTAACAGTTTTCTATTTTATCACAGTACCTGCCAGAGTCAATATGACTGGAATAGACACCAAACCAATAGTTATATCTGGTGATCCTCTGACACTGATATGTCCTGGTGTGGGTATACCTAAACCTAATATTACTTGGTATAAGGATGGTAGTTTGTTGTCAGAGGATACAGATCACCTTTTCATTGATGTTGTTGATGTTAAAGATGCAGGCATGTACAAGTGTGTTGTTCAAAATGAGGCTGGACAGTCAGCGGTCAGATTTAATGTTAAAGTTCAAGGTTTGTTTTTTTTGTATGGAATGTTCAAATATATTCTTTGAAAAATACTTTTTATCATTGATTTACTGACTGAAGTTGCCACTTTTACTAAGAATAAACCACAAAAGTTTAACACTCTTATAGATATATTTGTATTATAACTCTGAAAGCATTTATTTCATGCACAAATATTCCATCAGGGTGTACAAGTATAAACTAATACCTTAATATCCTATATGATGCATGTTCATAGATTAAAGAGTATCTGTTAGTTTAGAAAAAAAACCTCAGAAAATCTGACACTTTACAGCCAGAATAAACAGGTGGTTTCAGAATGATTTTCAATGTTTCTTCTTACCATCCAACAAAGTCATCTTACTATTATTATGATTATTATTAAACATTGAATATATGGATGAAACATCAATATTGATTATTCTCTTCCCAGTTACATTTGGACCTATTATGCTGAATCTGTCCAATGATAATCTCTTTCCAATTGTAGTTCTGTTTATTCCTGAAATTATGGCTTTCAAAGGTTAACAAGGGATTACTTTTCCCCCATGGCAATGGAGATTTGTGATTTCTGCAATAATATATATAACACTTACATGTTTCACCTGAAAATATTTTTTTGTGAAATTTGATTTCATTCTGAAGCATACAAAAAGCTTGAAAACAACTGATGTTATTGTTTGACACTGGAAACAGAATTATAATGTCATGCTGTTTAGATACATAAAACATATTATTAACCGGATTTTCGAAAGAAAAATCGGTTATTTATTTAGGGATGTATGGTGGGCGGGTGGGCGGGCAGGCGACTGCCAAACAGTGTCTGTTCATTAACATGAAAATGCTTTGACGAAATCTTTTCAATTTAGATATGTAGTTTCCTGTGACTAAATGAAGGTCAAGTTCAATTTTCAAGATTTTATCTGTTCTCGTTGAGTTTTAGAATTTTCAGTAGCAAAATTTATTTTTATTATATGATTTTGAGTTATTTCCCTTTGAACAGAAATTAATAATTAATTTCTTTGTCATTTGGTCTCTTCTAAGATTTTTTTTTTATTTTTGAGGCCTGTCTTCAAATTGGTTCACATTTAGGTCTAAAGGGTCCTAAAATACAACTTTTTTTTATTTAAAAAAAAACAAATTCTTGGTGTTCTTTGATATGCTGAATCTAAGTGGTATTTAGATTTTTGATTAAATATTTGAAAATAGATATAACGTCATATCTAATTTTAAGAGAACTATTTTTATATCATTTATTCAGTTTGAGTTATTTCCCTGCGAACAGAAAATTAATAAGTATATGGATGAAATTAAACTGTATTTCATTTCAACATAAATTGAATATATATAGGGTTCTTTCAAATGCTGAATCTAAACCAGTATGTAAATATTGGATTTTTGGGCCCAGTTTTCAAGTTGGTCCAAATCAGGGTCCAAAATTAAATTTGTTTGATTTCAACAAAAATTGAATTTATGGGGTTCTTTTAAAATGCTGAATCTAACCATGTAATTAGAGATTTTGGATTTTGGGCTCCTTTATCAAATTGATCCACATTGAGGTCCAAAGGGGCCTGAATTAAACTTTGTTTGATTTCATCAAAAATTGAATTCTTGGGGTTCTTTGATATGCTGATTCTAACAATGTACTTAGATTTTGGAAATTGGACCATAATAGGTAAATGTCCAATTTCAAATTTTTCAGTTCTTTGACCACATTCATTTTGCGTCACAAACCTATGCTGTGTCAAATATTCAATCATAATCCAAATTCAGAGCTGTTTAAGCTTAAATGTAGTGTCCATACTTGCTCAACTGTTCAGGGTTCAACCTCTGCAGTAAATCTGGTTTGCTGTCACTCTTGACAGCCTCTTTATAAGATTATAATCATGGGGACCAGTTGAGCAAAAGTGAACATATGCATGATTTCCTACCAGCAGGTTAGATATGTCGCACTTGCTTTCAGTAACTGCAAGCATTCTTTAAAAAGATTGGTCCTTAAGTATGCGACCTGGGCTACTTAGGTATTTATATATCAGGAAATGTTTGAATAAAAATATTTGTTATTGTAAAAAAAAAAAAAGATTGTTTTTATAAATGCTTTAATGTTTGATTTGTTAAAAAAACCAAATTCTGGATGTCTCCTTGTAAAAATATTTTCTGGCACATTCTATGGGTTCTCTAATTTACCAAATATATATATATGTATGGCTGAGAGTATGTGATAATTCCTTTATCATTTGAACATAGAACTCATGTCATACTTAGGTATATTGTAAAAATTTAAAAATTCAGTAAACTAATTTCATAAGAGTAAAGAAAAATGTTATCGATAAAGTATTGATCTTAATACTATTACAGTTCCACCTAATATTGACGAAAAAGGAATCAATAAGAATCCTGAAGTGGTAACAGGTGACTCTCATACACTCTTTTGTCCAGCAAGAGGTAGACCACCACCCGATGTCATTTGGTATAAAAATGATCAAATAATTGACTTAAAATCAGATTCAAACCTTGTATTGAAATCTCGGGGGAGACAACTCTACTTTAAGGAAGTTCAAGTGAAGGATGATGGTGTATATAAATGCTTGGCTGTGAATGAAGCTGGAAGTACCGAGCAGGAATATCATTTGGATGTATTAGGTATGTTAATGGATTTTTTTGTAGTAAGTATAATTATGGTTTGGTCTGTAGTAGGAATGTTAAAGTCATATGAATTAAAAATTCAAAAAAAAGTTGAATCGGTTTTATATACTTTAATGGCTAAGTGTTACTATGAAATAAGTGTACATGAACTTTCTTTTAAAAGAAAATCCTTTATATCATCAAAATCTTCATAAATTTACTGCTATTGAATTATTGTCTTCCTGTACACTATTTCGCCGATTTTTAGCTCACCTGGCCTGCGTCCTGCGTCCAGCGTCCTGCGTCCGTCGTCCGTAAACTTTTACAAAAATCTTCTCCTCTGAAACTACTAAGACAAATTTAACCAAACTTGGCCACAATCATCATTGGGGTATGTAGTTTAAAAAAATGTGTCCGGTGACCCGGCCAACCAACCAAGATGGCCACCATGGCTAAAAATAGAACATAGGGGTAAAATGTAGATTTTGGCTTATATCTCTGAAACCAAAGCATTTAGAGCAAATCTGACGGGGTAAAATTGTTTATCAGGTCAAGATCTATATGCCCTGAAATTTTCAGATGAATCGGACAACTCGTTGTTGGGTTGCTGCCCCTGAATTGGTAATTTTAAGAAAATTTTGCCGTTTTTGGTTATTATCTTGAATATTATTATAGATAGAGATAAACTGTAAACAGCAATAATGTTCAGCAAAGTAAGATCTACAAATAAGTCAACTTGACCAAAATGGTCAGTTGACCCCTCAAGGAGTTATTGCCCTTTATAGTCAATTTTTAACCATTTTTCGTAAATTTTTGTTATCTTTTACAAAAATCTTCTCCTCTGAAACTACTAAGACAAATTTAACCAAACTTGTCCACAATCATCATAAGGGCATCTGGTTTAAAAAATGTGTCTGATGACCCCGCCAGTGAACCAAGATGGCCGACATGGCTAAAAAATAGAACATAGGGTAAAATGCAGTTTTCGGCTCATATCTCTGAAACCAAAGCATTTAGAGCATTTCTGACAAAGATAAAATTGTTCATTAGGTCAAGATCTATCTGCCCTGAAATTTTCAGACCAATCAGGCAACACGTTGTTGGGTTGCTGCCTTTGAATTGGTAATTTAAGAAAATTTTGCAGCTTTTGGTTATTATCTTGAATATTATTATAGATAGAGATAAACTGTAAACAGCAATAATGTACAGCAAAGTAAGATCTACAAATAAGTCAACATGACCAAAATTGTCAATTGAACCCTTAAGGAGTTATTGCCCTTTATAGTCAATTTTTAGCTCACCTGGCCCAAAGGGCCAAGTGAGCTTTTCTCATCATTTGGCGTCCGTCGTCTGTCGTCCTGCGTCCGTCGTCCGTCGTCCGTAAACTTTTACAAAAATCTTCTCCTCTGAAACTACTGGGCCAAATTTAACCAAACTTGGCCAATATCATCATTAGGGTATCTAGTTTAAAAAATGTGTCCGGTGACCCGGCCAACTAACCAAGATGGCCGCCATGGCTAAAAATAGAACATAGGGATAAAATGTAGATTTTGGCTTACATCTCTGAAACCAAAGCATTGAGAGCAAATCTGACAAGGGTAAAAATGTTTATTAGCTCAAGATCTATCTGCCCTGAAATTTTCAGATGAATCGGACAACCCGTTGTTAGGTTGCTGCCCCTGAATTAGTAATTTTAAGGAAATTTTGCCTTATTTGGTTATTATCTTGAATATTATTATAGATAGAGATAAACTGTAAACAGCAATAATGTTCAGCAAAGTAAGTTCTACAAATAAGTCAACATGACCAAAATGGTCAGTTGACCCCTTAAGGAGTTATTGCTCTTTTATAGTCAATTTTTAACAATTTTTCGTAAATTTTTGTTATCTTTTACAATCTTCTCCTCTGAAACTACTAAGATGAATTTAACTAAAGTTGTAAACAATCATCATTAGGGTATGTAGTTTAAAAATTGTGTTTGATGACCCCGCCCTCAAACCAAGATGGCCGACATGGCTAATAATAGTACATAGGGTAAAATGCAGTTTTTGGCTCATATATCTAAACCCAAAGCATTTCTAGCAAATCTTTCAAAAACAAAATTGTTCATTAGGTCAAGATCTATCTGCCCTTAAATTTTCAGACCATTCAGGCAACCCGTTGTTGGGTTGCTGCCCCTGAATTGGTAATTTTTAGAAATTTTTTCAGCTTTTGGTTATTATCTTGAATATTATTATAGATAGAGATAAACTGTAAAGAGCAATAATGTACAGCAAAGTAAGACCTACAAATAAGTCACATGACCAAAATGGTCAATTGACCCCTTAAGGAGTTATTGCCCTTTATAATAAATTTTTAACAATTTTCATAAATTTTGTAAAATTTTACAAAATAATTTCCACTGAAACTACAGGGCCAAGTTCATTATAGATAGAGATAATTGTAAGCATCAAGAATGTTCAGTAAAGTAAGATCTACAAACACATCACCATCACCAAAACACAATTTTGTCATGAATCCACCTGTGTCCTTTGTTTAATATGCACATAGACCAAGGTGAGCGACACAGGCTCTTTAGAGCCTCTAGTTTACAATTTTCATAAATTTTGTAAATTTTTGTAAATTTTTACAAAATATTTTCCACTGTAACTACTGGGCCAAGTTCATTATAGATAGAGATAATAGTAAGGAGCAAGAATGTTCAGTAAAGTAAGATCTACAAACACATCACCATCATCAAAACACAATTTTGTCATGAATCCATCTGTGTCCTTTGTTTAATATGCACATAGACCAAGGTGAGCGACACAGGCTCTTTAGAGCCTCTGGTTTCCCGTATGCAGTGAACTTAACTACAAGACTTCTTGTAAGAACTTCGCCCACTGCATCGCACAAGTGCGAGGGGAAAACCATGATGAAAGAATGTAAAAAAACATGCACTGGAAGGTAAATAGTAATAATTGATTCTTAAAGAACACATTTAATACAACAAATCATTTAACAACTGTTAAGGAAAAGTTTAATTAACATATGAAAACGCATGGAAAATACCAAAAAATAATATCATGGCTTTATCTACTACTTATTTGTCACATGCTTCACATGTTCTGTGTTGATGGTTTATTAATGTCACAATCTGGTAAACTAAGGCAACAGACTCCAAAGTTAATTACCTTCAATCACTGAATGAAACATCATTTGTCCGTTATATTTTGATAACATTAAAATTACAAGAAGCTCGTTTCATATGACTTTCATGGTTTGGTTTGTAAATGGTATGGTTTGTAGTAGGTATGGTAATGGTTAGGTTTGTAGTAGGAATGTTGATGGTTTGGTATGTAAATGGTTTGGTTTGTAGAAGATATGTTAATGGTTTGGATTGTAGTAGGAATGTTAATGGTTTGGTTTGTAATAGAAATGTTAATGATTTGTTTGTAGTAGGTATGTTAATGGTTTGTTTGTAGTAGGTATGTTAATGATTTGGTTTGTAGTAGGAATGTTAATGATTTGGTTTGTAGTAGGAATGTTAATGGTTTGGTTTGTAGATGCTTTTGCAACAAAAATTACTTTTCTCTGTTTAAGAAAAATATATTTAGATTATTTTGTAGCATAAATGTTTGAATTTGTTGCCAATTGAAAAAAATATTCAAGTGCATTCAAAGACCATTGTAATAAAAAAGAATAATGAAACTGGCCACATGAAAACATTTTCCCTATGTCCTACATCTGGGATAAAACTTAAAAAACAATGATAAAAGATTCTCATCAAATATTAATTATTTGTTGTTTTTTTTTTCTTCTTCTGTACTTTCAGTACCTCCATCTATTGATGATTCAGCTAATAATGACATTACCAAAGTTGTATCAGGTCATTCAACCGTACTGAATTGTCCTGCATCTGGTACCCCTGTTCCTGTTATTGAATGGTATAAAGATGGATGGTTATTGGTCAACAGTAACCATATATTGACAGAGAACAATGGACGACAACTTAAGATCATAAATACCACAGTGGAAGACTCAGGGAATTATACATGTACAGCAACAAATACTGCAGGGAAAACAGAACAAGATATGACTCTACTTGTGCTTGGTATCAATTATAGGATATACTATATATTCCCACTTAATCTTCAATAAACATGCTAATAAGATTATTGAAAGTATTTAAAATGGAAATAGGTGTAAGCATATGATTATATATGAAATAACTATATTCTTATGTTATAAACTCAGCTTAAGACTTAAAAGGAAAAACTGTTCAATTGAGTCTAGAGAAATCATGATTAATAAAAAAAATATACTTGAGTCTGAATAAGAACACCTTATATTTGCAAGTAAATGTTCATTTGTTACCTTACAGTTCCACCTTCCATTGATGAGTCCAATGTCATCTATAACCCTAAAGTACGTGTGAATCGTACTGTGCTGTTAGACTGTCCTATAGAGGGTGTACCATTACCTGATGTCACATGGTCATTTAACAACATCCCATTGGTGGAGACTGAAAGGCATCAGCTACTTCGTAATAATAGACAAGTAAAGATAAGACAGGCTCAAATCCGTGATAGTGGCACTTATACATGTCAAGCAGTGAATGAGGCAGGAAGTCTGAATAAAAACTTCAAACTGACTGTTCAGTGTAAGTCTTTCTACATGTTGATTAACATGGTGCTGAAGCTCTCATACATGAAATAAATTTGATTTATTGATCAAAACATCAAACTGTGTATTCTGTGTGTGAAATTTAAATAGCTTTTGTCAAATCTGTTATACCGTCTTTTGGGGTGTATAGTGCCCATTGAATATGAAATTGCAAATATTCTGACAAATGAATAAGAATTTTATTAGATTGAGATAAATCTGCATTTAAGTTTGTTTTTTTAAAACCAAATTTAATAAATTGTTTGAGTATCAAGGACAAGATTAAATATCCAAATTAATGTTCTGATTGAAACAATAACATAATTACGAATCAGTCAAATGATTATCATTAACATCATTAGTGCTGTAATAAATTGTTAAAATCTCATTATTTTTATTTTTTGTTTGCTGATTCTAGCTGTTAATCCGGATTATCACACCTCAATCAACGGGTCTAATCAATGTCAAAACAAATCAGTGACAGGTTCACCTTGTTCCGAATTAAATTCTTTCAGGTTACAATTATGGGATTATCAGGTTTTAAATCATAATTTCATGAACGGTTTTAAACAGTACGTTGTTTAAAAGTTACAAAGTAGAAACGTATTTATAAAAATAAACTTCTCATAGACTAAATCATCACTTTACAATATCAAGTCACATGACTGACCCACATGACTGGCAATCACCTGATACATTAGAAAAAATGGTGGTTTATCTTTTCAAAGCGAGCGTGGTTTATTCAATTTTCATACACTTTTCTTCTGCTCTCCATGATGAACACATACAAAAACAGTAAGTTATGACAACAAGGAACACAGAGGCTAATTTAACCGACAACAAAAGCTTTATTGTGTCTTTATTAAGACATGGCAAATTTCCGGATTGCAAACAGATGGACAAATTTATACGATAAACGTAACTACAGAGATATAAAATGTTTTTATGGCCCCGCAACAAAGTTGTCGTGGCCATATAGTTTTACCCTTGTCCGTCATTCCGTCATTTTGTCATTCTGTCATTCCATCATTCTGCAACAAACCATTATACAGACTTTTTTCTAAACGCCTTCAGATATTATGACAACAAGGAACACAGAGGCTAATTTAACCGACAACAAAAGCTTTATTGTGTCTTTATTAAGACATGGCAAATTTCCGGATTGCAAACAGATGGTCAAATTTATAAGATAAACGTAACTACAGAGGTATAAAATGTTTTTATGGCCCCGCAACAAAGTTGTCGTGGCCATATAGTTTTACCCTTGTCCGTCATTCCGTCATTTTGTCATTCTGACATTCCGCAACAAACCATTATACGGACTTTTTTCTAAACGCCTTCAGATATTGGGCTGATTTTTTGTATGTGAGTTAACCATGATGAGTTACAGATCAAGTTTAAGTTTCGTTCTGTTCCACTAATTTTTGCCAAAATAACGGGCTTTGGACTTTTATAAATTGTTGAAAATCACAGTGATACAGACTTTTTTTCTAAACGCCTTTAGATATTGGGCTGATTTTTGGTATATGAGTTAACCATGATGAGTTACAGATCAAGTTTAAGTTTAGTTCCGCGCCGCTGATTTTGCTGAAATTAAGGGTTTAAGACTTTGAAAATTGTTGAAAATCACAGTTATACAGACTTTTTTTCTATACGCCTTCAGATTTTGCGCTGATTTTTGATATGTGAGACTACCACGATGTCTTTGATGAGTTACAGATCAAGTTTATGTTTTGTTCCGCTATGCTGATTTTCATGTCGTTTCAACACATCTTGTTAGATCTGCAGTACATCCACTTCCTGTTTGCTGATAGTTTTAAATTTATTTACTCATTGATCAAGGAAATTTTTCATCAAACTAGAATTGGTCTTGAGAGCTTGATACTACCCATGCATGTTTATGTCCACATGTGTTGTTGAAATTGCAGATTTTTCAACTTTTTGAGACAGGGACATACGTGTCGTTTTGACACATCTAGTTTATTTGAATAAAACTTGACAAATCAAGAACAATAAGATACATATTACGAATATAACATGTAAAACATAAAAACAATCGAGGTTTTAGCAAAAATATTCCGTACTCTTCACTTCTCCTGGAAATTTTTTGTCAGAGTTTGGACCTGAAAAAAAGACTAAGAAAATGTCTGTAGGCATGTATAACGTGCACCCCTCTTACAAGAAACATGACCCAGGGTATAAATGTGCGCACTATACATACCAAAAGACGGTATTTGAACGAGCTTATTGCAGATGAATATAGACAAGGTAGTCATGATTGATCTTTTATTGTACAAAGCCACTATATTTATCTTACATTAACTCATATTGCCCTTGACATTATCAAAAATGACAGGATGCTTTTAGTAAACTAATTGGGCTTCCAGTTTCCACTGTGAAATGTTAGCGACTAAAATTGTTTGCAAATATAGACAGTGACAATAAACTTAAAATTTTCTTAAGAAATTCTATTTATTCTTTTATTTTAAGTTACTGTGGATTCATTTATTTTCGTGGGTATCAATTTTCATGGATAGAGAAAAAAAGACGTTTCGTGGTATACGTAAATTCGTGGATCGCTGATTACAAAAAAAAATCAATCAGATACGTAATTCGTGGATTTCTTTTTGATTTAGATCATATAACCTCCTTGGTTTGATCAATAATAAAAGAAACAAAAAAGAAGGAATTCATTGAAAAAGTTTTGAATTGTCAAAATCCTCGCTTGGTCATTCTAGGTTAAAGTGTTCATTGAAAACTTCTATTACAATAATGGACAGAGACAACTAATTATTTGTTTGTTTTACAATTTATAAATTCTTGTCGGAATTTTATAAGGCATTCAAAACACTATGATTGAAAGCTCATTTCCCTAATCACGATATAATAAACAGTCATATAAGTAAAAGGTGTGAAAATACATGCACCTGTCATAAACAATATTACCTACGGGCAATATCCCCGTACTTAATTCTATTGATTCTTAATCACCAGTAAACCAAACTATGACACGGTAATTAACAACTTGCAGTTATTTTCCATGAACAGTTTTAATCAATTTTAAAAAGTAAATTATCACTGATATTCGATATATTTATTATTGATGTAATCAAAATACTTTTATCTTCTTTCATTAAAAACACGTGTTATGTTACAATGTGTATTGCTAGTCAACACTATACTAGAACTGCATAACATAACCGGAAATAAACATCCGACTCCATACACATTTCTCGGGATTATTCTTCGTTGAATTCTTAAATTCGTGGTTTGCTGTGACCCACGAAACCCACGAAAATTGGTATACCACGAATTAAAATGAATCCACAGTAATTGATTTCATTCATAATATCAAATTTGAATTAGTTTAGTTTTGGAAACAGTATCTAGAATAAGGTAAATATTTTATTATACAGTTTAAGATATAAATACATAGAATTAAATATTTACAGTGCCATCTGCAATAGATAGAGGTAATTTACAGACGGAATTCTCCATCATTGAGAACCAGACAGTACATATAGATTGTCCTGTGTCTGGTTTTCCTACACCTTCTATTATTTGGTTGAAAGACAAGATACCATTCTTTGACTTTCCATATCAAGATTTAAAGGTGCTGAATCAAGACCAGAGGTTAGTGGTCAGTAATGCTAAAGTGGAGGATGCTGGGAAATATACATGCAAAGCTACCAATGTGGCTGGATCTGACAAACAGCATTTCAATCTAGAAGTGAGAGGTAAATAAACACTCATTTGTGTCTGTACTTGTATTTTTATTTTTTGCGGTCGTATATTGGTATGACGTTGTCGCCATCCGAAGACACATTGGTTTTTGCACAATAACTTTAGTTTAAGTGAATTGATCTCTATGAAATTTTACTCTAAGGTTAAATACCACAAAAGGAAGGTTGGGATTGATTTTGAGGGTTATGGTACCAACAGTTAAGGAATTAGGGGCCAAAAAGGGGCCAAAAATAAGCATTTTTGTAACTTCCAGACAATAACTTGTGTGTTAGTGTATGGATCTCTCTGACATTGTACCACAAGGTTCAATATCACAAAGGGAATGCTGGGATTGATTTTGGGGGTAATTGCCTCAAAATTTCAGGAATTAGGGGCAAATAAGGGGCAAAAAACAAGCATTTTTCTTGTTTCATGACAGTAACTTGTGTGTAAGTGTATGGATCTTTCTGAAATTGTACTACAATGTTCCATATCACAAAGGAAAAGCTGGAATTGAGTTTGGGGGTAATTGCCCAAAAGGTTTAGGAATAAGGGGCCAAAAATAAGCATTTTTCTAGTTTCCAGACAATAAATTGTGTTCAATTGTATGGATCTCTCTGAAATTGTACTGCAAGGTACCATACCACAAAGGGAAGGCTGGGATTGATTTTGGGGGTAATTGCCTCAAAATTTTAGGAATTAGGGGCCAAAAAGGGGCAAAAAACAAGCATTTTTCTAGTTTCAGGACAATAACTTGTGTGTATTAAAAGTGTATTATTGGATCTTTATGAAATTGTACTACAAGGTTCCATATTACAAAGGGAAAGCTGGGTTTGAGTTGGGGGTAAATGCCCTAAACGTTTAGGAATTTGGGGCCAAAGAACAAGCATTTTTAGCTCACCTGGCCCAAAGGGCCAAGTGAGCTCTTCTCATCACTTGGCGTCCGTCATCCGTCGTTGTTAGCTTTTTACAAAAATCTTCTCCTCTGAAACCACTGGGCCAAATTTAACCAAACTTGGCCACAATCATCATTAGGGTATCTAGTTTAAAAAAATGTGTCCGATGACCCCGCCAACCAACCAAGATGGCCGCCATAGCTAAAAATAGAACATAGAGGTAAAATGTAGATTTTGGCTTATATCTCTGAAACCAAAGCATTTAGAGTAAATCTGATATAGGGTAAAACTGATTATCAGGTCAAGATCTATCTGCCCTGAAATTTTCAGACAAGTCTAACAACCTGTTGTTGGGTTGGTGCCCCTGAATTGGTAATTTTAAGGAAATTTTGCAGCTTTTGGTTATTATCTTGAATATTATTATAGATAAACTGTAAACAGCAATAATGTTCAGCAAAGTAAGATCTACAAATAAGTTGTCATGACCAAAATTGTCAGTCGACCCCATCAGGAGTTATTGCCCTTAATAGTCAATTTTTAACAATTTTTCGTAAATTTTTGTAATCTTTTACAAAAATCTTCTTCTCTGAAACTACTGAGACAAATTTAACCATACTTGGCCATAATCATTATTAGGGTATCTAGTTTAAAAAATTTGTCCGATGACCCCGCCTTCCAACCATCATGGCCGACTTGGTTAAAAATAGAACATAGGGGTAAAATGCAGTTTTTGGTTTATATCTCTGAAACTAAAGCATTTAGAGCAAATCTGACAGGTGGCAAAAATGTTATCAGATTTAGATTTATCTGCCCTGAAATTTTCAGACGAATCCAACAACCCATTGTTGGGTTGCTGCCCCTGAGTTAGTAATTTTACCAAAATTTTGCAGTTTTTTGTTATTATCTTAGATATCATTATAATATCTAATATCTAATACTATTAATTATGATTTTAACCTTATTTTACACAATTTCCAAAGCATCAGTAAATACAGGTGAGCGACACAGGCTCTTGAGAGCCTCTAGTTACAGTTTCCAGACAATAACTTGTGTTCAAGTGTATGGATCTCTCTGAAATTGTACTGCAAGGTACCATACTACAAAGGGAAGGCTGGGATTGAGTTTGGGGGTGATGAATCATAAGGGGGTTCAAAAAATTGGGGGGGGGGGGGGATTTTTTTCCTTTATTTTTTTCTTTAAAATTTTCCATTTTAAGTTGGTTATTTTTGATTTATATATAAAAGCAAATAATAATGATATGAAAAAAAAAATGAAATATTGGGGTTCTTTGATATGCTGAATCTAACCGTGTATTTAGATTCTTAATTTTTGGTCCCGTTTTCAAATTGGTCTACATTAAGGTCCAAAGGGTCCAAAATTAAACTTGGTTTGATTTTAACAAAAATTGAATTCTTGGGGATCTTTGATATGCTGAATCTAAGTGGTATTTAGATTTTTGATTAAATATTTGAAAATAGATATAACATCATATCTAAGTTTAGAGAACTATTTTTAGTGGTGAAATCATATCTAATTTTAGAGAACTATTTCATATCATTTATTCAGTTTGAGTTATTTCCCTTTTTTGGTCCCGTTTTCAAATTGGTCTACATTAAGGTCCAAAGGGTCCAAAATTAAACTTGGTTTGATTTTAACAAAAATGGAATTCTTGGGGATCTTTGATATGCTGAATCTAACAGTGTATGTATTTAGATTTTGGATATTGGACCATAATAGGTAAATTAAAATTTTTTAAGTTCTTAGACCACATTCATTCTGTGTCAGAAACCTATGCTGTGTCAAATATTTAATCACAATCCAAATTCAGAGCTGTATCAAGCTTGAATGTTGTGTCCATACTTGCCCCAACTGTTCAGGGTTTGACCTCTGCGGTCGTATCAAGCTGTGCCCAGCGTAGCATTTTATTCAACATTAATCATATGTCACTGTAAAAATGTTCAAGATAATACAACATCATATGAAAATTTTTAACATACCATGAGGAAATTATGTATTGTTGAAGCAGTTGAATCAGATGTTTTACTAAACATTATTGAATGATAAACTTTATAATTTATTAGAATGGTCGACCTTAGTACTGATCTGAGTAGGAGTTTATAATTAGAATGTTGACCCCCATAAAAAGTAAAATCACAAAAATACTGAACTCCGAGGAAAATTCAAATAGGAAAGTCCCCAATCAAATGGCAAAATCAAAAAAACAAACACATTAAGCCTCCTTATTTAATAAATATTTTATCCTACAGTACCCCCGGTAATGGATGTTAAGCCTCCTTTTTTAATAAATATTTTATCCTACAGTACCCCCTGTAATGGATGTTAAGCCTCCTTATTTAATAAGTATTTTATCCTACAGTACCCCCGTAATGGATGTTAAGTCTCCTTATTCAATAAATATTTTATCCCACAGTACCCCCCATAATAGATGTTAAGCCTCCTTATTTAATAAATATTTTATCCTACAGTATCCCCCGTAATGGATGTTAAGCCTCCTTATTTAATAAATATTTTATCCTACAGTGCCCCCTGTAATGGATGGACAGAGAACAGTAACAGAGTCATCAGTCATTGTCAGAAATCCTGTAAACTTACAATGTCTTGTCAATGGTATACCAAGACCAGATATCACATGGCTGAAGGAAAATAAACCACTAGATCTGTCTGAATACCCACATATTAGGATAATGACAGAAGGGCAGGTATTTCTAGCAATTTTATAGTCTCTTCCATTAATGTCTATGTTTGTGATGTAAAAATTTGTAGTTAAGGGTAAAAAAAATATTTAAAAATATGATATTGTGATTGCAGTAAATTTGTGTAAAATTTAGAAATTTACTTGAATTTTTTGGTTTTTATAGGTTCTTCAGTTTATTGGTAGTCAAGTTGATGACAAAGGAAGATACACATGTAGGGCAAATAACTCAGCTGGTATATCAGAGAAATACTTTGATCTAACTGTTCTTGGTGAGTATTGAACTCTGTATGACACTCAAGTAGAGCAAATAACTCAGCTGGTATATCAGAGAAATACTTCGATCTAACTGTTCTTGGTGAGTATTGAACTCTGTATGAGACTCTAGTAGAACAAATAACTCAGCTGGTATATCAGAGAAATACTTTGATCTAACTGTTCTTGGTGAGTATTGAACTCAACACGAAGACTCAAGTAGATCAAATAACTCAGCTGGTGTATGATAGAAATACTTAATTGATCTAACTGTTCTTGGTGAGTATTGTCCTCAACACAAGACTGAAGTAGAGCAAATAACACAGCTGGTATATCAGTTGATCAAACTATTCTTGGTGAATATTGAACTCAACACAAGGCTCAAGTAGAGCAAATAAATCAGCTGGTATATCAGAAAAATACTTTGATCTGACTCTGCTTGGTGATTATTGCACAGCATAAGACTGAACAAGAGAGGCAAAAGATACTGATGGGATATTCAAACTCATAAATCAAAAACAAACTGTCATGGCAAAAAAATGAAAAAGGATTAAAAAACAAACTACACAAAACACAGAAATCTAGAAAACCAAAGACTCAGCAACTGGAACCTCACCAAAATTCAGGGGTGATCTCACATGCTCTGGAAAGATAAGCAGAGCAAATACCTCTGAGAAATACTTTGAACTAACTGTTCTTGGTGATTATTGAACTCAACATGAGACACAAGTAGAGCAAATAACTCAGCTGGTATATCAGAGAAATACCTATATCTAACTGTTCTTGGTGAGTATTGAACTCAACATAAGGCAAAAGTAGAGCAAATAACTCATCTGGTATATCAGAGAAATACTTTGATCTAAATGATATTGGTGAGTATATTGACCTCAACATGAGACTCCAATAGAGCAAATAACTCAGCTGGTATATCAGAGAAATACTTTGATCTAACTTTTCTTGATGAGTATTTCTCAATTTATGTATGCAATACATATACCTGATGCATAAATCTAAGATATCAAGTATTTAAAGTGACTGAATACAGATTGATGATATATATATGATTTTTTCAGTTCCACCGAAAGTAAATGGTTCTGATTCCATACAGAAGGAGGAAGTAACAATAAATCATCAACATGTCTTGGATTGTCCTGCCAGTGGTGTCCCACCTCCAAAATTAACATGGAAATACCGTGGGGATGTTATACCAGAATATGGTTCTCCATCTCACAGGATCTTAAATAATGGGAGACAGCTTTTGTTTATTAATACACAGTTGTATGATGCAGGATTCTATAGTTGTATTATCAGTAATGTGGCAGGAAACACAAGTCTGGATTTCCAGGTTGAAGTTCAAGGTTTGTTGCAAATATATTGTCAGTAATGTTACAGGAAACATAAGTCTTGATGTTGAAGTGGTTGTCAAGATAAAAATAAGGTGATGGGGTACGATTGCACAGGAATCAACTTTCCACCTGAGTTGAAATGACGGGAGATATAAGCTATTATAGGTCACTGTACGACATTCAACAATGAGAAAAACCCATACCGTAAAATATAAAAGGCCCCAACATGAAAAATGTGAAACAGATCAAAGGAAAAAGAAATAGGACAGACATGAACCAACAACAACCACTGACTTGCAGGCTCCTGACTTCGGATATGCATATAAAGAATGTGGGGTGGTTTAAACATGTTTGTGAGTGTTAAGTAACAAACAAAAATAAGCACAAAGTACCAAAGTTTGATGAATATGTACTTTCAGTATTGGGGTTGGGAACAGGTCACCATTTTCAAGTGGAATTTCATTGTCAAAAGCTATACCTTTAGTTGTGTTGCTGGGTAAAAAAGTCTTGTTCTAGAGGAAATTCAAAGTCTGATGTAAATAAAAATGAATAATAAGTGGAATATTTCTATCCTGTGCATTTTCTTTTGTTCATTTTGATGTAGACTCAGTCAATGCTTCAGTGATCAGAATCCACTTGCTGTAATGTATAAAATGTTGTACCAAATATTTTTTGTTTTTTCAGTGCCACCTACCATTAGAGAAGGACAAAGACATGTTGCCAGTGTTGTTAACACAAGAGTTAGGTTGCCTTGTGAATCAGATGGCCTACCCAAACCAGTTGTTACATGGGAAAAGAACGGTCAACCATTCCCCACTACTGGATTACGTCATACCATGCAGGAACAAGGAACTATAGAATTTGTATCAGTCCAATTAGAGGACGCTGGAGATTATACTTGTCATGCTTCTAACCCAGCAGGGAATGCTACAAGACATGTTAGTCTGGCTGTACAGGGTAAGCTATAAAGAATATTTAGAATCACTTTTAAAGATCTCATGCAAATGATGGAATGTCAACGTATATATGCAGTTTCTGCTTCACAAAATTTTGTAAACACTGGACACAGCCATATTTTACACCCCAAAACTAAGAATAGAACAAGTGCTCTCATTGGTCAAGAATGATGTAGTCAGAGTGGGAGTGACTTCTATCTGTCACTAGATGGTGCAGTGCTGTATTCACAAATTCTGTCTGAATCTGTCATGGGTGAAGTAGAGGGGGCCAAATTGTAACCCTTGGCTAGCAAAAAGATGGAAATAAAATAATAGTAATGTTTGGTAGTCCTTCAATTTTTACCAATTTCAAATAATTAAATACGAGATAAAGAATGGTCATTCCATATGCATGAGTATATTAAAGTTTTTATGAAATAATTTATATATTTTGTTTATCTTCAGTAAGGCCAAAGATGAGAAATCAGGATCCAGTTGAATTATCTGTGGTGGTGGGACAAAGTGTAGAACTACCTTGTGATGTAGAAGCCTATCCTCCACCTAGGATAATGTGGCAGAAAGGAGCTTCCATACTTGCAGAGTATCCTGAGACTATCCAGTCATCTAATTCTAGTATGCTTTTCTCTTGCTGTATGGTCTGGACAATTTAACAAATAAGGACTAAAAACACATCACATTGGATGAATGTGATGACCCTGTAACCCTGAGAGTTACCTTCTGTCCTGTAACATTAAAATTGTCAGACGACTTCTTAGGAGTTATTGCCCTTGAATGATGAATTTTACCAATCTTTTGCATTTAATTTAAGGCAATTTATAACAAATTGTGAACTCCATTCTGGATTGATTTCTTCAAACTTTACATAATTTTAGTACAGATAAAAGAAATTCCCTTTCAATTTTTAAAATTTTTTGGTGTGTCTTCCCAGAGTAATGGGACTTAAATTGTCATATTTAAGTAAATTTTTTTACATGTTGTACCATAACTTGAGTTTGCTTGGATTGATTTACTGATTTACTTGATTTAATGTACATTAGTGTTGTTAAACACACTGTTTGATTCGAAAAACATTTCTGATATATCGTTCCTTAGTCACAGGTTTTTCACTGTCAGATAAATAAGAGTATGATTAAAAGTATAATAGATACACTTTCTTTCTGCTCAAATATTAAAAAAAAAAACTTTTCATTTGTTGTGAAGTTACTTTTGTGATAAAAACAGGCTTCCGGTTTTCAGAATAATCAGCATAACATAGTAATTTAACTCTAGCAATGTAAAATAAGCCATCTTAATTTTAAAATGACAAGGCTTCTCTAGATGTAAACTTATATAAAAGATATGATTTCAGATTACCAGATAATAGATAATTCAACCCTGAGAATGCTGAAGACTGATATAAGCGACTCAGGAATTTACATCTGTATAGCTCGTAACAATGCTGGCACAGCTATTGGTCAGGTCAGGTTACAAGTATCAGGTAGGTTATAGTACACATACAAAGGTTCAATGTGTGGAAGAAAGAAAAAAAAGAAGGGATATGGTGTAGATGTATAGATTAGACAGAATTGCAGACATTATTTTAAAAAAAAGCATTGTATGAAGGAAAAGTTAATAATATTGTTTACAGTAAGTTCACCTTTATTCACAGTAAAAACAATATTTTTTAAGTTTAAAACTCAATAGGTGTTTTGTTATGGTTTTAACAATAAGAATACTAATGCCAACCCTATATGAAATCTATTTTAAATCAATAAAAACTGACTTTTTATTCCATTTATTATCTCTGATCATTATCCACCAGTATGGCAAGAATTTTATATGTAACAAGATTGTAAGGGTGATCCACTTTTTAGTTATACTCCACTCAAAGAGTTTTGAGGTAATGTGGATTATAATACTGTTACTTTATTCAAATACAAATATTAATTAAAAAACAAGATATGAAAGAACTCTTTGAATATTTGTTGAATTTTCCATCGCCGGAATGTGCACAAAAGTCTACAGTGTATCACTGTTAAATATCATTCTCGGGAATTAAGCTACTCAGACAAAAGTTCTCTATACTTTCACTGGTTTTAACAACGTTGCCGAAATATCCATTTCCAAGGATTTAAACCAATTTTTCCCGTAAAATTTATCGATGTTTAAAGACAATATATATATATATTTTAAATTCGCTAATGCCAAATTGCAATGCGTCTGCTTCATGCAGTTGTATTATCTGGAATGCCTAAATGAGGCGCGCAGTAATTAAAACAAAAGGATGATAATTAATTAATTATCTCTGCCGATTGGATAATTTGAAATAAGGGCCTTGTTCTGATTGGTTCCCTTCCCACATCTCACAAAGCAATTAGAGAGCGAGATGTCAAGAGTGGCCAGTAGGGAATTCCTTATATCATTGGTTGTTATTAATAGATATAAGCTGAACTTAAATACCCAATCGGCAATAAAGGACAGGTAATGCATGTGCGATGATACATGTCAACATGCTGTGTATTAATAATCCATTTTTCTTGTTAATAAAAATATCACTTATCTCTGATCATTATCTAACAGTATGGCAAGAATTTTATATGTAACAAGATTGTAAGGGTGATCCACTTTTTAGTTATACTCCACTCAAAGAGTTTTGAGGTAATGTGGATTATAATACTGTTACTTTATTCAAATACAAATATTAATTAAAAAACAAGATATGAAAGAACTCTTTGAATATTTGTTGAATTTTCCATTAGTTTATCTAAAGAGCAGTTTAATACATGCAACTTATTGCAGTTTACTCAAATTTTCCTTTGATCTTTTTTGTGATAATCTACTCCAGTAATAGTGTATTTTCTCAGTCGAGTAGATAGAGAATGTATGATTTGATATATAAGTCTATTGATATTGCATAGGCAAATAGAGATAAACAGATAACAAATACTGTCTTTCAAACTCGGGTATGTTTTTAGGCTACATCTCATCTTGTGGCTGTCACCCTTCAATGAGTTTGTAGCTGAGAAACTTCTCTCATTTTGAAGAACCATCAACTATTAGTTTGTACCTGTGATTTTCATTTCACCATGATTCTCTTTCAGTGCCTCCAAAGATATCATCCAGTAGGACAGTATTCACGGTTTCTCAAGGCCGAGATATTGTTTTACTATGTAATAATATTGGTACTCCGGAACCAAAAATAACATGGGAGAAGGATGGTATTGAAATATCTAATGCTGATTACCATTATAGAGTGCTGAGATCAGGTCAACTAGCTATACCATATTCTAGGTAAGGTCATTAATGTTGCAACCACCTCTGTGGTCTCATGGTAGAGTGCTAATTTCCAGTGGGGGAGGTTGTGGCTTTGATTCCCAGCTAGGTCAAATCATAGACTAAAATTTGTAATTGCAGCTTCTCTGCTAAGCAGTTGGCATTTAGGAGTTAGAACAAAGACTGGTCAGCACAACTTCAGAATAATGTGTCTGGTTAGAGTGACATGTCTTACTGCAAACTGTTACCATGTGAACTAGTAATACATTAAATATCCAGCTCAGTGTTTTGGTCTTGTACAAAGCAGGGTTCATATTCATATTGCTTGTTCTCGGCCTGAATATCCATATCATTTGCCTCTGGAGGTATAACAACCATGCAACCAGCTATCCATTTTCATTGGTGTCTACAATTGCTACTCAGGTCAAGATGACTAGCTTTACCATGTTCTAGGTAAGGACATTTACACTGCTAAAGTCTGCCATTATAGAGTGCTCAGATCATTGACTTTCCTTGTAGAGTGTCAAATCAGGACGACTAGCTTTAACATATGAAGGACATTTTAGAGGTCCAAGAGAAAATGATAACTTCAATATCATTATTTTATGATGCATATAAAGTTAGTCATGCATTTGTTATCTTGTGCATAGGAGCATTCATCAAATTTAAAAAAGGGTTGAATATTATAAAATATGTAAATTTGTTTTCAGACCAGAAGATGCTGGTTCCTACACCTGTAAGGCTGTAAACAAAGCAGGAGAGGACAGTATAAAGATGGAGTTAGTAGTTCAAGGTACTCCTGTAGATTTACTTAAATATTATGTATTTTAATTACAGTGAGTCTTTTCAATTCAAACATTTTTTTGTTTAAATCAATTATATTTAAACAAAGAGATTTGATAAAGGGCTTCTATAAATTCAATAAAAAAAATGTATAGAATAATAATTGGTTTTTACATATAACATTAATTTATACTGTGGATTCTTTTATTTTTCGTGGGTACCAATTTTCGTGGATTAAGGAAAACTTACATATCTGTGGATATTTAATTTCATGGTTTTGCCGAAGTCTGCATACAAGCCTATAGAAAATTTGTCATTCGTTGAACATTTAATTTCGTGGTTCAACTGTACAAACGAAATCCACGAAAATTGGTATCCAACGAATAATAATGAATCCACAGTATATCATTTTGTCTCCCACTGAGTCATGGGCAGGGCTTCCAAAATTATTTTTAGCCAGCCGGACATTTTATTTATTATCCCGATTTTAATCCCTTAAGACTAAATAAACAAAAGGCAATTATGGTAATCTGAATAAATCAGTTGCCGAGTTGGCCATCCTAATGATTGACATTAAAAAAAACGATATTAAATTTTCTTTGATTCAAATTCGAAGTTCTGACGTAAACTGTTAAATTGGCAGTGCATCATTCGAAGTGTGCAACATCAGCCTACTTATATCTACCTTAGACTCTTTATTTGTGCAAAATAACGTTGTCAAAAACTTTACTTTCGTTTTTATACCGGATGTTATCTGAGTGACAATGGTAAAACATGGACCAGAGACGGATACGTAAATTCCGTGTACGTTTGCAAAGCGTGAATGAGTGGAAGTAGCTCTTTCTAAGTTATTTCTTCTAGAAAATATTCGAAATAAATGTGAGATAAAGGTATCAATGACAATTTAAGCATTTTTTGAAGAAATTAGTATGCATAATTAAATTAAATTAAATGCGCACATGTGTACTAGTTCAAACAGAGACATGTCTCTAGGTTCAAACAACGTGGTTATGACGATTTTTCATTTTCACCTTTTTAATTTTTTCATCAAATCATATTTGTAAACGTATTTCTGATAATTTAAATCTTTTTGACTATATTAATTAGATGCAAACCGCTGAAATGTAAGAAAATAACTTTGAATAGACCGATCAATGTCCGGTTCAAAATAGTATACCTGTCACCTGAACAGGTAAATTTCAGCTGTTTGACAACTAATTAGCCTTGATTAAAATGAGAAGGTATTAAAATAGGGGTTGTTTTGATAGTACTTAATGATCATGTCACTTTTATGACCGGAAATGTGTGGCTGTTAAAGGCAAAACGTTGGGTCAAAAAGATCGCGAATTATGTTAAAATGACCGTCTCTTAAAGCCTTGAAAACTAAAAAGTAGATGACAGTTTCATGCTTTGCCCAGCCGGACTTTTACCGGACATTATTCAAATGTCCGGCATATATGACCGTTTTGGAAGCCTTGGTCATGGGAGGTAATCCTTTTTCTTCTTTCAGTTGATTAGATTGAACATTTTACTTCATAAATAGTTGTAGTTTAGTGTACCCTCAGCCATTACATAAGTGAATAGAATAATGCTTTAAAATGCATCTTACCACATTTTCTTATTTTATATGGAGTTCTCTTTCTGACCTTTTGTTGTCTTTACAAGGTAACACCTTTGTACATTGCTTTATCTTTGGGGTTTTACTAAGATAGTTATAAATTTGGTTTCAGTTCCTCCTACTATCAACAGAAACAACAACCTACTCACATCTACAGTTGGACGGTCATTAAACATACCATGTGACACTAGTGGAATACCACCACCAGTAATAACATGGTTGAAAGATTCTAGACAGATTATCCCAGACAATACAAAATACACAGTTGATATCAATGGGACACTTGCAATTTTAGATCTACAGGTAATTATATATCAACAATACATGTGAATGGTACATGATAAACTGGTAATAAACAATCTATTGGTAAATATATATCGCAGAAAATACAAAATACACAGTAGATCTCAATGAGACAACTGTAATTAACAGTGGACAAGTAGTTATATTCCAGACAATAGAAATATCTTCTACATAAAATTCAGTTAGTAAAGCAGGCGAAACATTTCAGCATGTGCACTTTTGTTTTCAAATTTTAACAATTAATAGTTTTATTAAAGGCAGGTGATACAGGAAGTTATACATGTATGGCCAGAAATGTAGCAGGACGTGATTTATATGACAGAACACTTAGAGTACAAGGTAACTAGATATTTAGCAGGACATGATTTATATGACGGAACACTTAGAGTACAAAGCAAATGTAGTAGGAGATGATTTATATAACAGAACACTTAGAGTACAAGGTAACTAGAATTGTAGTAGGACGTGATTTATATGACAGAACAGTTAGAGTACAAGGTAACTAGAAATGTAGCAGGACGTGAGTTTTATGACAGAGCACTTAGAGTACAAGGTAACTAGAAATGTAGTAGGACATGAGTTATATGACAGAACTCTTAGAGTACATGGTAACTAGAAATGTAGCAGGACTTGAGTTATATGACAGAACACTTAGAGTACAAAGTAACTAAAAATGTAGTAGGACATGATTTATATGACAGAACACTTAGAGAACATGGTAACTAGAAATGTAGCAGGACCTGAGTTATATGACAGAACACTTAGAGTACAAGGTAACTAGATAGTAGGACGTGACTTATATGACAGAACACTTAAGAGTACAAGGTAAATGTAGCAGGACATGATTTATATGACAGAACATTAGAGTACAAGGTAACTAGATAGTTGGACGTGATTTATATGACAGAACTCTTAGAGTACAAGGTAACTAGAAATCTAGTAGGACATGATTTATATGACAGAACACTTAGAGTACATGGTAACTAGAAATGTAGCAGGACTTGAGTTATATGACAGAACACTTAGAGTACATGGTAACTAGAAATGTAGCAGGACGTGAGTTTTATGACAGAGCACTTAGGATACAAGGTAACTAGAAATGTAGTAGGACATGAGTTATATGACAGAACTCTTAAGAGTACAAAGTAACTAGAAATGTAGCAGGACATGATTTATATAACAGAACTCTTAGAGTACAAGGTAACTAGAAATGTAGCAGGACTTGAGTTATATGACAGAACACTTAGAGTACAAAGTAACTAAAAATGTAGTAGGACATGATTTATATGACAGAACACTTAGAGAACATGGTAACTAGAAATGTAGCAGGACCTGAGTTATATGACAGAACACTTAAAGAGTACAAGGTAACTAGATAGTAGGACGTGACTTATATTACCGAACTCTTAGAGTACAAGGTAAATGTAGTAGGACATGATTTATATGACAGAACACTAGAGTACAAGGTAACTAGATAGTTGGACGTGATTTATATGACAGAACTCTTAAGAGTACAAGGTAACTAGAAATCTAGTAGGACGTGATTTATATGACAGAACACTTAGATTACATGGTAACTAGAAATGTAGCAGGACGTGAGTTTTATGACAGAGCACTTAGAGTACAAGGTAACTAGAAATGTAGTAGGACATGAGTTATATGACAGAACACTTATAGTACATGGTAACTAGAAATGTAGCAGGACGTGAGTTATATGACAGAACACTTAGAGTACAAGGTAACTAGATAGTTGGACATGATTTATATAACAGAACTCTAGAGTACAAGGTAACTAGAAATGTAACAGGACTTGAGTTATATGACAGAACACTTAGAGTACATGGTAACTAGAAATGTAGCAGGACGTAATTTATATGACAGAACATTTAGAGTACAAGGTAACTAGAAATGTAGTAGGACATGATTTATATGACAGAACACTTAGAGAACATGGTATCTAGAAATGTAGCAGGATGTGAGTTATATGACAGAACACTTAGAGTACAAGGTAACTAGATAGTAGGACGTGACTTTTATGACAGAACTCTTGGAGTACAAGGTAAATGTAGCAGGACATGATTTATATGACAGAACACTTAGAGTACAAGGTAACTAGATAGATGGATGTGATTTATATGAAAGAACTCTTAGAGTACAAGGTAACTAGAAATCTAGTAGGACTTGATTTATATGACAGAACACTTAAGAGTACAAGGTAACTAGAAATGTAGTACGACGTCATTTATATGACAGAAGATGCAATTAAATAACAAAATTTTGCTCGAGTTAGGGCTACTAAATTCAGAATAATCTTAACCATGTCACATGCATATCCCTTTCAATCGTTGAAAAGAGAGCTTGGAAAAAAAACATTTGTAAAGAAATAACTAAATAGAGTAATTCACATGTATGGATTTTCAAGTCAAACTGGCTGGCTCACATTACACACAATGCTATGATCATGATGATATGATTTTTTTAAATTTCACCTGTACCATTCCAAGGTGCAGTCCGTGTTTTGCAGAAAGAATTGTAAATTTTACTGTTTCTATATTGATAAAACAGTAACAAAGTATATGGCACAGGACCTTTTATCACTCTAAATCTTAGATTTTTTCAAGACACTTGATAATAATGTTTAGTTGCTCTCGAAATGTCTGCTGTTTCCTATGACTCTAATGGTACAGTTAAAAAGTGGCAGGGACATTTTTCTACTGCATAGCAACCTTGTGTAATTTTTTTATGCCCCACCTATGATAGTAGAGGGGCATTATGTTTTTAGGTCTGTGCGACCGTCCGTTCTTCCGTCTGTCCTTCTTCAGGTTAAAGTTTTTGGTCAAGGTAGTTTTTTGATGAAGTTGAAGTCTAATCAGCTTGAAACTTAGTACACATGTTCCCTATGATATGATCTTTCTAATTTTATTGCCAAATTAGAGTTTTGACTCCAATTTCACGGTCCACTGAACATAGAAAATGATAGTGCGAGTGGGGCATCTGTGTACTATGGACACATTCTTGTTTTACAGTTTAAACCACTGTATTTTAAATTACTCTACCTTTTTTCTCATTGCTCATAGTTCCTCCATCAATTCGACAGTCACCTCTAAACAAGGAAGTTGTTTTAAATGGAAGATTTATTTTGAAATGTGGAGCCACTGGAATCCCTGTACCTACTATAACATGGACAAGGAATGGGGAACCAGTCCAAAGTAAGTTCTTTTTTGTAAATAAATAAAAAATTGCGATTAGAATACAGACTTACAGATAGATGTAATTACACTTGTATGCAATTTGTCCGCTATTCCTTAAAACAAGTAGCGGCAGAATACTGCATCACAATTCAAAACATTTGGCATCATAATTGTAAAGTAAAGTGATTGTTGCATGACGTCAGAAGGTTATTCAGAGACAGACTAGGGTCATTCGGAGACAAAGTTCAGCTAAATACCCAAAAGTGTAAATATGTCTATTCCTGTAGCTTATAAGTGATATATGAATTTCAGCATTTACAAAGAAAAATTGCTAGAGTTGTGATTTTTTTTAATAGAAAATAAGAAATATATTTTGATAGGGAATTCAAAAATAGGAATATCAAAATGATTTGGAATTTGTTAGAGAAGGAAGAAATTGTTAAGGAATAAGTTTCTGCAAAATTTAATATCCACACAGAAAGATGGAGAAGTAATGCTGAGAGTTATTGTAGACAACACTTCATATCTTTAGATTTTTTAAATTTTATTTATGTTCAAACTTAATTATGTTGGTTCTGAAACCTGAAAATGATTAAAATGCATTAAGGAGCAGCAAAATGAGATGAAGAACCGATTGATACATACATTTTAGTAGTTCTAAGGAATGGGTTTAATATTGGTTTACATCATGTCAATCCTCTTTTAATCTATCCTATTCATAACTGTATGTATTTGGAATTATTATATTCTCAGTATAGTAAATTCAAGGCACAGCAGATGTGTAGAACCTTTTCATTGGATGGAATGCAACATCTATCCATTCAGCATATAACAAAAATGTATTTTCTCTTCCAACAAGGCACTCCCATTGCTGTTAATTAATTAATTTGACTATATTTAGAAGGCTCCCCTTTAATTTCTTCATACCAATTTGACTATATTTTGAAGGTTTTGTTTTCTTTAAGAAAGGAAGAAAACAGTCAATGGAAATGAAAAAAAAAAACACTACAGAACTTTTCACCAATTGCGATGTAGTAATATACTCTATTCAACAGAGCATACTAATGGTTAAGGTGTCTTGTTCTGTTTAACATATAAAGCATCCACACAGTGTTTAAAGGTAGATCAGGTGTCTTCCACCATTTTGCATAGTAAAACAACAGAACACAATTGTTCTATTTCTTTAAGAAAATGTATAAATTTTGAGAGAGGAGCTAGTATAATTCATTTGTAAACTTTTTCATCTAAATGAAGAAAATAATGTGTTTTATCTTAATATTACGACTGTTTTTCAAAAATACAGAAATATTTTGTAAGAATCTGTTTTTTCAACTGTGCAATATAATGGAAGATTACTTATAAAGGAATGTGTAGGGAATTAACTTCTTTTGTTTTGTAGCAAGAGAGCAAGTCCCATTTTCCAAATTTTCATCTTAATTTTCTGAAAGCAAATTATATTAATTATCTTTTCATATTTTATCTCAAAATTTGATTCTTTCATTTTATTTCTATCTAAGAAAATTGTTTTTTCCATGTATAATCTATACATAATCTCACAATTTTGCACAATCTGTAGCTTGAAAAAAGCTCTGTTATTTTTTATTATATTTTTGAAAATAGCATGATATAAACTATTTTGGCAAATAATTTTCAAAATCTATTGATTTTAACTTAGATCTCTGATCTACCTTAAAACCAGAAGCTGTTTTTTAAGCACTTACTCAACAAAAATGTGCAAGCTTCTTAATGCATCATCAATCTTCATTATGTTGAATGTTAATCTTTCAATTCTATTTGTAGATAGACCAAGTTATCATGGAAGGAGTAGACTTATTATCAGGAATGCTATTAAACAAGATGCTGGAATGTACACATGCATTGCCAAAAATCCAGCTGGAATGGATACAGCTTCAGTATCAGTAGTTATGAAAGGTTTGTACTCTTAAGCTTGTATTGCCAAGAATCCAGCTGGAATGGAAACAGCTTCAGTATCAGTAGTTATGAAAGGTTTGTACACATATATTGTCAGGAATCCAGATAGAATAAATACAGCTTCATCATCAGTAGTAATGAAAGGTGTGTACACATGTATTGTCAGGAATCCAGCTGGAATAGGTCTGTAGTTATGAAAGGTTTGTACACACATTGATTTTCTGGAATCCAGCTGGAATAGAAACAGCTTCAGCATCAGTAGTAATGAAAGGTGTGTACACATGTATTATTTAGAATCCAGCTGGAATAAATACTGCTTCAGCATTAGTAGTAATGAAAGGTGTGTACACATGTATTGTCATGATTCCAGCTGGAATAGATCTGTAGTTATGAAAGGTTTGTACACATGTATTGTCTGTAACTCGAAATTTAGTACACATGTTGGTAATGATTTGAATCCATAAAATATATATATATATATAATTTTATTTGTAGCGCAACCTGATATAACATTTTTACATACATGTATACAAAGTCAATTAGCTAGCCTTCAAAGGCTTACGAAGCACTGTCAATTAATATTTATAACTAGTGCTTATATTAAAAATATGAACTTTATACTTCAAGAACATTTTCAAACAAGATTACTGAGCTTGGATTTTGATTATATATTTGATACATTCTTGATGTTTTATAAAATGACAAATTGGTTTCTTTAAATGATAATAAAATGTTGCAAAGAGTTATAGGAAAGAAATACCAAATACAAAGTCAGTGTTGTAACCAATAAGTTTAAAAGGTAAGTCTACTACACCTGAAAACACTGAAATAATAAAAGATAAAAGAGGTGATGACTGCAAGTTAAAAGAGTTCACCTGTCAGTCTTGAGCTGTGTATAAATGCTTTCAGTTAGTCTTTCCTCTATCATTTGGTACTTGATCAGATTTTATATCTGATCAGAATATTAAGAATACTACAAATGTGAACATTTCATAAATCATACTATAATTCTACCTTATTTTAGCTACTATATACTATTCTATTTTAGAAGGGCTATAAAAAGATTAAAATATAATGATTGTCAATAATATCATACGCTCTTCATCAAATTTGTTCATCACAGCAAGTTACCAATGTGAAAGAAACCATCATTGTTACCATAATGTTCTGCTTGCAATTTTACTATAGCATTTCTTAATTCTTGCACTTGTTGACTCTGTGGATACCATAGCTTACATGAGCAGGTATATTGTGTCAGTTTAGCTGTACATTTCTTCTCCAACTTGACCAGAGACTGGCTATAGTGAACTTCCATAAATTCTTGATTATATATTGGCTTAGTGCAAATATTTTTATTTTTGATTCAAGTGATTTTTGTTTTTTCATTTTTACCTATTAGAAAACATTGACTTTGTGATTATTATATCGTATCTGAAGATGCAGTTAAACAATATTATTCTGACTAGATTTCAAGAAAATTTTAACAGAATCTTTACATAATGCCACTATAAATGACAGTGTATCTCTTACTTTAATTTAATTTAGTTTTTATCAGATTAGATGTAGTGTTGGCTTAACAAAGCATGGGCTTTGCTATTTAAAAAAAAAACGGGAGATCAGGGATAGGAATTTGTGAGTCCTTCTCATTTGTTTCTTGACATTTTATTTACAGTGCCACCAAGAGTTATTGTCCCTGATAGTAACAGAGTTGTGACAGTGGCAGAGACAGTTATATTATCCTGTTCTGTAGGAGGTGACCCTCTACCAGATATCTATTGGACAAAGAATGGACGTTCAATACAACTGGGGGATAGGATACAACAATTAGCAAATGGATCCCTTGTCATCTTTGACTCTACAGTAAAATCTAGTTTCCTTATATTGAAAATATCTTTTTGACATGTTTCTTTAATATATAATCACTTATTCTAATATAATGTCCTGTATTTGCTCTCTGATTTGTCCATTTTAAAATACCCAATAAACCATATCCAACAGAGAATGATGATGTCCCAATACATTTTGTGCTTATACAGTTCAAGCTTTTTTAATGGGGTTGTCTAGTGCCACACAAATTAGTGTATTTTTGCTATCCTTTTACCTGTTAGAATAAAAATAATGTATGTCATCCTGTGGGGTATATTCCTTTTTGCTATGGATAGGCCCTATATAATTAGGAATTGTAACAAAATAATGACTTGCAGTGAGGTGAGAGTTTTTTTTAGTGACATTTTCATTTCCAAGGAGGTTTTTTTTTTTGCTCCATGTTGAAGGCCTCACTGTGACTTTAAGATGAAGAGCAGCAATAAAAGCGATGTTTCTTTGCTTTTTGTGTGTTTTTTGTTGTGCATGTACTGATTTTGTGTCATGGATGGTTACCCCATATCCTTTGTTTTTCTATTAGTTATGGTAAAATCTCTAATGAACCATGGGATGCTCCATATCTGAATTTGAATCCCTTTAGCAAAGTCATATTCCACATTTGTCTCAAAATTACTTACTAAATATGTCAATTGGAATTTCTGTGGCAGAGCCATATCCAATGTCTCTGAATTTTAAAGGGAACCACTTGTGATAGGTCAATGATTTTTGGTTTGCAGTGGTATTAGCATTGGCACATCTCATTTCCATGGAGATTATTTTAGCCCACCCCCTTAGTCATGGTCTATGGACTATGAAACTTTTGCATATTTTACTTGTTTAGGTTTTTGATTAGATCAGTTTAAGATGAACCACTAATAGTAAGTCAATGATATTTGGTATGCAGTTGAATTAGGGGGGATAAGTGGTTAAGTGGTCTAAGTAGTTCATTGCCAGTTTTCTTGCTGAAGGTCAGTGGTTCTCTGTGCTCTGTGGGCTCTTCTGCTTCCTTTACGTATTCCTTTACGTTATAGCCAATAGCACTGAAAGTAGCATTAAACACCAACAATCAATCAGTTGAATTAGTATTTGCATGTCTCATTTCAATGGAGCATGGTTCATTGACTTTGAAACTTTAGCGTAGTTTAATGACATTGCTAAATTTTGGGATTAGGTTAGTTTAAAGGGAACAACTTATGATAAGTCAATGGTATATGGTATGCAGTTGTATTAGTATTGGCATTTCTCATTTCCAAGGAGGTTATTTGTTCCTTCACTTTCAGTCATGATTCATTGACTTTGAATGTTTTGCACAGTTTGTTTACATGTTAATGGATTACACTTTTAACTTCAACATTTGTACTATACTATCAAAACTACATAAAGGAGAGAAGAAGCAAAACACTCAGGACATATATTGATGAAAGAAAAAAATACCTCACAATATTCAAACTTGGGAACATGTTAGAACAAACAAAAATATTAAATCTGGATATTGAAATTAAAATATAACAGGCATGAAAAGGAAAAGATTTTCCAAATTTTCATTTAAAGGCTTAATATTTATACCCCCTTCAAAGGATGTTTTGGATATATAGGATCAACATGTTCGTCATCTAGCTATCCATGTGCTTTGTGAACATAACTCTCTTTACAGCTAGACATATTCAATGAATCTTTCACAATTGAAGAACACTACCTGAACATGTGCATAAAGAAATATAATCCAGATATGTAGACGGAGAGGTTAATAGAATTTACTAACTTCAATTTATTTAATTATTATTGAGGGGACAAGGGGTATTCTATTGTGAGTTTACTCACACTTCTAGTTGGATTATTAATTGCTTGGAGATTTTCTATGTTTTTCAGAGTTCTGATGCTGGTGATTATAAATGTGTAGCTACAAATGAAGCTGGGTCATCAGAAGGAGTGGCAACACTATCAGTCCATGGTAAGATAATACATAATCTAATGAAGCTAGGTCATCAGAAGAAGTGGCAACACTGTCAGTCCATGGTAAGATAATACATAATCTAATGAAGCTTGGTCATCAGAAGGAGGGGCAATACTGTCCGTTCATGGTAAGATAAAACATAATTAACATAGCAGTGAAGCTGAGTCACCAGAAGGAGTGGCAACACTATCAGTCCATGGTAAGATAATACATAATTAAAGTAGCAGTGAAGCTGGGTCATCAGAAGGAGTGGCAACACTATCAGTTCATGGTAAGGTGATACATAATCTAATGAAGCTAGGTCATCAGAAGGAGTGGCAACACTATCAGTTCATGGTAAGATAATACATAATTAACATAGCAATGAAGCTAAGTCATCTGAAGGAGTGGCAACACTGCCAGTCCATGGTAAGATAATAGATAATTAACATAGCAGTGAAGCTGGGTCATCAGAAGGAGTGGCAACACTATCAGTTCATGGTAAGATAATACATAATCTTATGAAGCTGGGTCATCAGAAGGAGTGGCAACACTATCAGTTCATGGTAAGATAATACATAATCTAATGAAGCTGGGTCATCTGAAGGAGTGGCAACACTATCAGTTCATGGTAAGATAATACATAATCTAATGAAGCTGGGTCATCAGAAGGAGTGGCAACACCATCAGTCCATGGTAAGATTATACATAATCTAATGAAGCTGGGTCATCAGAAGGAGTGGCAACACTATCAGTTCATAGTAAGATAATACATAATTAACATAGCAGTGAAGCTGGGTCATCTGAAGGAGTGGCAACACTATCAGTCTATGGTAAGATAATACATAATCTAATGAAGCTGGGTCATCAGAAGGAGTGGCAACACCATCAGTCCATGGTAAGATTATACATAATCTAATGAAGCTGGGTCATCAGAAGGAGTGGCAACACTATCAGTTCATAGTAAGATAATACATAATTAACATAGCAGTGAAGCTGGGTCATCTGAAGGAGTGGCAACACTATCAGTCTATGGTAAGATAATACATAATCTAATGAAGCTGGGTCATCAGAAGGAGTGGCAACACCATCAGTCCATGGTAAGATTATACATAATCTAATGAAGCTGGGTCATCAGAAGGAGTGGCAACACTATCAGTTCATAGTAAGATAATACATAATTAACATAGCAGTGAAGCTGGGTCATCTGAAGGAGTGGCAACACTATCAGTTCATGGTAAGATAATACATAATTAACATAGCAGCTTATATTTTAATGGAAACTACAAGTTAAAGCACAAAGATAGAAGTGCATATTACTTAAGATGGAATAGATTCTATACTTAATCACATTTTGCAGATTTAATCCTGAAAACTAATGATTTTAAGATTAAATGAAACTTTTGTTCCACTACATGTGAGGAAATTTAAATCAAAATTGAAAATGATCTTGGCTGTTCATCTTTGACCTCAGTATTTATTGTATGTTGTTTGATTTGTCTCATGTATTGTTTATTTAACAGAACCACCAAAGTTTAAGATAGAACCTACTAATACTACTGTGATAGAAGGAGATGTTATGACAATGGACTGTGTGGCTGAAGGAGAACCCCAGCCTATTGTAACCTGGCAAAGGGGATGGACAGAGATAGTCCCAGGGGGCAGAATAGTCATTCTTCCCAATAATTCTTTGAGGTTATTAGTTCATTACAGAATCAATATATCTATGTTTTTGATGACATAATTGAAATCTAGATGTTTCAGTGATCCCCCCACTCAGATATGCACACATTGTATATTCTTTATAAGCTGTAAGTTCTACTTATAGGTATTGAACATATTACTATCTAAAAAAACATGATAGTATTACATTTAAAAAAATGTTTAAGTAAGAAATATATAGTTTCTTTGCCTGGTACCCATGTGAACTTTATTAACACTTAAAATGCATTCCATTCAATGCTATATACAGCAAACTGGACCAAGAACTTGCAATTTTGGGGGAAAATTAAAACCAATAACAGTATAATGGTCATCAGAGTTATGTGCAGTGTAAATTGAAAACTGAAGTAAGCTACAAAATCTTTAGATCTCTATACAGAAATCTATTCTAAATGTTATGTTTGATTTTACAGAATATTATCAGCTGAGTTGTCTGATACAGGATTATATAGATGTAAAGCCAGTAATTCATTAGGGAAGACACTTATAGAGGCAGCTTTGACAGTAATGGGTAAAACATTATGCATTCCATAGCTAATTACACACATTTAAATCCAGAGAAAATTAAATATTCATTGAAATATTGTTGTTGGAAATTGGAAGGATGTACATGCAAAAGATTAAACTTTTCATTTCTAGCTGATACTTTTGGTCAAATGAATTTTATGATTCTATTAATTGTGGTTGTGAAACTTCTAATATGGAGTTGTTTACATATTTCCCCATTTGTACACTTTATATTTCCTTACATTTAAATGTTCAGTATAGACCATTCTCCATTGCTTAAGAAAAATCTGCTCTACAAAGCCATTTGGGTCTTTAATTTATTTTAAGTGGTCTCACAGGGAGTTGTGGTTTAGATCCCTAGACCAGAATATTTTCTGAATTAACTTTTATGAGATACAGTCAATATTGATATACATTTGTAATTTAGAGAAGTTGTGAATCTGAAACTAAATAATGCAAGTTTGGAAGCATTTGATTGAGTTTTGCCTGGTGAGTGTTTATGTTGCTATGCATTTCATTTCAATACCAAAAGTGCTATATTCATGGCCTGAAAATCTATATTTTCTGCCCAAATATCTTTTAAGATATAGAAGATAACATTAATAAGCTTTATTGTTGTATATTTCATGTAAAAAATTGAATTAAGTTGGACACAAAGCCACTGTCTATATGTGATATATTTGAATTATACTGCTCTTCATAGTTACTAGCTCCTGCTGCAGACTATAAACGATGGCTATTCAAAATAAGTGACAAAACATACAAATTCTACTTTTGAATGCCACAATTGGCATTTTATGGAATGAACTTCTTAACTTGAAGTTTTCTTCTTTCAATGATATTTTGATGATAGATTTCAAAGGCAATATATTTTAACATTTCAATTGCTATACTTTGCAGTGCATGGTCAATATTCTGATTGGTCAGATTGGAGTTCCTGTAGTAAAAGTTGTGGAACAGGAAACCAGTTAAGGACCAGAGAGTGTAACAATCCTCCACCTACAAATGGTGGAAGGTTTTGTCAGGGACCTTCACGAGATACTAGGACATGTGTAGTTACAGAATGTCCAGGTAAGAAACAATGGGAAAATATCACAGTGTTTCCTCATCATATGATGGTATTGTCAGGGACCCTCAGGAGATACTAGGACATGTGTGGTTACAGAATGTCCAGGTAAGAAACAATGGGAAAATATCACAGTGTTTCCTCATCATATGATGGTATTGTCAGGGACCTTCACGAGATACTAGGACATGTGTGGTTACAGAATGTCCAGGTAAGAAACAATGGGAAAATATCACAGTGTTTCCTCATCATATGATGGTATTGTCAGGACCCTCAGGAGATACTAGGACATGTGTGGTTACAGAATGTCCAGGTAAGAAACAGTGGGAAAATATCACAGTGTTTCCTCATCATATGATGGTATTGTCAGGGACCCTCAGGAGATACTAGGACATGTGTGGTTACAGAATGTCCAGGTAAGAAACAATGGGAAAATATCACAGTGTTTCCTCATCATATGATGGTATTGTCAGGGACCCTCAGGAGATACTAGGACATGTGTAGTTACAGAATGTCCAGGTAAGAAACAATGGGAAAATATCACAGTGTTTCCTCATCATATGATGGTATTGTCAGGGACCCTCAGGAGATACTAGGACATGTGTAGTTACAGAATGTCCAGGTAAGAAACAATGGGAAAATATCACATTGTTTCCTCATCATATGATGGTATTGTCAGGGACCTTCACGAGATACTAGGACATGTGTGGTTACAGAATGTCCAGGTAAGAAACAATGGGCAAATATCACAGTGTTTCCTCATCATATGATGGTATTGTCAGGGACCCTCAGGAGATACTAGGACATGTGTGGTTACAGAATGTCCAGGTAAGAAACAATGGGAAAATATCACAGTGTTTCCTCATCATATGATGGTATTGTCAGGGACCCTCAGGAGATACAAGGACATTTGTGGTTACAGAATGTCCAGGTAAGAAACAATGGGAAAATATCACAGTGTTTCCTCATCATATGATGGTATTGTCAGGGACCCTCAGGAGATACTAGGACATGTGTGGTTACAGAATGTCCAGGTAAGAAACAATGGGAAAATAACACAGTGTTTCCTCGTCATATGATGGTATTGTCAGGGACCCTCAGGAGATACTAGGACATGTGTGGTTACAGAATGTCCAGGTAAGAAACAATGGGAAAATATCACAGTGTTTCCTCATCATATGATGGTATTGTCAGGGACCCTCAGGAGCAAGGGTCCGGAAACGGTCATATTTGCCAGTCATGTCCTAAAATGAAACTATTTGTCCTAAACAAGTAATTGGGATTTAGGACAAATTTTATTTTTTTACAGAAGTAATTTCGGTCATTTCATTGACTCAATGTTTGAAATCGGATTTCTTAATCGCCATTTTGCACTTGTGGTCACTTGTTTTTGTTTATAATCCCTTTCCTGTAATAAAACTGCCACTACAGTAGTTTGATAATCTTGAGGGCCCTCCTAATATCTATATCAATGACTCCGGGAAACATTGGCTAATGATTTTTACCTGTGGTTTTAATTTACACATGACAGTGATCACAAAGCTCAGAATAATATCTATAAAACATTTAAGTTCCCTGACAAGTGTATTCATTATTTATTTACTTTTCATCAAAGACAGTCATCAATTCTGATTTAAAAATTAAATCTAAATTTACGTAGAAAAAAATATTTTTTCATGAGTAACACATGCGCTTTATTTACTATGTAATACGCATGCGTGAAATTGTCTTCAGCAGATTTAATATTTAATCGTAAAATGCAAATTGATTTCATGCTAAATTAAACGAGTGCAACTATTATCTGTTATATTCAAACACTTTTAAAGGTAATAAAATAAAAAAACCATAAAAAGCCGGTGACTTCCTGTCAATTTGATAAACAAAACAAATCCCGGAAATGAATCCGGAATTATTCGTACTTTAAAATATCACAAACTTCCGGTTTTATCTTTTGTCAAATCGAAAGAAACGTAAGCAATGTCCGAGAAATTAACCATTTTGAGTCATTAAAATCATTTCAATTTTAGACTGTTGCCTTCACTAAACTGTCCTTCATGGTAATGGTAAGACATTTACTTAGTAAATGCGATGAAACAGCAATACAAGTTCGTCATGTTCGTTGATGCTATGAATATAGTCAAGTTGATATCGACAATTTGAAAAGGGGCACCAACTTTTCAAACATCTCAAAATGACCGAAATTGTCTGGAAAAATTTCCGGATCCTTGCTCAGGAGATACTAGGACATGTGTGGTTACAGAATATCCAGGTAAGAAACAATGGGAAAATATCACAGTGTTTCCTCATCATATTATGGTATTGTCAGGGACCCTCAGGAGATGTTAGGACAAGTTTGTTTACAGAATGTCCAGGTAAGAAACAAAGGCAAACATGACAGTCCTTGCTTATCAAATGATGGGAAATATTGTCAGTGACCCTCATGAGATACTAAGACAAGTTTGGTTAGACAATGTACATGTAAGAAGCAAAGGCAAACATGACAGTCCTTGCTTATCAAATGATTGGAAATAGTGTCAAGAACTCTCAGGAGATACTAGGACAAGTTTGGTTAGACAATGTACATGTAAGAAGCAAAGGCAAACATGACAGTCCTTGCTTATCAAATGATTGGAAATATTGTCAGGGACTCTCAGGAGATACCAGGGCATGTTTGGTTATAGAATTCCATTTAAGAAGCTAAGGCAAACATGGCAGTCCTTGGTTAGCAAATGGTGGTAAATATTGTTGGACCCACAGGAGATACTAGGCATGTTTGGTTATAGACTGTCCATGTAAGAAACTAAGGCAAACATGACAGTCCTTGCTTATCAAATGATTGGAAATATTGTCAAGAACTCTCAGGAGATACTAGGACAAGTTTGGTTAGACAATGTACATGTAAGAAGCGAAGGCAAACATGACAGTCCTCCCTTATCAAATGATTGGAAATATTGTCAGGGACTCTCAGGAGATACTAGGGCATGTTTGGTTATAGAATTCCATTTAAGAAGCTAAGGCAAACATGACAGTCCTTGGTTAGCAAATGGTGGTAAATATTGTTGGACCCACAGGAGATACTAGGCATGTTTGGTTATAGAATGTCCATGTAAGAAACTAAGGCAAACATGACAGTCCTTGCTTAGCAAATGGTTGGAAATATTGTTCACTGGCATAGTTATGAAAAACTGATCTTGCATAAGCTTTTTTTTTTTTTTTTTAGAAATTTCATTACAGAGAACATTCTCATTACAGAGTGGTTCTTCCTATTAAACACATTCTTTGACCAATGCAAAGATGTTTAAGTACTGTAAATTCAGAAATTATTGAGGTTTTTTATCAATGTGAATAATGCTTCTGGGTTAGTATCACAATTAAAGAACTTAACATTTTGATATCTGATACATATATTCTTATGAAGCTTTCCTGAAATGGCAATAATTAATCTCACATTTTTTTTTAGTCTTCAAAAATCACAAGAACAAATCCACGCAATAATTCTGAATAAACATTTTTGGTCAGTGAGTATGCTTTCAAATACAAAATAACAGATCTTTTATTGAAATCAACCAGTTGAAAAAGTATTGAATATTAATTATTTTATCATTTTTATTTTCTCATAACATTTTATGCAGTTGTATTGAACATTATCATTAAACTTAACTTTTATTCTAATGTATGCCATGTATATGTTTGCATTTTTTGTTTATGCTTTTTTCTATGATAAGGGCCTCAGGGAATATTATTTAGCCCAGGATCTGTGTTGAAGGCCTTACTTTGACCTATAATGGTTTACTTTTACAAATTGTGACTTGGATGGAGAGTTGTCTCATTGGCACTCATACCACATCTTCTTATATCTATATAGCTAACTGTGTAACCCTCTTGAAATAAAGTATTGTATGCTTAGCATGACCCGCAGATGCATTCTTGTTGTGTATTGTCTCATGATAAAACTTTTATCATAGATTGGAAAGTAAATTGTTAATTAAAAAATAGTTGAGTGCTTTAAATCTTTCAGTTAGTTTCTATTTAGTGAATGGTATATATCTGAAACAAAAATAATAAGTACTTTATAAAGTATAAATAAAAGATGGCAAAGTGAAAGTAGGTGAAATAAACTGGTAGGAATCTTGCCACTGTTTAATAAAAAAATATCTGGACTGTGTAAAGCTAAACTGTATTGGAATATCCATTATACAGTTTCACAGCAAGAAAAAAAAAACGGAGCACAATTTCAATTTGATGTTATTCTGTATTTTAACTACTGGGCTTTTTTTAGTACCAGGAGATTGGAGTGAGTGGGGTTTATGGTCAGAATGTTCCACTACATGTGATGAGGGAGTTCAGGAGAGACATCGTGTATGTAACATTCCATTATTTGGTGGACTGCCATGTGTTGGAGATAGAGATCAGGTTGTAAAGTGCAGTGTTCAACCTTGCTATAGTAAGTCTTATAATTGTGTACATTTTCAAAAGAAATACTTACTGCAGACCATGGCCACTTAATTTAATATTGCATGACCATCTTCAAATCTTTGTTTCAAACCAATGATACTTCACCTAGGTTCATTGACTTTGAATCAAGTAATTTTTTTTCAAAGTTTGCATACTTTTGATAGAATTAGAAATTTTCTTGTCCAATGTACTTTTCCACACCTTTTAGTGGATAGATATAGCTACTGGCCTTACTTTTTAATTGTGGGTGCATATAATTTGATAGTCAAGGTCTAGGATACAATTGTAGTTTAATGTCAAGCACAGTCAGATATAATTAAACCCCCGTTCTAATAAGAGGGGTATTAAACTGGTTTATGCCTGTCCGTCTTTCTATCTGTCCATCCAATAAAATTTTGGTAACAATTTTCTCAAAAACTACAAATCAGAGCTTTCTGAAATATGGAATCGACTTTCATGTGAGCATGCTATACAGTGTAATGTGATTTTTCATCATTCACTCATCAACTTCCTGTTTACTAAATACTTATAGTGGATGTATCATTGGTTGGCAAATGCAGTTCAACTTGTAAAATCAAATTTCAAATATATCACTTTTAATAGTGACCACTATAACTTCTAATTTCATCTTCAAAATATCTAACAATTGGATTTTATATAGAGCATAAAATAATCATAAATGAAAGCTGTGTGGTATTAGTCAAGGTAACAGCAACCCAACAGCACTAGAACCAAACAGACATCTAGAGATCAACATATTGTCTTCAACACAGTGTTATACAATAAGTCAATTTGTAAAGCATCCTGTGTCTATAAAAATTTTCCATAAATTTAACGAGAGACTATCAAAGTTTCGCCATTAACAGTAAATAACAAAATTTTTTTTGTATTTCAAACAGAAATACTTCTCAGAAATCTTAATTTCAAAAGTCAAGACCTAGGCATAAAGGGTCATAATATCCAGTTTATTTTACCATCTAAAATTTAAAATGACATCAACTTCTTCTATATTATGCACTGACCAACACTGGATATGTACATGTATTTATTGTATTTAAATTGTGTAGGGAACTAGTTAGAGTATGACATTGTGAAAAGTTGCTAGATACGAGACATTTGTTTGATCTTTTATTAGGAATCCCACAAAGAGGAGAAGGTAATCTGGTTGGTTATATAAACAATATAGATCTTACTGAAGGCAGGATAACAGCTTTAGCCACACCTACAACTGATGGAACTTATATTAATGCTACAATAGACAATATACCTCCGGAAATATGTACGTACACATTTAATAGAATAGAATTGATACTTGATTCATCTTATGGTGAGAGAAAGAGGGATTTTGTTCATTAGAAACATTTGAGGGATCTTTTGTTTGCAATATTGCCAAAACAAGAATATTTTGAAGATATTGTTCTCAAGAAACATTGGAAAAAGATTTTTTTTGCACAGTTACTGTTCTTTGAACATAAGTTTAGAAAACCAGGGAGAACTGTCAAAAGCAAACTTTTGATATCTTATTGTTTTCAAATATTTTATATTTTATATTTAATTGTTTATTTTTAATGTTATATTTTGACAGCTGGTCATTTTCAACACTTAATATCAGTACTGAATCCAATATACTGGACCCTGTCACAGGAAGTAGGAGGTGCAAGTAATGGCTTCAGATTGACAGATGGAAAATATAACAGGGAAACTCAAGTACAGTTTGCAACAGGTTAGCATGTCTGACACTTATTTTGTGAGAGGTCATGCCCCAACCCCTCATATCATTTATAATTGAAAAACATTTCTGATTCCCACCCATTAATCAGACATATATTCTTATTTACCATGACAAAACCTTTTCTGTACATGAATGTGGTTGTTAAACCTTTTCTTTACTGGTGTCACTTCTAAAGGTGAAGGGGAGACATTAGTTTTAGTCCTGTTATAAAGTTCCACCTAGTTGTGCTTAGTACTGATCTGATGAATCAAGCCCTTTTCAACTTTTTACAGTTAGTTCTATTTTGTCCCAGGTTAGGGAGAAGTTAAGTGCCAACAAAATGTTTACCCTGCAAATTCTTTCGTGTGTGTACCGAACCAAGGGTCTGTAGTCTAATGATGTTATTGGTTGCTGTCTGTAATAATTGTTATTTTGGTTTATGCTATTAGCTTAAATAAGATGGTTAGTTTTCTATACTTTGATTTTCACATTTTGTTAACCAGGTCTTAATACAGTCAAACCTGCCTTAACGGTCGCCTCATTTCAGCGGTCACCTGCCTCAAATGGTCACTTTCAGATCCTCCCAAACGATTTCTCTATATAATTTAACTCATTTCAGTGGTCACCTGTCTAATGGGGTCAGCTGTCACCTTATTTCATTTTAAGAAGCATGACAGAATCATATGCTATGGTGTTGTTTTAAATTCAGCCATAGAGAAACAAAAAAGATATTTTTGTTTCTGAAATATTAATATTTAATAGGTTCAGTATATATCCGTTAGGCCACACCAATTTGATTAATAGTTCTTCAGAAAAAGCTCATAAAAATATGGGGTGAGCGAGCGAAATTTTTTTGTTTTTATATATTTCTTGAAAATGAGTTTTGTGTTTTTAGGCGAGTGCTCTACATGTGAAGTTTTAAATTGTGTGATTTAGAAGTTGTACAATTTATGTACATGTTATAACTGGGATATTTCATAGAAAACGAGGAGCAAAAGATGCTCTAATGCATATAATTTGATTTATTGGTGCCTGTACCATATCAGACTTTCTTGTCTCACTGCGGTTTAGTTAATTTTGGTTATTTTCCTTTAGTAAGCTTTGTCTATGTGAATTTTTCATTTAAATCCATATATATATTTAGGACAAGAAGTATGTTAGTTAGGTAAATGACACATGTTGAATAAAATTAAAATATGTGTATGTATAAAAAAAAATGCCCTTGAAAGATATTTGATAGTTTTCATTATATGGTAATGATTGTTTTATTGTTGAAGTTCAGTGTTTCTGTTGTTCCATTGTTTTCCTCTTATAGTTGGTGTGTTTCCCTCGGTTTTAGTTTGTTACCCAGATTTGTTTTTGCTTAATCGAATTATGAATATTGAACAGCGGTATACTACTGTTGCCTTTATTTATTGGCTGCTTGATATCCAGTTGGAACTATTTATGCATATTTAGGATCAAAATAATGAATGAGGTGAATATTTCTTGCTTTGTACTAAAACACCATCCTTAGTAAGATAGTTATATTGCTATCCATGTAGATCCAAAAGTATTAAAATATTCCCTTAAAATACCTGTCACCCTATTCACATTCATTTTTCTTACTGAGCAAAATACTCTTTCCCTTTGCTCCTAAAAGCTTTTGTGCATTTAAAATCTTAAGCTTTACTAGAAGTGGTTGAACCAATTACACACCCCTAATTATTACAAGCATGCCAATCACAATACGGCATCGCCTTGGTCTTGTTGGAACTCATATTCCCTTAAAATACCTGACACCCCATTCACATTCATTTTTCTTACTGAGCAAAATACTCTTTCCTTTTGCTTCTAAAAGCTGTTATGCATTTAAAATCTTTAGCTTGACTAGAAGTGGTTGAACCAATTACACGCCCCTAATTATTACGAGCATGCCAATCACAATACGGCATCACCTTGGTCTCTTTGGAACTCTCTAAATTCCCCCCAACGAAAGAAGAGTTCTGCTTGCATGCCAAAAGACTAACAAGGGGATATGGGGTTTCATCAACATCAAATACTTCTGTGCTTTTTTTTTAAAAGTTCATGGGAATTTACAATTCATTTCATCAAAATATTGATAGGTCTATGCCTGTTGAAACAAGAAATCGGGGGGTGACGATGGTTCTAACAAATATTGATGTGTCTGATGTCATCTAACGAAAGATTTTTTATTTTTGCATCCTCGAACAGGTCTTTAAAAGTAAAACGAGAAGCATTTCGGATAACTGTGTGTTTAATAACTACTTGTCCACGACAATGAGCTGACACAACTGCATGTTGGCATCCAGATTTTTTACCTTTTATTTACAAATCGATTTATCACACGTGCATTTAAAACGATAGGAGCATAATATGCAACAGAAAAGCATCTATGTGAGAAAAAAAATTTCAAGGAGAAACTAATTTGGAGCGACATGCTGACCTAAAATTTGCAGGAGCGGTAATTTTTTTTTTATTGAAAAGTCAATTTCTCCAAAACAGGAGCGGGAAAATCCAAAGAAGTTTTAATCAAATTGGTGTGGCCTTATTAGGGCCCCGCCACTGGTGGGTCACCCTATAGTGATCAGTCTGTCCATCTGTCCGTCCATCCGTAACAAATTGTGTCTGCTCTATATCTAGAGAACCGTTATAATTTCATACTTTATACTTGACATGTATATTAAACAACACCAGAGGGTGTGTCATAATGTTTTTACAAATTCCTAGGTCAAAGGTCAAGGTCAAAAGCTTCATATCAGCTCATCCATACAAATTTTTTACCACGTTATTTACAGCGGGGCCCACAGAGATGGCTCCCATCTTAATGATGTCTAGTTATTATTGTGACTAATTGATCTATAAAGTTTATTGTATTGAAAACAAACTATTTTAACAGAATATTGCTACATGTGATAATTGTGAATTGTAGGTGATATATTAAAGATGAATCATTATGTGACAGGGGTAGATAGGAATGGCGTTTTACAGTTTGACATAATAGTCAGTGGATCTGTGCCTGAACTGCCTGTGGATAGTGATGTTTATCTGTACCCATATACAGAAGATTATATCCAGACAGGACCAAGTGAGTTATCTCCCTGTAAAATAAATATATTCATCTTCATGTAAACATAAGTGCTGAAGATTTTGTTAATCTTTTAGTAGAACATATGTACCTTTTTAGCTCATCTGTTCTTAAAGACCATGTGAGATATTGACATCACTTGGCTTTTCTTGAAAACTTTGAAAAAAATTCTTTTCTTCTGAAACTTATTGTCCAAATGTTACTAAACTTTACCTGAATGTTACTTATGACATTTAGATTAAAAATTACATCCAGGGATTTGATCAATCGACAAGCATGGCTAAAAATATAACATAAGGGTAAAATGCCGCTTTGGATTGTATCTCAAAAACTAAAGCAGTTAGAGCAAAACAGGGTAAAAACTATCAGGTTGACCAGGTCTATCATCTTAGGCATTTTCAGAAAAATTGGACAACTTGTTTTCGAGTTATTGTCCATGATATTTCAATTTAAAGCAAATTTTACAGTTTAAGGCTGTTATCGCAAAAAGTAAATTTCAAAGTTCTTTGTTATCTTGAAAACTATAGAAGATGGAGAGAAATTTGAAACATTGAAAATGACCAAAACAATAAGATCCAAAAATAAATATATATGGCAGAAATTGTCAATTCACTCTTGAACTTAGTTTTTATAAATTTCTGATATGACATTGAAGAGTTATGGAACTTGATTCTTTGAAAAAGTGACGGGTGTATCATGCGCTCATGGTGCAGCTCTTTATTTGCTGATACAATAGTAAATAGAGAGAATCTTTTCTAAAGTAAAAATGTTAAATAAAATAAGATCTACAAATAAGTAATCATGGACAAAAGTGTTATTTGACCCATTATATGAGTTATTGCCCTTGAAAGACAATGTTTACCCATTTCTGGCTTTTTTGCAGAAACTTTAATAGATAGAGAAACAGCATATAGCAAAATTGTTCAGCACAATAAGATTTACAAATAAGTCATCATGGCCGAAATTGTCAACCAATACCTTATAGGAGTTATTTTCCCTGAATGATGATTGTTTTTAAAACATCTTTTTGCATTTTAGTAAAAAAAAAATTGTGGTAGATCGAGAGAAACTTCGAGGCAATATCAGCGATATAAGACTCCTAAACAGGATATATTGCTCCTAAATTACAATTTTTTTACTAATTTTTAAAATTTGGCAAATTATCTCAAAACTTAAATAGATAGGTATAAACTGAAACCAGTAAAAATATTCATCAACACAAGATGAACATACAGATCACAAAAAAGATTTATATATAAGCAAACATAACTGTTTGTAAAAGTAAAAATATTGAATTGAAATGGAGGTGTGCATGGCCACAGGATTTTGATTTCTTTTAAATATCCTGAAAATGACAGGTAGTTGGACGTAATCATTTTTTTGGTACTAGCTGCATAAAGAGATCATGGTTTGTCTGGCTATCTCCTCCTACAGTTTTGGACATACAGCTTAAATATTTTGTAGGATGTTCAAACACATAATGGAGGTGTGCATGGCTACAGGATTTTGATTTTTTTTTTCAAATATTCTGAAAATGACAGTTAGTTGGACTTAGTCATTTTTTTGGTACTAGCTGCATAAAGAGATCATGGTTTGTCCGGCTATCTCCTCCTACAGTTTTGGAGCTACAGCTTTAATGTAGGATGTTCATACACATAATGGAGGTGTGCATGGCCACAGAATTTTTATTACTTGTAGCCGACAGTTTTCTTGAAAGTTGAAACCTTTTGGCTAGACATTCAGTCCTGCAAGTGTAGCCTTTAGCATAAAAATTAAACATAGATCATCATACATAGTGTTATAATTTCCTATGGTCAGGCAGGGGCATCATTTGTGTCTTACAGACAGCGTAACAATTTGAAGTTGTATGCCAACATCACTGTTTGTCAAATCTAAAATATGTGGAACTATACTCGTGCATATGGCAGAGCAGAAAAGGGAGGGGGGCATTGTCCATATCTAGTGTTTTCTAAAGTAATAAGATGAAATTTTTTTAAAAGGAAAGGGACAGAGTAAAAAGATGTTAAAAGAATGCCTAAACTTGTGTTGTATCATTTTTATACAGTGTATATAGATACCAGCTTTGTAATGTAAAATGTAGGATTATGTGAACTTGCATCAGCATGTGCTTTAGTGACTTCTTTGTGTTTTTTTTCTCATTCAGGTGCCTTATCATACCCTCTTTCTTTAAAAGCAAATAAATATAATAATTTTTATTATATTTTTCAGCCAGCCTGTATTCCCATTCATCAAGGCTGATGAGAGTAAATGGTCACATGCTACCTTATGCGTGGAATCATACCATATCATATGACCAGTCACATGGTGTCATGCCATATTTAGTAGAGAAACTAACTACCAAAGATATCAATATCAAAATGGACCCAGATAGACAACAGCTTATGTTTACATTTACTTCACAGATATCACCAGGTATCACATGTAACATTACTTTGGACAAAATATATTTTAAAGTTAATGTGTGATTAAGATTAATTTATTATTCCATGCCACACCACATGGGGCAGGGGATAATAGACTGATTGACCTTGTCTGTCCATCTGTTAGGCTTTACATAATTTTTGATACTTTTTTCCTAGTCTCTGTATTAAAGTGTTATTAACTGACTGTTTCTGTATTTAATAGCCCTGATCTAAATTCAAGGTAAGCTGTATTGCCCTGGAGACTAGAATTTATTGGACCGTGCCGAAAGCAATATTAACTGATGATTTATATCAACGGGTGATGTCATCAGTATTGCATTTGCTGATTTATATGTATGAGGGCTGATTTGCTCATATCATTTAATTATAAGGAAGATTTGATATTTGATCTTCAACTTTGTTATGATGAGTTGTATCGTGTAAAGAGGTTTCTGATCTGCAAGGCAGTCACTTCTGGTGAGACGTTTCTTTGAATTTTTATAATATCTACTGAGCATGTAAATTTTAGTTTCATATTTCTCAGCTTCTGTATTAAGAGATGATTTCAAGTTTGGTCTAATGCTTTTCTTATGACGAGCTGTATTGCTTTAGGGATTTTCAGCTCTGACAGGCAGTCAATTCCTGTTTGACGATATTTTTAATTTTATTATACCTACTGAGCATGTAATTTTTTCATCATTAACTTCTCAGCTTATATATAAAGGAATGATTTGGTATTTGATCAGGGACTTAAGGTGTTAAAGTGTACCTAGTAAGCTAGTTTCAAATCTGTTGAATACTCACTTCCTGTTTGATAATACTTTTATTTTTAATTGCCACTAAGCATGGAATATTTTTGCCATTCCCAAATGACTATATATATATCGCTAGTGTATGAAACTTTGTACAACATCTTTTGCAACTCTATTGTGACTGTTTCTTTTATACCTATTCAGGACTGTAGTCTGGAAATAAGTTTCTTTGAGAACATGTTCTTAATTCTGTCGAACTCCTGAAATTATATAGGGGAGAATACTAGTAACTTTATGGACAAATTGATCAGTGTCATTACATTATAAAATGAAATTTCATTCAATATTTCATTTTCAATTTCATATTGTGCAAAGAGCATTTCAGGGGTCTAATTTCCCAGTTTATATAATTGATGTCACTACGACAATATAGACTAGAAATAAATTCAAGTTTACAATAATGACTTTGATATAAACATTAATAATGTCCGATGCTTAGGCGATGACATTATAAACAGTTGTGACAAAATTTTAGGATATATTATAATTTAATTGTTGATTCTTACCTCACTTTGTCTCACTTTTGCAGAATATTTTTAATAGAAAAGAAAGGATATGGGGTATCCATCCAGGACACAAAATCAGTATGTGCACAGCAAAAAACACAAAAAGAAAGGAATAGCGCTTTTTTGCCTTTCTTCATCTTTTAGAGCTTGTGTGGACATATCAGTTTCTTTTAGACCTAGTGTGGACATATCAGTTTCTTTTAAAGCTAGTGTGGACATATCAGTTTCTTTTAAAGCTAGTGTGGACATATCAGTTTCTTTTAAAGCTAGTTTGGACATATCAGTTTCTTTTAAAGCTAGTGTGGACATATCAGTTTCTCTTGGAACCTAGTGTGGACATATTAGTTTCTTTTAAAGCTAGTGGGACATACCAGTTTCTTTTAAAGCTAGTGGGACATATCAGTTTCTTTTAAAGCTAGTGTGGACATATCAGTTTCTCTTAGACCTAGTGTGGACATATCAGTTTCTCTTAGACCTAGTGTGGACATATCAGTTTCTTCTAAAGCTAGTGGGACATATCAGTTTTTTTAAAGCTAGTGGGACATATCAGTTTCTCTTAGACCTAGTGTGGACATATCAGTTTCTTTTAAAGCTAGTTGGACATACCAGTTTCTTCTAAAGCTAGTGAGACATATCAGTTTCTTTTAAAGCTAGTGGGACATACCAGTTTCTTCTAAAGCTAGTGGGACATATCAGTTTCTTTTAAAGCTAGTGTGGACATATCAGTTTCTTCTAAAGCTAGTGAGACATATCAGTTTCTTTTAAAGCTAGTGGGACATAAAAGTTTCTTCTAAAGCTAGTGTGACATATCAGTTTCTTTTAAAGCTAGTGTGGACATATCAGTTTCTTTTAAAGCTAGTGAGACATATCAGTTTCTTCTAAAGTTAGTGGGACATATCAGTTTCTTCTAAAGCTAGTGGGGCATATCAGTTTTTTTAAAGCTAGTGGGACATATCAGTTTCTTTTAAACCTAGTGTGACATATCTGTTTCTCTTAGTCCTAGTGTGGACATATCAGTTTCTTTTAAAGCTAGTGGGGCATATCAGTTTCTTTTAAAGCTAGTGGGACATATCAGTTAACTAAGTATTAAAAAAGTAGCAAGTATAACATGTTTTTTTTCTCTCTCATGTATAATCATCATATATCCACTTTTTGTCACAGTAAATGGTGATAAGGGTTTCTTCGAGCATTTGATAGAATATGGAATGTTTATATTAATATTTTTGAAAGTACTGCTTTTCTTACAGGTACACAAAGTAACCAGTGTCCTAAAGGTTTCCTATTGAACAATGGAGGATCATTCTGCACAGGTTTGTCATTTACAAATGTTTATTGTTAAAAAGTTTATGGTATCTAAGATCCTATACCTTTATAAGAGGGGGGAAGGACCTTTTTCTGGAGGTCGGGATTGGGCCTTTATTTTTGAGGGATTTTTGGTTTAACATCTATGGGGACTAGGGAATCAATAATTAATTTTTCTGGATCCGAGAAAGAATACTTTAATTTTTCAGGAATTCAGGGTGACACCCCCTCCTACTACCCCTCATATAATCATGCTATTAGGGGGTTAACAATTACTGGAAACCAAGAATTTTGAAGTGAATATTTTAGAAACATGCCAAAATCCTCACAACAGTCAGATGACCACCTTTCCATGGTCAATTTCATTTTATTTTGTTCAATCAAGTGCTAAATTTTGAAAATAAATACTACTTGAATTACATTGCTGTTTACAATTTTGGTACAAAATCGAAATATTATAAATGCTTACTCGTTTTTATGCCCCTGCAACTAAAAGTTGGGGGGCATATTGTTTTACCCCTGTACGTCCGTCTGTCCATCCTTCCTTCCATCCGTCCCATTATGGGTAAATAGTTATTCCGCATAACTCCTCCTACAGTTTGAATCCTAGGAAGTTTTCACTTTGCTGTCTGTTTGTACATATATTGAAGGAGTGCATGTGGTCAGGGGTTTGATTTTTATTAATATTTGCTCTTTTGTGAGATAGTTGAAATTTGTCATTTTTTGGAGTATTTACTTGCATAAGAGGAGCGTTTCCAGATAACTCCTCCTACAGTTTGAATGCTAGGAAGTTTTCACTTTGCTGGCTGTTTGTACATGTATTGAAGGTGTGCATGTGGTGAGGGTTTTGATTTTTGTTAATATTTGCTGTTTTGGGAGATAGTTTAACTTTGTCATTTTTGGAGTACAAGTGGTTAAATGTTATAGTTATTTTAAAATAACACTTTGCATATGCGGGGGCATCAATTGCAGACATGTGACAGAGTTGTCAAGCCACAACTGGAGATTTGGAAATTTTCAGCTGGAGTTTGGGCTTCATAACTGGAGATTTTTTATCGACCTATTTATCGACGTACGCAATGGTTTTTTGTGTTTAAACTGCATATCTTCTTTTTTGTTTGTTAAAAGAACAATAATTCCATACCTTTCAACAACTCCATATCTATTTTTACTTGATAAAAATAGAAGATAAGGGGTTTCAAATATTTATTCATTATATATAATTCAAGATAAAGCGATCAGCCATCATACAGAGTTGGCAAAAAGTACCCCTGATTCAGCTACATTGTCAACTTTGGTACTACTACTGAACATGCTTGTAACAGAAGGTGTTAATTGATAGAGTTGTAGGCTTGCTGGTGGGTAGCTGTCCCCATAAGTTTGGTCAAATCATAAGGGCCACCACAGTCAGCTTTGCATGAAGTGTAGTAAGCATGGTCTTGACCCTTGGTACTGGATCTGCATCATTTGAAATCAGATCTCCAGGCAGAGTTGAATTTGGCTAGATACTTGGTCTTCTTTTATTTGCTGCTGGGGTATTTGGTGATATAAAAATACGGTTTGCATTTTGACATTTTTGTCAAATTCTAAAATTTTAGAATAATCCAAGACAACTGTACTTATATAGGTATTCCATTGGCTTGGATAGAAAACAAGCCATAAATATCATATTTGAGTTGATTTCATTTGTCTTTGAGGTTCAGTAAACGTTCCATGTTTTCAACAGCATCAAATTAAATTGTTGTTTATACAACTTGTACAATTTAATCCTTTGTCAGTATTTCACTTTTAATCAACCTTGCTTGTGTCTTAAACTAGCTAGTTGATCACTAGGTAATTGCCTATTATCTTTTATTTATTGTTGTATATACAGTTTAATCCTAAACACCTCAGGCTAATTTTACCTATTTTAACTTTTGACACAAAATCCATTACAGGAAACTTCCGTTTTTCTCGGACTTTTCCCATATCAATTTCGAGTTTCTCGGCCTTTTTCTCTGTCCGTATCGATTTTGTAAACAAAAATGTCTAATGAAAATTTTACGAGGTTGACATTTTCAAAAAGCGGAAGATTTCAAATTTTAACGGGAGGGACGGAAGAGGGTCTGAAATGCGGGAGATTTTGACTCCCGCCGGAAGAATCACATGTATGCAATTGTGTCTCCCAGACACAATAATATCTCAAAAAAAGTCCTACAATGACTTTGTTATAATACAGTTACTTAATAGTGGAGTGCGGGGGCATCACTTTGTCTAGTTTAATATTTTAAATGAAGGACATCCTTAACCTTGTATCTTAAAAACAAATTATAAATGATGCATTATCAAACATATTCCAAATGAAGGGGATTTAAACTCTGAAAATACTAGGTTCTTTTTAATTAACATGTTTAAATCAGTAGAAAAAGTAGTAATTGATGTTCATACAATGTTGGTATCATATTTTTCAAATCTGAAATGTTTTTTTTAAGTTTATATAATAACAGAACAAGTCTTTTTCCCTTGCTAGTTAATTCCAGGCAACTTGCAGCCAACTTCGTTAGATGGCAATTTGATAATTAATCATTATCAACCACAACACATTTACTTAGTTTAAAAATGAAACTCTGAAGTTAACATTGACTAAACTTTTGTTTATGTGACTTTGATAAACAGCTAGTGTTGTTCATTTACTATGCAAAAAATTCATTTGTAAATGACTATACATGTATGACGCATTTATTGCTATATGGTATTATAGATAGCTGTTTAATAAATGTTTTAAGTTTTGATTTTATCTATTGTCTCAAAACTATTATTTGTCATATTATTATTATATCTCATTTAAATTCTTGATGATCTTTCTGTGTGTGTTTCAGATGAAGATGAATGTTTGAACATACAACCATGTTCCCATTATTGCCACAATTCTCCTGCAAGTTTTTCTTGTTCATGTAATCCTGGTTATTCATTGGAGAGAGATGGTCATACTTGTACAGGTAGGTGATGTTATTGTTAAAGTAAGTTTCACAGATGGTTGGTCAGGGGTGGTGTAATTGTACAAGTAAATTTAACAGATGGTTGGTCAGGGGTGGTGTTATTGTAATAGTTAAAGTTCCACAGATAGTTGGTCAGGAATGTCGTAAGTGTAAAGGTAAGTTCAAAGGTGGTTGGTCAAAGATGGTGCTATTGAATTTTGGAATTTCACAGATTGTTGGTAAGGGATGTTCATACCTGAAAAGGTAAGTTTCTTAGATGGTTGGTTAGGGATTTTCTTATCTGAAAAGGTAAGCTTCAAAGGTTAAGAAAGTTATTTTATAAGTTTATTTATCAGATGGTTTGGCAGGGATGTTCATTAATGTAAAGGTAAGTTCAAAAGAGGTTTGAAAAAAATGAATATGAAAACTCATCAAAGATAACAGGCTTATTATTTGTAATGCCAGATGCACGTTTCTTCTACATAAGTTTGTTAACTATCCAATTGAAAATATGAGCTAATAATTAATAGATCAGCATTTGTTGTATACCTGACGCAAAGGACAAACTCTATGATAAAAACATACAATACTTACCTGATGTACACTGAAGAAAGATTCACAGATTGTGTGCATTCAGTGCTGTGTAAAATCATTGAAGATCTTAAATCAACCAGTAAAACATTGGTAAAATCTGTTCTTTTAATTTTCCAGTCAAATAAATATGAAAATAAACTCAAATCATCACTTTGTGGACCACTAAGATCTAATATTTATGCTTAAGTCAACCAATAGATGAGTTAATTGGCCAGCAATAGGCTATAGACAATGGTTTATTTGGTGAACTAAGATTAGGTTATCAATTAAGGTTCTATAAGTATGTCAGGGTTCCCGTCATAGAAATGTGGTAGACTTGATTATAATATATACAAAACTGATGAAATATTTTCTGTACTTTTTATTACAGATATAGATGAATGTGATAATAACAATGGAGGCTGTGACCTTGACAATGAATGTATCAATATTGCCGGATCATTTATTTGTGCGGTCATGTGTAAAGATGGTTACAGACGATCTGGTGATGGACAAAAATGTATTGGTAAGTCTGTTTATCACGAGCAGAAAACAAAATAAAGTTTACCATTTGTAAAATCATATAGAAACTTTGATGGTTATTTCCATTAAAAGATATATATTTAGAATCACATCCTAATTGGATTCTCCTTAAAATACTGTAGATTATTTTTTTTCGTGGGTGTGAATATTTGTAATTTGAGGAATACTTGCATTTTCGTTGATATTTGATTTCATGGTTTTGCCAGTGTCGGCATACAAGCATATGGAAAATGAATCAGGAGAAACTCAATTGTCAATATAGATAACTGTAGCAGATGGACATTTGGAACTGAATTTGTTAATATCAACTTGTTGTTGTCAATATTGTCGATATTAACAACTGTATCAGATGAACTTAGTGTTAACTCTTTGGAAGAACAAATCAGAAATTTTTAAACCCCTATTTGGAAATCATGCATCATGTCCTTATTTTTACATTGCAAAATTTCACAATTTAATTAAGGACATAAACTAAAGAAGATGAAATGAATAGAGAAACAAAACATGAAGAACGTTTTAAAATGATGACATCAACAACTTAAACAGATAAACAAGGAGAAACTAAATTGTCTTTATGGACAACTTGATCCGTTTTACATTTGTAACATAACTTGTCTATATTGAAATCAATGTCATTTTGAAACTTCTGTGGATGAGGTGTAAAACTTATTAAAAGTAGACCCCAAGGTTGACTGGGAAATAGAAATACAGTCACTCTTGGTCTTCCTCTGACCGGTAGTAAAACCCTTGCTAAAGTGAAGCATTCATTTGGCTGTGTGGAATGTCCAAGTATGCAGCCACATCCGGTTAGAATGGGGATGTTAAATCTGATGTCTCGTGTAGAGATAGTGCCATGCTCTCTGCACATTAACAACCCTTACAACAACTCTTTGATGGGTCGGTAGGTGGCCTGTCGCAAGACTAAATTTCTGTCCCTATCCAATCTACCCTTATTTTCCATTGGCAGTCCTAATTTCCCCAATCTTTATCCCAGACAGCCTGTATTACCTGACCTACTTATTGTATTTATTGTTAATTTGTTCTAGTCCTGAACATGCATGAAATATTTGCCACTGGACTTAAATCAACCAACAATCAATCAATGATTAAAAGTGAAAATCAGATGACGAAAATTTTAAATTTCAAGGTCGAATCCATATTGTTGATGTCAACATTTGAAGAAGATGAAAACAGATTGACTAATTTAGAAAACCAGATCTTTATCTAAACACTATATCTATCATGTCTCTACAAAAGGCTGAGATATTGATAAAGGGACTACTGAAATCAGTACTATGTTGTCCATATCTTACAATGTCGTGTCTGGGACATACCTCAAGTTTTATTTATTTGGTCGGGTTCTCAATTTTTATGAATAAAATTCAATTATATGTGATCTTTACAATTTTATGATGTATATGTCCATAGTGGTTGAAAGCAATTATAGGCAACTGTACAGCCTTTAACAATGAGAAAAATCCATACCGTATAGTCGGCTATAAAAGGCCCGACATGAAAAATATGAAACAATTCAGTTGAGAAAACTAACAGCCTAATTTATAACAAAACAATTAACGAATAACAAATATCACACACATGAACCAACAACAACCACTGAACTACAGGCTCCTGACTAGGGACAGGCACATAAAGAATTTTGCCGGGTTAAACATGTTTGTGAGCGCTCAACCTTCCCCCTAACCTGGGACAGTGGTGTAACAGCACAACATAAGAACAAACTATAAACTACAGTTGAAACTGATCAGATCGTTACAAAGCTTAAAAACATCAAACATAAACACAGACCGGACGTGGCAGGGTATTTATCCATCCCTCATCCCTAACAACAAAAATGGACACTAAGTACAGATCTGAGAGTATTCGCAATTACTGACAGCTAGTTCAAAGCCAATAACAACTAATAAAAAAAATCATGTATCTATTAAAGACTAAAATATCAATCAGTCCACATCCAACATCCAATGGATTTAGTGTAAAGATGTCATTAACATTCGGAGAAAAACATGACCTAGGTCAGTTTCTCAAGGATTTCGAAAAACTGGACAACTACTTTTGGTCTATATATAGAATTATAAGGTGTACATATTTATCTGACAGATCACCTGATTGATATTTTTTTTCATTAATCCTTTAAAAGTTATCTTGTTACATATGTAGTAAGACCTTTATTTCAGAGAGTGTCAGTATATTCATTAGCATCTGTTAATGAATTTTATCTGTAAAATAATTGTCTTCATAAAAAAAAATTAAGAATCATTCTAATATGACATGCTTCTTTCGCTTTGTAAACAACACCGTGATAAAATTCTCAATATATCTATACTTAGCGCAGACTCAGAGATATACATAATAATGGATGTTACAATATACCTCCCACGTAAATCCACATGTATTGGAACCATTTTGCAAACCCTTTGCCGATTTTATTGTTTTAAAAATTGCATTTAAAAAAAGACAAAAGAATTTTTATTCTTATTCGGATACATAATAAAAAGAATTAATGCACAAGAGCTTGGAGAAATCAACAAAATCAAAATAAAATAAAATTCCGCGAAAGTCTATTAATGTTTTCGGCGCATTTAAGTCATTTCAAAACATGACGTCATACAAATTAAAACGCTAGAGTTGAAGGTTTTCCGTTAGGTGAACCATCGAAATTCGTATAATATTGTATTAAAATTGATTTTTTTAGGTAGGTTTTGTTTTGTTTTATTTTCTATTCTATTCTATTGCATTATTCGCATATTTACTGATTTCAGCAAGTCAACATGGCGGCTCCTTAGTTACGAAATGTCAACTTTTGATTTGACGGTAGCTTACGAGAAAAACATGTAAATTAAAAATGGCAAATGTTGGGTTTTAGAATTAAAAGAATTAAACAGATTTTTTTCTAGCAGTTATTCACGAAATAATCCATGCAAGCTACATATTTATTAGAATGTTTGAGCTTTATCTAACAGGGAGTAAAAAAGAACAGCCACACACACAGCTGATATCCACCCTCGCCTCAGTTTTTTAATGACCGTATTTGTCCTATTAGAATCGAAATAATTCATGGAAGCCATAGATTTGTTGGAAATTTACACATGGCCTGGGCCATGTGTAAATTTCCAACAAATCTATGGCTTCCATGAGTTATTTCTTAATTTTGAAAAATGAATTATAATTATAAGCTTGATCATTTGATATAATCCAATACCACTGAATTTTAATTGAACATAGCAATCACTAAACAGTACAAAGTTTATGAAATTATTATGTAATAATTTTTTTCAGACAAAGATGAATGTAGAGAGACACCAGAAGTATGTGGACATAACTGTCAGAATATACCTGGGGGTTATACCTGTTCATGTAGTGATGGATTTCAACTTAAAAGTGATCAGAGTGGTAGATGCACAGGTACACTCAATGAAAATACAGGAATACATTTGTACTAATGAGTATTCTTTAAAAGGTTTTCAGATTCTGATTTTTTTCTCCAGAATAAATGTCCCATGCTTTTTTGTTATATTGTTTTAGGTTGATCATTCTATTTATAGTACATGACTTTCTCAGCAGAGATATAAGAGAAGAAGCAAGCACCCACAGCATGGTGTTTATTATTATTGATTAAAAAAATCACTATAGAAACATACCTGTCAACTGACTCGTATCCTGCTGGTCACATCCGAGAATTTCACCCCATACCCCGGATTTTTTAAATGTTTTTCGGTCTGTGCGTCTGTTCGTTCGTCCGTTCGTCCATCTCATGTTAAAGTTTTTCGGTCAAGGTAGTTTTTGATGAAGTTGAAGTCCAATCAACTTGAAACTTAGTACACATGTTCCCTATGATATGATCTTTCTAATTTTCATGCCAAATTAGAGTTTTGACCCCAATTTCACGGTCCATTGAACATAGAAAATGATAGTGTGAGTGGGGCATCCATGTACTATGGACACATTCTTGTTTATCTTTACTTTCTTTAAAGGCTTAATTATTTTGTTACATCCCAATACCAACAATATTTGAGGAGATGATACATACTGGGAAATAAAAATTTAAAAATTTAAAAAAACGATAACGTGAGAATTGTTACTAAGAATGAATCAAGGAGAGGGGGGTATGGTTTGGCTTGAAATGATAAAGTATAACATATAATATATCAATGGCTTATTATGCAATGAAAAAATAAAATTAAAGGCTTAAATTATTTTCAGTTAGTCATTTACCATGTGAACATATTTTGGAAACGGTTTAATTTAAAATATTAAGTATTGTCCCCTAAACACTTAAATTCAGCTGAAAAAAAATTTGTATGCATTATGACCTGAGATTTTCCTCTTCAATGCAGGTCATGACCTGCATTTTCATTTTCATAGGTTGACAGGTATGTAGAAATATAAATTATTATATCACCTACTCATTAGATCCCAATATAGTGTTTTTGCTGTGATGGGGAACTTAGAAGGGACATAGTGATCAAAAGATAATTATTCTCTGAATTAATTAATTTCCTTGTTTCATATACCTAACATTAGGTAACAATAATCTGATTTCTTTCCATTACAGATGTAAATGAGTGTAGGACAGGCCAGTCATCATGTTCCCATATCTGTAGAAACACCATAGGATCCTACACATGTGCTTGTCCAGCAGGGTTCAGACTGTATAGGAAGTACTTGTGTGAAGGTATGTAATCATCTGCCCAGCAGGATTTAGGAGGAGCCCAACTAATTCATTGCTTTCTATGTTAAATTCTTCAATGTCAAGCATTCATAGCTAATTTGTCTTTAAATTAAGTTCTAATACAGTGACAGTCATTCCATATGAAAGTAATACATTAATATGTCTTGCACTGAAAAAATCAACATACCTTTAACTGCATATAAAATTATACTGGTTCCCAGACATTAGCTTCTACAATGATCACAAATTCTTCAGCTTTAATTTGATACCAGAATTACCAAAATATTCTACATAATTTAAAATTTACAAATTGTTACAAAGTTTTAGATATGTATTACTTTCTTGTATGTTCCTTCTGAACAGGCCAGTATTAGTGTGCTACATCTTCAGACTACAGGAATTTCATGTTTGCAGATAGATATTAATCTGTACAGCAGGACTCAGTTTGTGATGATAAACAAAAAATTAAAGACAGACCTGGAGTTTTAATTTGAAACTCATCCTCATTCATGTCAATCTTAATTGACCAAATTACCAATCTTTTGATTGGATAATTTACTGTTGCATCTCTGATCTATTTATTCAGCAAACCATCATGAGATTACCTCTTGCCTATGTTACATATTACAATTTAAATAAACTATTTATTTGTAATATACACTTTTTACACAACTCAAAACACAAATCTAAACATGAATTGATATTGATAATTGATATAGATATGATGACTTCTGGCTGATTCACCATTTGGAAATAACTATTGTGTTCATTCTGATATATTATTTGACATTTCACATACAATGTTTTATACAGGAACTGAATGGATTCTCAAGAATGGCATTAATGCAACAACTATATACAATAGTATGATATCATGATAATGTTGTTTGGTTCATAACCATACCTTTAGATGAAGACTTAAATATGGTTTGAAATATTCCCACAACTCTTCCAATTTCTCCATCTTTTTGATTATTTATGTTATTCATGATCTTCTCAGTGGATATGAACCCATATTCACTGTAAAAGTGTCCTGATTTCAGCATTAATTATCATTCTGATCTTTGTCAGGTTTTTTTCCACTGTGTATATATGCCCTGTCGAGGTAACCAGTCAAATTATGATTAGCTGGGTTTTATAACTCCAGTATATAATAATAAGTTATTTTAAAACATCTATAAATAACAAAATACATATCATATAACAGATATAGATGAATGCAGAGAGAGAGCAGATGAATGTGGAATAGATCAGGATTGTATCAACACCAGAGGGAGCTATCAATGTAAGACAAGGTGTTCACTCGGCCTTCAACAGCAGACAGATGGTTCTTGTATAGGTATGTTAGTCAAATGTCATAAATGACCCCAGTTATAGCAGTAATAACTTCTTTTTAGTATACATGTTATCTGTATGTTCCTGAATTGTTGCCTTTACGTGTCATGGACTGAAACTTTTAAGGCCTTCATTTTTAATTATCTGTTTTACAAAGCTGCTGACTATTTTCTTGAAAATTGAAAGAGGATGCTGTTAATTTAATTTTTTTTGTATTCATGCTTATCACTGAAATTTTGTGGTTCCAAAAAAATAAAATATCAACACTTTACCACGTTCTCATTGCTGGAAGTGTAGAAAATTATCCAGGTACCAAACAAATAGATGTAAGCATGGCTACTGCTAATGCTGAACTTAAGGAAGGCCCCAGCTGTTCTTTTAGATTAAAATGCGTGATAAATGGGAGGGAACTTCATAGATTAGAAACTGCTAACTTTATCGTAATGTGGAAATATAAAATGTATCCGCCAAGTTAGCAGAAGAATTGGAAACAACATTTTCCATAATAAAGTGTTATGCCAATAAATATGGGATGTGGGGAAAATCCCTTTGTCAATCATGTTGATTGCTTGTATATAAATCAGGTCGTTCGTTTTTAGTTTGAATTTTATTTAACACTGGTCAATTGGGTTCAATTTTTTTTAACAGAAAGCTCTCATGATTGGTAGAATTGTTAACCATATTTTAAAGTGACTCCTGTCAGGTTTAAAAGTTCCATTGGTATTTTCCACGTATAAGTGACTCCTGTCACATGGGCATTTCAACCTTGCAACATACTGTAAACAAAACATATTTGACCTTTTGCTCGAAAGAAATGAAAACAGCTTAATCCTAGTTATGTATAATTTTGTGTGACATATCAAGTGTATTTTTAGTTTCATCAGTGATCCTCTTCATTTAGTTGATTTGAATGTAATTTTTGTCCCCCGCGTAACGCGTTGCAGGGGACATGGAAATACTGGGCGTTCACCCTTCTGTCCGTTCAGTCTTGTTAGCGCTCTCAAGTGTACAATTCTTGCCAGATTTTAATGAAACTTATATCATTGGTTTATATCAGCAATGTCTTGGACGAGTTTGAAAATCAGTACCGATCAATTATTATTAAGAGAGTTATGCCTCTTGGAAACATAAAATTATATTGAAAATTGCGTCGTTTGTTGATGTGGTTCATAAGTGTTTCTCGTTTCTCGTTTTTTATATAGATTAGACCGTTGGTTTTCCCGTTTGAATGGTTTTACACTAGTAATTTTTGGGGCCGTTTATAGCTTGCTGTTAGGTGTGAGCCAAGGCTCCGTGTTGAAGACCATACTTTGACCTATAATGGTTTACTTTTATAAATTTTGACTTTGATGGAGAGTTGTCTCATTGGCACTCATACCACATCTTCCTATATCTATTTAGCGCTCTCATTTGTACAATTCTTGCCAGATTTTTATAAAAACTTGTATCATAGGTTTATATCAGCAATGTCTTGGATGAGTTTGGAAATCAATGCCGATCTATTATTTTTAAAAGAGTTATGCCCCTTGGAAATATTAATTTTTATGGAAAATTGCCTTATGAGCGCTCTTATGTGTACAATTCTTGCCAGATATTTATGAAATTTATATAATAGGATTATATCATCAATGTCTTTGACACTTTCAAAATAAGTTCTGATCAAATATTTATGCCCCTCGAAAATATTGATTTATACATGGAAAATTGCAATGTTATCGCTCTCATGTGTTCAATTCTTGCCAGAATTTTATGAAACTTACATCATAGGTTTATATCAGCAATGTCTTAATATTTGACACTTTGAAAAATAAGGTCTGATCAAATATTTTTAACGAGTTATGCCCCTTGGAAATATAAATCATAATGGAAATCACATTGCATTTGCTCTGAAGCCTTCATTTCTCTTGAGATATTAATAAAAAGTTTTAAAGAACAAAAAAAAGTGCTTCACCATGGATAGATAAAATATGTGCAATGCGGGGGACATTGGAACTCTGTTCTTTTATTCTGGTTTATTATATATGAACAGTTCAAAGTTGAAATAACAAATAAGTTTAGTACTCGTCCTGAATATGATTGAAATATTTGCCACTAGACTTTAAGCAAGCAATAATCAAAAAATCAATCTGTATCGTATTTTGGAAATATAAAATGTATCCGCCAAGTTAGCAGAAGAATTGGAAACAACATTTTCCATAATAAAGTGTTATGCCAATAAATAAGGGATGTGGGGAAAATCCCTTTGTCAATCATGTTGATTGCTTGTATATAAATCAGGTTGTTGGTTTTTAGTTTGAATTTTATTCAACACTGGACAATTGGGTCCATTTGTTGTAGGTTGCTATGCGGTGTGGCCTTTTGCTCTGTATTGAAGGATGTACAGTAACCTATAATTGCTTACATCAAGGACATTAGGTCTTAGAAGAACAGTTGTCTTATTGGCTATCATACCACATCTACATATATTTTAATGCTACAAGCTCTGTTTATAAAATGCCTTAAACAAAAAAAAAATTTCATACAAAACAGCTTTATTTTGAATTATAGTTTAATAAGGTATGATACTAGACACTTTATACATGTAAATCAAGGAGTAAAAACTCTTTTATTGTGAAGCAAGTTGCTCATAACCTATTACAACAAGAAGGAGATGAATGTAATTACAAAATAAAGAATGAAATGGTATAAACCACTTATTTTTTTGTTGTTGATTCAAACAATTCCATTCTTTTATTTCTATTTTCATTTGGACCCAGACCCTAAACTTTCTAACAAAATCTAATAAAACAGATAGAAAAAAAAAGATATTAGCCTAAATGATGTACTTTATCAATTTTTTGCATTTTTGGCTACTACCTTGAGAACTAATAGATGGATAGAAACATAAAAAAATGATCAGCAAGACCAGACCTGTAAGTAAGTCAACTTGGCCGAAATCGTCATACGATTATAAATTACTTGTTGGAGTTGTTGCCAATTTTTACCAATTTTTTTTATGTTTTTGCTGATTATCTTGAAAATTATAATAAATAGATAACAAATTTAATAAACAAAAATTATCAGCAAGACAAGATCTATAAGAAAGTCAACTTGGCCAAAATCGTCAGCCGACTACTTAGTGGAGTTATTGCCCTTAAATGACATTTTTTACCAATTTTTTTGTGTTTTTATACGCCCGTTTACGGGACGTATTATGGTATACCTCTGTCCGTCCGTCGTCAACATGTCGGACATTAACTCAAAAACACTTTAACCAATTTGCACAAAACTTTGGTGAATTGTTTATATCTGTTGACGTGAGCTCCCTTTTGATTTTTATAAATTTTAGATTTTACGTTTTTGAGTTATGGGGTTTTATTCATTAAAAAAAGGGGGATTTTCCAGTTTTCGGACAATAACTCAAGAATGCTTTCACCAACTTACAAGAAATTGTGGTGAATTGTTTATATCTATTGACATGAGCTCCCTTTTGATTTTTATATATTTTAGATTTTACGTTTCAGAGTTACAGGGTTTTCTTCATAAAAAAAGGGGGATTTTCCAGTTTTTCGGACAAAAAATCAAAAATGCTTTCAGCAGTTCTTATGAAACTTTGGCAAATTGTTTATGTCTATTGATGTAAGCTCCCGTTAGAATTTTATAAATTTTTCATTTATCATTTCTGAGTTATGGGGTTATATTCATTAAAAAAGAGGGAATTTTCCAGTTTTCGGACAATAACTTCAGCAATTCTTATGAAAATTTGTGGAATTATTTATATCTATTGATGTAAGCTCCGTTTAGAATTTTATAAATTTTTCATTTATCATTTCTGAGTCATGGGGTTTTATTCATTAAAAAAGGGGTGATTTTCCAGTTTTCGGGCAATAACTCAAAAATGCTGTCAGCAATTCTCATGAAACTTTGGTTAATTGGTTATATCTATTGATTTAAGCTCCCTTTACATTTTCATAAATTTCTAATATGACATTGAGAATTAATAGAACTTTATTTGTTTATAGTTTGACAACAGATTTACTAAGTATTGCGCAACAGCATAGTGTATTGCACAACAGCAAGAAATCTTTAATTGAATATAAATTCAATTCATATAACCAATTTCAAGTTCTTTGACTACATTTATTCAGAAACCTATAATATGTCAAATATTTAATTACAATCCAAATTCAGACCTGTATCAAGCTTGAATATTGTGTACATTTTTGCCCCAACTGTTCAGGGTTGGACCTCTGCGGGCGTATCCAGCTGCGCTCAGCGAAGCAGTTTATTGCTTATTTTATAGAAAATTTTAATAAACAGATAACAACTTTAACAAACAAAAATGATCCGCAAGACAAGATCTATATACCATAAATAAATATTGCTGAAATTGCCAGTTGACTCCTTATAGGAGTTATTGCCCTTAAATGATAATTTTTTTTTACTAATATTTTTCGTTTTTGCACATTACCTTAAAAACTTTATTAGATAGATAGAAACTTTAAAAAGCAAATATGATCAGAAAGAAAAGATCTGCAAATAGACCAGCATGGATGAAAGTGTTAGTTGCCTTCTAATAGGATTTAATGCCCTTAAATGACGATTATTTGCCCTTTTGCGGCTTTTGGGAAAAATTATAGAAGAAACAGAGAAACTGTGAACAGAAAATAATTATCAGCTAAACAAGATCAACAAAATTAGAGATTACAGTCAGGAATTATATTCTAGTCTACAATGTAGGAGAGTGTCCATTGTGTTCATTGCACATAAACCAAGGTTAGTGACACAGGCTCTTTAGAGCCTCTAGTTTTGTTGGCTTTAATTTTATTTGCAACATTTATGACTTATCTTTTTCATGTGCTCCATAATACATTGATATTGGGAATTTATTTTTAGATATTAATGAATGTTTGACAAACCAACACAGGTGTTACTCTAACCAAAGATGTATCAATACTGAAGGGAGCTACTACTGTCAGTGTCAGCATGGATATAGGTCTACGGGACCAGGTCAACCTTGTTTAGGTAAGGTCTTTATAGATCCAATGGAAAGTATTAAACATAGTAATTGTTTGCCATTACGTGTTGTTGACCATATGATATAGTCTTTTTAGCTCACTTGGCACAAAAGAGCCAAGTGAGCTTTTCTCATCACTTGGCATCCGTCGTCTTCGTCATCCGCATCCGTCGTCTTCGTCATCCAGTAACTTTTACAAAAATCTTCTCCTCTGAAACTACTGGGCCAAATAAAACCAAACTAGGCCTAAATCATCCTTAGGGTATCTAGTTTAAAAAATGTATCTGATGACCCCGCCCATCAACCAAGATGGCCACCATGGCTAAAAATAGAACATGGGGGTAAAATGCAGTTTTTGGCTTATATCTCTGAAACTAAAGCATTTAGAGCAAATCTGACATGGGGGTAAAATTGTTCTTCAGGTCAATTTCTGTCTGCCCTCAAATTTTCAGACGCATTAGACAACCCGTTGTTGGGTTGCTGCCCCTGAATTGGTAATTTGAAAGAAATTTTGCAGTATTTGGTTATTATCTTGAATATTATAATAGATAGAGATAAACTGTAAACAGCAAAATTGTTCAGCAAAGTTAGATCTACAAATAAATCAAACGTGACAAAAATTGTCATTTGACCCCATAAGGAGTTATTGCCCTTTAAAGTCAATTTTTCACAATTTTCTCCTCTGAAACTACTGGGCCAAATTAAACCAAATTTGGCCTAAATCATCCGTAAGGTATTTAGATTAAAAAATTGTATCAGATGACCCCGCCCATCAACCAAGATGGCCACCATGGCTAAAAATAGAACATGGGGGTAAAATGCAGTTTGGCTTATATCTCTGAAATTAAAGCATTTATAGCAAATCTGACGGTGGTAAAAATGTTCATCAGGTCAAGATCTATCTGTCCTGAAATTTTCACATGCATCAGACAACTGTTGTTGGGTTGCTGCCCCTGAATTTGTAATTTTAAGGAAATTTTGCAGTTTTTGGTTATTATCTTGAATATTATAATAGATAGAGATAAACTGTAAAAGCACATTGTTCAGCATAGTAAACTCTACAAATAAGTCAACATGATCAAAATTGTCAGTTGACCCCTTCAGGAGTTATTTCTTTTAAAGTTGATTTTTCACATTTTTTGGTAAATTTATGTAATCTTTTACAAAAATCTTCTCCTCTGAAACAACTGGGCCAAATTGAACCAAACTTGGCCTTAATCACCCTTAATGTATTTAATTAAAGAATTGTATCCGATGACCCCGCCCATCAACCAAGATGGCCACAATAGCTAAAAATAGGTCATGGGGGGTAGAAAGCAGTTTTTGGCTTATATCTCTGAAACTAAGGCATTTAGAGCAAATCTGACAGTGGTAAAAATGTTCACCAGGTCAAGATCTATCTGCCCTGAAATTTTCACACACATCAGACAACCCGTTGTTGGGTTGCTGCCCCTGAATTGGTAATTTTACGGAAATTTTGCAGTTTTTATATGACCGCAAAAATTTTTGGGATCGTATAATGGTATGATGTCGTCGTCGTCTGCGTTGTCGTCCAAAGACACATTTGTTTCCGGACAATAACTTTAGTTTAAGTGAATGGATCTCTATGAATTTTTTTTGAAGGTTCAATACCACAAAAGAAAGGTAGGGATTGATTTAAGGGATGATGGTCCCAACCGTTTAGGAATTAGGGACCCAAAAGGGGCACAAAACAAGCATTTATCTAGTTTCAGGACAATAGCTTGTGTATAAGTATTTTAATTGTTCTGAAATTGTACCACAATGTTTAATACCACAAGTAGAAGGTTTGGATTTATTTTAACGGTTATGGGGCAAACAGTTTAGGAATTAAGGGTCAAAAAGGGGCCAAAAACAAGCATTTTTCTAGTTTCCGGACAATAACTTGTGTGTAAGTGTATGGATCTCTCAGACATTGTACCACAAGGTTCCATATCACAAAGGGAAGGCTGGGATTGAGTTTGGGGTTAATTGCCCCAAACATGTAGGAATTAGAGGCCAAAAAGAAGCATTTTTCTAGTTTCGAGACAATAACTTGTGTTTAAGTGTATGGATCTCTCTGAAATTATACTACAAGATTCCATACTACAAAGGAAAGGCTGGGATTGAGTTTTGGTGTTATTGCTCCAAGGGGGATTTCATTAAGTTGGGTGGGGGGGGATTTTTTGTTTACAATTTTTTTAAAGGATTCATATTTTTTTTTTTCAAAATTTTTCAAATTTCGAATTTTTGAAAAGTTTCAAGAAAAAATCTTCAATTGCACAGTATTGCGCAATAGATTTGTAAGGTCTTTGACCACATTTATTTTGTGTCAGAAACCTATATTATGTCAAAAATTTGATCACAATCCAAATTCAGACAGTATCAAGCTTGAATATTGTGTCCAAATTTGCCCCAACTGTTTAGGGTTCGACCTCTGCGGTCGTATCAGGCTGTGCTCAGCGAAGCATTTTATTGATTATTATCTTGAATATTATAATAGATAGATAAACTGTAAACAGCAAAATTGTTCAGCAAAGTAAGATCTACAAATAAGTAAACATGACCAAAATTGTCAATTCAATTTTTCACAATTTTTCTTGAATTTTTGTTATCTTTTACAAAAATCTTCTCCTCTGAAACAACTGGGCTCAATTAAACCAAACTTGGCCTAAATCATCCTTAGGGTATTTAGTTTTAAAAATGTCTCCAATGACCCCGCCCACCAACCAAGATGGCCACCATGGCTAAAAATAGAACATAGGGGGTAAAATGCAGTTTGGCTTATATCTCTGAAACTAAAGCATTTAGGGCAAATCTAATATGTGGTAAAAATGTTCATCAGGTCAAGATCTATCTGCTCTGAAATTTTCAGATGCATCAGACAACCCGTTTTTGGGTTGCTGCCCCTGAATTGGTAATTTTAAAGAATTTTTGCAGTTTTTGGTTATTATCTTGAATATTATAATAGATAGAGATAAACTGTAAGCAGCAAAAATGTACAGCAAAGTAAGCTCTACAAATAAGTCAACAAGATAGAAATTGTCAATTGACCCCTTCAGGAGTTATTGCCCTTTAAAGTCAATTTTTCACAATTTTTATACGACCGCAAAAAATCGTATATTGGTATGACGTTGGTGTCGTCGTCATTGTTGTCCGAAGACACATTGGTTTTCGCACAATAACTTAAGTTTAAGTAAATGGATCTCTATGAAATTTTACCATAAGGTTCAATACCACAATAGGAAGGTTGGAATTGATTTTGGGGTTATGGTACCAACAGTTAAGGAATTAGAGGCCAAAAAGGGACCAAAAATAAGCATTTTTGTAACTTCCGGACAATAACTTGTGTGTTAGTCTATGGATCTCTCTGACATTATACCACAAGGTTCCATATCACAAAGGGAATGCTGGGATTGATTTTGGGGGTAATTGCCTCAAAAGTTTAGGAATTAGGGGCCAAAAAAGGGGCAAAAACAAGCATTTTTCTAGTTTCATGACAATAACTTGTGTGTAAGTGTATGGATCTTTCTGAAATTGTACTACAAGGTTCCATATCACAAAGGGAAAACTGGAATTGAGTTTGGGGGTAATTGCCCAAAACGTTTAGGAATTAGGGGCCAAAAAGGGGCAAAAAACAAGCATTTTTCTAGTTTCAGGACAATAACTTGTGTGTAAGTATATGGATCTTTATGAAATTGTACTACAAGGTTCAATATCACAAAAGGGAAAGCTGGGTTTGAGTTTGGGGGTAATTGCCCTAAAGGTTTAGGAATTTGGGGCCAAAAAGAAGCATTTTTCTAGTTTCCAGACAATAACTTGTGTTCAAGTGTATGGATCTCTCTGAAATTGTACTGCAAAGTACCATACCACAAAGGGAAGGCTGGGATTGAGTTTGGGGGTGATGAATCATAAGGGGGTTCAAAATATTTTGGGTTGGATTTTTTTTCGGTCCAAAATTACACTTAGTTTGATTTTAACAAAAATTGAATTCTTGGGGTTCTTTGATTTACTGATTTTAAACATGTATTTAGATTTTTGATTTTGGGCCCAGTTTTCAAGTTGGTCCAAATTGGGGACCAAAATTAAACTTTTTTTGTTTGATTTCAACATAAATTGAATATATGGGGTTCTTTGATATGCTGAATCTAACCATGTATTTAGATTTTTTATTTGTGGGCCACTCAATCAAATTAGTTCATATTGATATGAAAAGGGTCCAAAATTAAACTTTGTTTGATTTTATCAAAAATTGAATTATTGGGGTTATTTGATATGCCAAATCTAACCATGTAATTAGATTTTGAATATTTGGTCCCGTTTTTTAAATTGGTCTACATTAAGGTCCAAAGGGTCCAAAATTTAACTTAGTTTGATTTTAATAAAAATTGAATATTTGGGGTTCTTTGATATGCTGAATCTAAACGTGTTTAGATTTTTGATTATGGGCCCAGTTTTGAAGTTGGTCCAAATTGGGGTCCAAAATTAAACTTTGTTTGATTTCAACAAAAATTGAATATATGGGGTCCTTTGATATGCTGAATCTAACCATGTATTTAGATTTTGATATTGGACCATAATAGGTGAATTGAAAAATTTTAAGTTCTTAGACCACATTCATTCTGTGTCAGAAACCTATGCTGTGTCAAATATTTAATCACAATCCAAATTCAGAGCGATGTATCAAGCTTGAATGTTGTGTCCATACTTGTCCCAACTGTTCAAAATTAAAAAAAAAACAATTTCAAATGGTCACAACTTGAAAACTATTTTAAATAATGATAAGGGGTCTTCAGTAACTATTGTAAGACTACAATGGGATGACCTGCTTTAAATTTAACTACTGTGACGAATTAAACCAAACTTAGCCTCAATCATTATTAGGGTATCTAATACTATTTATTATGATTTTAACCTTATTTTACATGATTTCCAAAACCACAGTAGATACAGGTGAGCAACACTGGCTCCTGATTTTATTTTCAAGAGTTATGGGACTTGGACCATTTGTTGGAGTACTGTAACAACACAACTCCTCTGAGACGATTTTACAAAAAGCTCTCATACTTTGTAGAATTATTTGCCATCATGTGTAGTTCACCATATTATACCATCATTTTGAATTGACCATTTTTACGGTAGTCATGGGATTTTGACTATTATTTAGAGTAACAGTGCCACTTTGTGATCGCCACTCCTCTGAGACAATTTGGCAGAAAGCTCTCATGATTGGTTGAATTGTTGACCATATTTTAAAGTGACTCCTATCAGGTTTAAAAGTTTCATTGATCTTTTCCAGGTCCAGGTGACTCCTGTCACATGGGGATTTCAACCTTGCAACATACTGTAAACAAAACATATTTGACCTCTTGCTCGAAAGAAATGAAAACAGCTTAATCCTAGTTCTGTATAGTTTTGTGTGACATATCAAGTGTATTTTTGGTTTCATCAGTGCTCCTGTTTATTTAGTTGATTTGAATTTAATTTTTTTGGTTTATTTTTTATGAACAGTTCAATGTTGAAATAACAAATAAGTTTAGTACTAGTCCTGAATTTGATTGAAATATTTGCCACTAGACTTCTAGCAAGCAATAATCAATAAATCAATCAATTTAAGTTCATTATCATATAAAAAGTTAAACTTTATTTCATAAATCTATTCAGCATTGTTAAATACCTTGGGTTTTATTTTATGTTTCTTGTTATTAAATTATTAAATGCAAACAAAACACCTCAACTACATACCATTATTTATCTTAAAGCACAGGTACAATGTAAACAGAGTGCATACTTAGTAGACAACAGACAAAAAAGGAAAATGTTTCAGTCTTACAAGGAAGATATGTGTTGGATACCATCTCCTAATTGAATAAGCAGAAATGGTTAAATTAATGTTTTGGTCGACTAAACCCTAAAACTGCCTCTGATCAAAATAGTAGGTTAACAACTTAATTTATATCCAATAGAAGAAGCTGTCCAAGTTTGGTTGAATTTTGTCCAGAGTTGCAGAGAGTAGGCAGAACAAGTGATACAATTTTAGTTTTTAGTACTATTTCTACTATAAAATAGTGATATTATAATGTCATCATGATATGATAGTCAGAATATGGTAAAAGTCCTGTAAATCCAGGAAAATAATCTAATCAAAATGACAATATAATTTGGTCAACTACACACGATGGATGGCAAACATATATGCAAAGTATAAGAGCTTTCTGTCTAATGGTCTCAGAGGATTTTAGTTCAGAAAGTGATACTGTGGTACAATAGGGAAAAAAATGGTCAAAGTTCCATAACTCCTGTAAAAAATGTCAAATGAAAATGACTATGCAGGGTCACCTGACCTTGACATCATTTGCATTGTTTAATTGGTTAACTTTTAAGTGTTGCCAGTGCTTTTTCTCTTAATGACTGTTTACATGCAAGTTTTGAAAGACAAAGCATGGAGTAATTATTATTAGATAGTTAAAATTACATATATATATATATATATATACAGTTCCTGTTGAACGTTTTTAATTTGATAGTACTATGATTTCTGTGTTTACCTGGATATCTATTTTTTATTAGTATGTGTTGTCTTGAAATTGTTTCAGTCGTGCACAGATTAATTTAATGAAATATTTGTTCATCTTTTGGTATAAAATTTAATGTAAGGGCTGCTTGGTAGAACTGATACCATATACATATATGTATATAAAACTTTCATTGCTATTTTCATTCACTATTTGAATTGGAGTGTTTATATCACGGGAAACAAAATTAATGTGCCAAATCAGACTTGAAAAAAAAATGCATATTCAGCCTTCATACTTTTGTTTATTTAAAGATATAGATGAATGTAGAGAATTTCCAGGAGTTTGTTCATATCAGTGTTGGAACTCAAATGGAGACTTTGAGTGTATATGTCCTCCTGGTCAGAAACAGTTGGCTGACCGAAAGTCATGTGCTGGTACATATAATACATTATATTCCATTACTTATAGGACAGAGCTTAAGGTCTAAAAAACTTCACTTTTTATTTTATATCATTTTATTCCTACTGATTACTTAAATGTTTATCAAACTGGAGAATATGTAAAAACATATATGTTAATCTATTACTTCTCTTAGTCTATGTAGTTATATCTTATAATTTTTTTATTTAAAAGGCAGAAATAATCATTTTCAAAATTTTGAATCCAGTTTGTCTACAATATTTGACATACAAAAAATAGATATTAAAGTTGTCAGTTTGACCTAAATTTTCTGTATTTTTAGGCTTGGAGTTCCTAGAACCCAGCCAACCGTCTGTTAGATTTAAGAGACAAGCCTGTCCTGTAGGAATGAGACATGTCCCAACATGGAATAAATGTATTGGTAATGTAACAGCATTTACTTGTTTTAAATGTTTGTTATACAATATTCTGTAAAAAAAAAATCTGATATAAGTGATTTTTTTGTGTGTGTAAAAATTGCTTCCACAATGTGCTGAAATGAGTACATTTGTGCATATTGTTTTTTTATCACACATGTAGCTACGATGTCAAATTAAATTAATTTTCATAGAATAAGAAGACATATTGGATAGATCTATTAAGAGAATATTACAACTGTAAAACCATATGTCAAAAAGTAACTGCACATCTGTTACACGATTTAATACATGTTTTTTATTTTTAAAAATGTTTTAAATGTATGAATCACTTCTAGACTTAAAATAAAAGTTAAAGAAAAATTCATATTTATTTATTCTTTTACAATTAAAAAACTGAAAGAACAGTGCAAGGCCAATATATTACCAAAACCTAGTTCTTATAATAAAATATACAAAAATGTGAGAGAAAAAAGTGAAAAGCACACAAAAAATATGTTGATTACAATTTGAGGTGAAGTCTTTTCTGTATATCCTGATAAAGCTTTACCATTCTATCATTTGTATGACCATGAATTTCTGGAAAGATAAATTTAAAACTTGGCTTTACCAGGCAGTTTAAATGTGTTTTTGATTGTTTAAGGATAGTTACTGTTTACCCTTATTCATATGTTATAACAAACTAAAATATTATTGAAACTCACACAGAATGAATGTGAATTTGAATGCTGGAATTTACTGAACATTTGACAAGTTGTATATAATTAATTATAATATTTACATTTAGATGAAGAATGGTTGTGAATAGAAGATATTCTATTTAATTTTGAGAGACCAGACATGTTGCATGTTTGCATGCCAGTGGTTGCATGATTATAATTTTGAGTAATATCATTTAAGGTGAGAATGCTTCTTTAGACACTAACATTCACAAGAATTTGCCTAAATGCCAATTTGTTTGGAACATCTGAGGTGTCTGTCATTGTATTTTATTGGAAGAAAAAATACAATATAAGAGAAAGTAGATACTCACTTACGAAGGGTGATGTGAGGCAGGGAAAAAAACACTTCTTTAAGTGTCTAATAGCCTGAAAATGGTTACAGAAAAAAAAATGCTCAGAATCTCAGGATCTTCCCTCCATTTATTTAGACACGAACTGATAGACAACTACTGAAAGGAGTAATTGCCCTTGTATGATGGTTTTTATGAATCTTTTGTTTTTTTTAGCTATTATGTTGAAATTGATTATAGATAGAGAGACTCTTTAAGGGTAAAAAAAGATCAGCAAGACAAGCTCTAGAAATAAGTCATGATATCCTTAATCGTCAGTCAACTCCCTATAGGAGTTATTGCCCTTAGATGATGATTTGTTCCAATTTTTGGCAAAAACTAGAGTAGATGGAGGAAACTGTACCTGTCATAATTATCAGCAAAAAAAAGATATACAAATAAGTAAGAATGAGTCTAATTATCAGTTGACTCTTTTTTTTGGAATTATTGCCCCTGAATGACCCATTAATCCAAATGTTTTGTGGTTTGGGTTTAATTGTAAAAACTGTAATACATACATTTTAAATGCAAAAAATGATCTGCTATACCAGATGTTCAAATAATACAATAATACCAAAATCGTCAGTTCACAGCCTTATAGGTGTAATTGCATTTCAAACTATAGAATTACAGCTACAACCATCTGCAATGTCAGCTTATTTTTAGTGTTTTGCTATAACCTTGAATACTTGGATATCAAGAGTAACTTGATAAGCAGTGATGATCAGCAAGGCAAGATCTACAAATAGGTCAATGTAATGTTAATAGATTCATCATTAGAGGCTTTTTTGGCTCATTTTTAACCAAGTTTTCCGTGCAATTACTAATGAATCATTCATGCTTATATGTTACTGATGAAAAAATGTAGGTCAGTACTTACATTTTTGGAGAAAAAGTTCTTGAGTGATTGGAAAATTTCTTTTTATGCAATGTTTCCATGCAATAACGTATGAACCATTCAACCAATGCTTTCTAATTTTAATATTCTGTTACTGATGACAAAATTAAGGTCAAGTTTAATGATTTTCACTTTTACAACAATGAACAAACACAATCACTAAAATCTTCCTCTTTTCTTTTTTTTAGATATGAATGAATGTATGGAAGATGTAGGTGTTTGTCAACATAACTGTACGAATACTGTAGGAAGTTTTCATTGTAACTGTCCATTAGGATATAAAGTAGCTAGGGATGGTAGAAAATGTACAGGTAAGTACAACATCAAATAGCATAAAATAATCAAAATTATACAGATGACTACATTATTTTTGTACCACCAAAAATAATATAAACTGGGCAGAAAATGTACATGTAAGTTTGACATAAATTGATTTAAAACACGCAGAAATATTTTAAAAATTTTAACAGGCAAATACCACAAAAAATAATTAAAACTGGACAAAATACTGGGTAGAGTATGTTCCTCAAAAATCGTCAATCTGCTCATTCCAAACCTTTAAAAACATACCAACTGAAAAATAAAATGCATCACATTTTTCAAACTATTTAAAAAAAATGTCTCCTTTCATTACTTTCAAATTAAATAAAATTGTTCCAAATTAAAAGTTTCATGTAGAAATTACAATATATAAGACCAAGGATGATTATCATATCATTTTAAACGATTTGAAGAAAATTGATTGTTTTTCAGTCTGCTTAATGTCCACAAGAAAATATGTTTTGCATGTTGAGGACTGTGTCTCAAGATATCTATCTTTTGGTTTATTTTTGTCATAGGATAACTGTCTCATTGATATATAACCTATTTTCTTTCAATGATGCTACATTATCTGTATGCATCATTGATCAGGTTTATATGTTTTGAAATAGGTCTGTACTTCAGAAATTAAATAAATGGTTCCTGAATTCATCATCTTTTTTAAATAATTCCTTTATAACTGCAGGCTAGACATTTTAATGTTCCATTAATCATGTTCTACAAGTAAGTACAAAGGAAATGTAATAAAAAAATTAATGGAATTCAGTAGACTAGTGGTTATAGTACATCATATGACATGATAAAAATAAAATATAATAATAGGCTCCTTCAAGGTTGATGCAGTAAAATATATGGAATTGTAGTGGCATGGGTTTATCTTTTCATCTGTTAGTCAATTGAATACACAAAATTTAGAAATTACTGTAATTAAAGTTTTCAAATAAGTTGGATTTTTTTAAAGACTTAATTCACTATGACACTTATCATACATGTTGGTTCAGTAATAAGGTAGAAAAGGTACTCTTAATGAAATGAAACAGTGATTGTGACCACCAGAAATAATCTTATTAGACACTTAAACAGCTACAGGTACATCTACCACTTAAATCATATTTATGAGACAGAAAGATAGCTAAAATGGAAATACATTGCACTGAATTATATCTTTTCATTTTACTATTAATTGTAGAAAAAAACCAGATCTTTGATAATATTTATTTTATAGTACATCCAGATTCATACTGTTGGGTTTGCCTGATTCTCAGGAAAAAGTATCTCCAATGACATCATTTGTGACATAAATTTAAGAATGATTTTATTTATTATAGATAATGAAATAAATAAGTCTTATGTATGAAAAGAAGATATGTCTTCAGATTAATTTTCTCACTTGTTTTTCACAAAACATTCACCTTAAAGTGATAATATATTATAGTGAATCATTCATAACTTACCAGTAATTTGTGTGACTCCTGACAGCAGTCAGCCATTGCTGGCATATGGGGTTCACTTCTTATCAGTAATTTGTGTTACTCCTGACAGCAGTCAGCTAATGCTGGCACATAGGGATCACTTCTTACCAGTAATTTGTGTGACTCCTGACAGCAGTTAGCTATTGCTGGCACATATGGATAACTTCTTACCATTTGTGTGACTCCTGACAGCAGTCAGCTAATGCTGGCTCATAGGGATCACTTCTAACCAGTAATTTGTGTGACTCCTGACAGCAGTCGGCTAATGCTGGCACATAGGGATCACTTCTTACCAGTAATTTGTGTGACTCCTGACAGCAGTCAGCTATTGCTGGCACATAGGGATGACTTCTGACCATTTGTGTGACTGCTGACAGCAGTCAGCTAATGCTGGCTTATAGGAATCACTTCTTACCAGTAATTTGTGTGACTCCTGACAGCAGTCAGCTAATGGCTAATGCTGGCACATAGGGATAACTTCTTACCAGTAATCTGTGACTCTTGACAGCAGTCAGCTATTGCTGGCACATAGGGTTCACTTCTTATCAGTAATTTGTGTGACTCCTGACCGCAGTGAGCTAATGCTGGCACATAGGAATCACTTCTTACCAGTAATTTGCATGACTCCTGGCAACGTCAGCTATTGCTGGCTTGTAGGGTTCCCTCCTTACCAGTAATTTGTGTGACTCCTGACAGCAGTCAGCTAATGCTGGCATATAGGGATCACTTCTAACCAGTAATTTGCATGACTCCTGGCAACGTCAGCTTTTGCTGGCTCGTAGGGTTCACTTCTTACCAGTAATTTGTGGGACTCCTGATTGCAGTCAGCTAATGCTGGCTCTTAGGGATCACTTCTTGTCAGTAATTTATGTGACTCTTGACAGCAGTCAGTTAATGCTGGCACATAGGGATCACTTCTTACCAGTAATTTGTGTGACTCCTGACAGCAGTTAGCTATTGCTGGCACATAGGGATCACTTCTTACCAGTAATTAGTGTGACTCCTGACAGCAGTCAACTAATGCTGGCACATAGGGATCACTTCTATCATTGTATAAAGTCTTCACACTTTATATTAAGCTCTTTTTCCTTGAATGCGTCTAGACCACAGTCAGCTAGACTTGCACATATTCTTCTACAGGACATGTATAAGGCAGGTGCTAATTAATTTATGACTCACTGTTAAAGTTTGGGATCTGCATGATTTTTGGGGTTTCACATACCAAAGCATGAACTTTTCTTCATATATTATTTTGATGCTGAAGGTGACATGCATCATCCTTGGCAGGGCTTCGGAATTTTTTTGAAAATGCACTTACCCATGGGAAAGTTATCTTACAATCAGTTTTCACTTTCCTGTTCTTATTTTTTTTTTAAAGTCTGAAAAAAAGCTTGATATATGAACAATTAAAAAACATAAACAAGTTTATTTGTAAACATACAACAGATTGAACACAACAATAAACAGAAATTAGACAGTTCAACTACAAATCCACAGGTTTCCTTTTTGACAGACTTTGTGACCATGAATGTGTTTTGTCCCACCTGTAGTTAACCATGCCATGGTTGCATTTGTAGGATCAAAGTAATAATTTCCGTTTCTTTGATGAATCGGCAGAGATAAAATATTTATGCAAACTCATGGCTTCATGACCTCCATTACTGTTTACTGATAATAACTAACTACTGCTGTAAACGCAAACAAACAAGTGATTACTTCAGGGAAACAGTTTCTAAACTAGATTTTGTCCAATAACCGACTTTGTCAAACAAGAATACGACGCACCGGAAAGTACCACGTAAAAACAATTTACTTACCCAACGGGAAACTGGTACCTTCGTTTTCGTTTACCCAACGATTTTTTTACTTTCCACTGGAAATGGGAATTCCTAAGCCTTGCTTGGAAAACACACAATTTTGTTATAATGTATTTTGTGATGTAATAGTCTTGTGTACAACTGTTTCCTAGTACACATATTTCTAATATTTTATTTGTTTAATCCTATTAATTTTTTTTCAATTTTATATAATTTTATTATAGATATTAATGAATGTATTGAACAGAACATACAATGTGGAGACGAAAGAATGTGTTTTAATCAGAGAGGAGATTTTTCATGCATAGATACTCCTTGTCCTAGAACTTACAGAAGAGACCCTCTTACCAAGTAAGTTTGTATAAAAATCAATAGTGTTTGAATGAGGTTACTTTCAAATGTTATTTTTTTGATGAAAGTTAGAGACCTTTATTGTGCAATATCATCAAATCACCAATTACCAATCTGTAGATTTTTCTTAAAAATTAAAATGTTGTTTATACTTAAATTTCTGTTTTAATGATTTAAAATAATTAAAAGGTCACCCTCTTTGTTTTTACGATATGCATGATTCAAAGTGGTGTTCTAGATGTAAAAATAAGACAAATGTCCAAAAAGCCGTAGCATCATTGCATTATAAGCTGTATATCATCAATTTTTGACTTTTTCCACTACCATGAAGAGAAGAGTACATGAAACATACAATCATGGAGATTCAAAGGAATTCTTGTTTCTCATTTATGCACTTGTCACTTAAATTTCAGTATTTTTATATGTATGTGGCAGTGACTGTAGAGTCCTTCCTGTTTTAACCGTTTAAAATTAATCAGAGCTACTGAGGAATTGCTTATCCTTCAATAAAAATTGGTGACACCTTTGATTTTAGACTAGTCCTCACAGTATAAAGAATAGCTTCAGTATTTAGATACCATCGATATAACTTCCAGCTGTTGTGTTTTGAGCCTATGATTTAAAATGGAAAATTTCAAATTGATTAAAAAAACTGCATTCATTTACATAAGGGAACCATTCTATATAGCCCTATACTGAATTAACCCTAAATCTAACCTTTACTCGTAACCCAACCCTAGCCCTAAAACAAACTCTAACCATGAACAGAACCCTGTGGTACCTCTGAAGTACAAACCCAGATAAAGTATATGAAGGCCAAGAATCCATTGAACATATTCAAAATAGAACAACTTTTATTTGATGGGTCAATTACTCGACATGCCAATATCAACTGTTACCCCACTTCCCAATTAACACTGAACATTAAACCTCAACTTATAACAAACTTAAAAGTTTGGGCAAACAACCGTGGAATAAGATTTGCTCAATGCCCACATACTCCCAACAAGTTCAAAACAACTGATTTCTTGGAGGCCAAATATCAGAATATCTGATTTAGACCACAGACATAACAAATGTAGCAAAAAAGGAAATTCTAACTTAGGTTTTCTCAAAAGAAATCTATGGTATTGCCAACAGGAATGTAAGAAAACTGCACACATGTAACTAGTACGATGAAATATGCTGCAACAGTATGTGACCCCTACAGTGTAGAAGGTACCAAAAAGCTAGAAAAAATAGACTATGGGGTAAAATGCAGTTTTTGACTTATATCTCTGAAACTAATGCATTTAGAGAAAATCTGACATGGGGTAAAAATGTTCATCAGGTGAAGATCTATCTGCCCTGAATTTTCAGATGCATCAGACAACCTGTTGATGGATTGCTGCCTCTGAATTGGTAATTTTAAGGAAATTTTGCAGTTTTTGGTTATTATCTTGAATATTATAATAGATAAAGATAAACTGTAAACAGCAAATTGTTCAGCAAAGTAAGATCTACAAATAAGTCAAACATGACCAAAATGGTCAATTGACCCCTTAAGGAGTTATTGCCCTTCATAGTCAATTTTTAACAATTTTTTGTAAATTTTTGTTATCTTTTACAAAAATCTTCTCCTCTGAAACTACTGAGACAAATTCAACCAAATTTGGCCACAATATTCAATAGGGTATCTAGTTAAAAATGTGTCAGATGACCCAGCCTACCAACCAACATGGCTGACATGGCTAAAAATAGTGCATTGGGGTAAAATGCAAGTTTTGTCTATTATTTTTTTAACCGTTTTAAAAAAATCTGAAAGGAGCAAATATGTTCAGAATAATGAGCTCTACCAATTGTCCATATACGTCAAAAATGTTTGAAAAATTCTTATAGTAGTTGTTGCCCATAAATGACAAATTTTACCAATTTTTTTTTTATTTTTGCCTACTGTGGATTCATTATTTTTTCGTTGGATACCAATTTTCGTGGATTTTATGGGTACAGGTGAGCCACGAAATTAAATGTTCAACGAATAACAAATTTTCAATAGGCTTGTATGCAGACTTCGACTCAACCACAAAATCAAATATCCACGAACATGTAAGTTTTCTTTAATCCACGAAAATTGGTACCCACGAAAATTAATGAATCCACAGTATTATCATGAAAACTATGATATTTAGAAATATTTTTTTTTCTGTTATGCCTTATATTATTTAAATTATAATAGATAAATAAACACTTTAAATCACAAAAATGATCAGCAAGGTAAGATCTATTAATAAGCCAAAGAAACTAAACAGACTAAAAGATCAGTTATACAAGATCAACAAAATAGAGATTTTTGTCACGAAGGCTATTCTCGTCTACAATGTTGGAGAGTGTCCTTTGTTCGATATGCCCATAGACCAAGGTGAGCGACACAGGCTCTTTAGAGCCTCAAGTTTCTATTAGATGTCTCCTCCCCTTGTTTTCCGGCTTTCTAAACTTGATTATAACCATAGTCTGTGGATTGTTATATATATTTGTCAGGAAATTTCATTGATGATACCAATACATGAATATATTTGAGCTGTCCCTAAATCAATTTATTGCCCTGTTTCTGAATGTGGTAAACATTTGTTTAATTTATCTGAACTTTCAAGATATTATGTTGTGTAACAGCCTTAGTTCATAAGCAGGATATGAATTGCAGTAAGAAAATATGCGCCTAATTATAATGAATTTGATAAAATTGTCTCAGAATATTATTTAAGTATCATAAAACTAATATTATCTTATCTTTACAGTCATTGTGTGTTAGAGTGTGTGGATTCAACCATACCATGTCCACCGTATGCCAAGTTTGCTGATGTTATAGAATTTCGTACATTGGCACTACCAAGTGGATTTTTAGCACATCAAGATCTAATACGACTTACAGCATATGATCATCAAAATGTTAAATTGTTATCAAACTTTACAATCATTGAAAACGATCCAAAAATAGATTACCATTTACGACCAGATGGAGGGAGTGGGATCGTATTTACTTTACAACCATTGGTTGAAAAGACAACATACAAGATAAAAGTGAGTGCCCGGTCATATGATGACAATAGAAACTCTTTAAGATATCAGACAACTTTTATTATCCATATATCTGTGTCAGCTTATCCTTATTAAGTATGTGTAACAGTTAATATGAGGATTATTTTAAGTTTTTGTAAACAAACAAAAGAACTTTGAAAGTATGTTATGGTTTTTCTAATATAATACAAGCAAATAAGTATTAACAGCATATCAAAGGGGACATAGCACTTAATCGATTTGAAAGTTTCAGTTCATGTGCAATGGTAACATACAAGAGAAAAATTTAGGCACACCAAAAATTATTTGCATCTTTTTTTGATGCTCATTACAAAAGTTGTGATATTCTCAATTGTAATAAAATTACATTTATATATAAACTGACTTATGCATGTTACTAGTACATTGTTTTCTTTTACACACAAGTAATAGGAATGTTAGAATATGTTTTTACTGGAAAGGGATAAATTAAGGCATCAGTAGTTTACAAATGTTCAAATGTCTGTTTAGGCCTTTTAAGCTCACTTTTTAGCTCACATGGCTGAAAGGCCAATGAGTTTTTCTCATCGCTTGGCATCTGTCATCGTTATTTAACTTTTACAAAAATCTTTTCCTCTGAAACTACTAGGCCAAATTTACCCAAACTTAGCTACAATCATCATTGGGGTATCTAGCCAAAAATCATGTGTCTGATGACTCGGCCTGTCAACCAAGATGGCCAACATGGCTAAAAATAGAACATAGGGGTAAAATGCAAGTTTTGTCTATTATCTTGAAAACTGCTATGAATAGAGAAAATCTGACAAGGACATATATGTAGAGAATGTTGATTTCTACCAGCTGTCCATTTAGGACAAACTGTCAGACGACTAGGATTTATTGCTCTAAAATGTCGAATTTTATCAGTTGGGCGGGTGGCTGCCAAATAGTGTCCATGCAACAAACACTTTATGAAATCTTCCGAAATTTAGATATGTTGTTTCCTGTGACTAAATGATAGTCATGTTCGATATTCACAATTTTAGCTTTTAACATTGTTGACTTGTAGACTTTTAAGCAGCAAAAATTGATACTAGAGTGTTGTCTGTGCAATAACTTGAAAATGCTTTGATGAAATCTTCTCAAATTTAGATATGTTGTTTCCTGTGTCAAAAAGAAGGTAAGTCCGTATTTCATGATCATTCTTCCATTGCATATATTACAAGACAACAATCGTTCGAAAGTGGGTTTCTGGAAAGTTATTGGAGTGACCGCAAGATTCTATGGTTTCATATTAAATATAATCTCATAAACACATTTCTTTTGCAAATATAATTTTCATGCGGGAAAATCCAGTTTGCTGTCAATCTGACAACCTCTTGTTGTCTTTTATTTTGAAAATTATAACAGATACAGAGAAATTTATTAGGAAATCTACAAAGACGTCAACATGGCTGAAATCATCATACGACTCCTTATTGGAGTTTTTTCACTTTAATGGATTTTTTTCTATTTTTTAGCGTTTTTGCCTATTTCTTATAAACCATTAAAGATAGAAAGAAACTTCAAAAGCCATAATGATCAACAAGTCAAGATCTACAAATAAGTCAAATGATTGAAATCGTCAGTTGACTCCTTATTGAAATAATTGCCCTTTAATGACCATTTTTCCTAAATTTTCCATTTATGACTTTTATTTTGAAAACTGTAATAAATAGATAGATACTCTGTATTCATGCTTTTAGTGGGAAATTAGGGAACGAAACTTTGATATTTCAATATGTATTTTTAGAAAACAACTGACCTTCGACAGGAAAACTGGCAATTCTAGTGAATTATATAGTAGTTGTATTTATATAGATTCTACCACTTCATCGAGTGTGATAGGATATTTATCCACTTGAGACAGTTAAGTTTTCAAATTTAAAACGCGAGGCTCGCTGAGCGTTTTAAATATTTAAAATTTAACTGTTGAGAGTGGATAAGTATCGTATTACACGAGATTTGGTGGTGGAATCTGTTTCTCTAATGATTTTCAAAAAATACTCAGGCAAATTTATTCATTCTTTTCGAATGATTCTGCAAAAAGATGTGCTCTTTCTATGTGACGTCATCAACCAACCAGCATCAATAGCATTTTCTAAAAGTAGACAACCTCTGACTAAACATAGAAGTTTTGATATTGATTTTTACTTCAGCTACATGTAAAAACAAATGTGCTTAAAAGAAAATGAAATATATTTATTTGAACCAATTTTATTCCAAGTTTACTTGGCCATGGTTTTGCATTAAAATTTTATGGTAGATGTGGCATGTAATATTCTCATTTAAGGCATTCAGAAAACCAGAGCGCTATTTTAGAAGATTATCTGTCACACATTGTTTGAAAAATTTGCATATTTAAGATAATGCATGTACAATAACATGTATGGTTAAAATGAAGTTATGTTAAACTCAAATATTCAGACAATTGTGAGAAAAGTAAATTTATCATGTTTTTTAATTGGTTTTATTATACCCCATGCAACGAGTTGCGGAGGGTATAATGTTTTTGACCCGTCCGTCAGTCCTGTTTCTTGTCATCGCAACTCCTCTCAAACCACACAACAGAATTTCACGAAACCTTTTTAGATAATAAGGACATACTATGTAGTTGTGCATATCAACAGGGAATTACGATTCAATTCTTTTTCTAGGAGTTACGCCCCTTTGAACTTATTTACTTTAATGTACTACTGCAACAGTTTGTCATCGCAACTCCTCTCAAACCACACAACAGAATTTCATGAAACCTTTTCAGATAATAAGTACATACTACATAGATGTGCATATTGACAGGAAATTACGATTCAATTTTTTTTCCAGGAGCTACGCCGCTTTGAACTTATTTGCCCAATATACTACTGCAACCTTTTGTCATCGCAACTCCTCTCAAACCACACAACAGAATTTCATGAAACCTTTTCAGATAATAAGGACATACTACGTAGATGTGCATATCAACAGGAATTTACGATTCAATTTTTTCCAGGAGTTACGCCGCTTTGAACTTATTTGCCCAATATACTACTGCAACCTTTTGTCATCGCAACTCCTCTCAAACCACACAACAGAATTTCATGAAACCTTTTCAGATAATAAGGACATACTACGTAGATGTGCATATCGACAGGAAATTACGATTCAATTTTTTTCCAGGAGTTACACCCCTTTGAACTTATTTGCCCAATATACTACTGCAACCTTTTGTCATCCCAACTCATCTCAAACCACACAACAGAATTTCATGAAACCTTTTCAGATAATAAGGACATACTACGTAGATGTGCATATCAACAGGAATTTACGATTCAATTTTTTCCAGGAGTTACGCCCCTTTGAACTTATTTGCCCAATATACTACTGCAACCTTTTGTCATCACAACTCCTCTCAAACCACACAACAGAATTTCATGAAACCTTTTCAGATAATAAGGACATACTACGTAGATGTGCATATCAACAGGAATTTACGATTCAATTTTTTCCAGGAGTTACGCCCCTTTGAACTTATTTGCCCAATATACTACTGCAACCTTTTGTCATCACAACTCCTCTCAAACCACACAACAGAATTTCATGAAACCTTTTCAGATAATAAGGACATACTACGTAGATGTGCATATCGACAGGAAATTATGATTCAATTTTTTTTCCAGGAGTTGCGCCCCTTTGAACTTATTTGCCCAATATACTACTGCAACCTTTTGTCATTGCAACTCCTCTCAAACCACACAACAGAATTTCATGAAACTGTGTTGATAATAAGGACATACTATGTTGATGTGCATATTGACAGGAAATTATGATTCAATTTTTTTTTCTGATACAATTTTTTTTTCTTACACTTATTTTATTTCTCCAATGACAATGTGGGGACGTGGGGTATGTGAGAGCGCTCACTAAGGTTCTTGAATTTCATCTATAACTAACTTATTTTCGTGGATATATTTTTGTTATGAATGAACCTCTCAGTTGTTGACCTGGCAGTGTTTTTTTGGCTATTTTCCCACTGTATTTTCATACCAGAGAAGAATAAGGTATAATATTTGTAATGTTCTAATCACGAAAGCCGCATAAAATTGCTTGCCAAAATTAGATGATTGAAGTGTTTTTTTCCCCAAAAAAAAATTGATTAAAAAGGAAACCCCATAAGCTTTATCGAAACAATAAGCAAAACCGTTTTTGGTTTTCTACTGGTAAGAAGATCTCACAACTGCATTTAGTGTCTAAATTAGTTGACATAAAGAAAAACGTACAAAATAGTATGTATAAATGTAAAAAAACATGAGTTGAAAATGAGATAACTTTAAAGAAGGGCTGTTATGGTGAAAATGAATTTCTTACTCTATAACTTTATTTGAATTTGTTTATCATGAATAAAATCCCTTCATGTTTGCACTTTCAAACTTTTAACTTTCACTAAACTCTACCAAGCGATGTAGGAGGAGTATTGCTCATTACAAAGTTTTTTAGACTAACAGATGGACATTATAGCTTGTTGTTCGGTGTGAGCCAAGGCTCCTTGTTGAAGGCCGTACTTTGACCTATACTGGTTTACTTTTACAAATTGTGACTTGGATGGAGAGTTGTCTCATTGGCACTCATACCACATCTTATATCTATATATTAATGGAAAGAACAAAGACAAACGGTCACAGAAGAAGGAAAAAGATAACACCATGACCAAAGCGAAAAAGTAGGACAGACAAACAACACTCCTTAGAACTCTACACCAAAATGTAAAAACAAGGAGGGTATTCAATCTTCAACAATATCAATTTTCAGTCATATTTGATAAAACAACTAATATAATATGTAATATTATACTAGCATAAAAGCCGGATTTATTGAAAAGCTCATGGTGTAAACAGTATTCATTCAATTATTGAACGAAAATAAACTTCCGGAGCATCTGAGATCACCCCTGATTATTTGAGAGGTTCAAGTTGTTCAAGGACGACTTCTTATAGGAGTTATTTCCCTAAAATGACAGTTTTACTATTTTAGAACATTTTTGCCTATTATCTCGAAAATTATAATAGATAGACAGAAACTTTAAATAGCAAAAATTATCAGCAAAACAAGATCTACAAATAAGTCATTTTGACCAAAATTGTCAGACGACTCCTTATTACAGTTATTGCCATTTAGTGCAATTTTTAACCATTTTTGTCGCAGAAAGCTCGACATAGGGATAGTGATCCAACGGCCGCGGCGTTAACTAACTTTTTAAAAGCTTAAAATTCAGAAGGTAGAAGACCTGGATGCTTCATACTTTGTATATAGATGCCTTATGATAAGAAGTTTCCGTCTGTCATATGTCAATTGTCCTTGACCTCATTTTCATGGTTTAGTGACTACTTGAAAATGTTGTTT